CTGGTGTTGCTGAGGTCCTCTGTAGATTCTCATTTGTTAGCCCATGTCTCGATAAATAGTGCTATATACAGTCTCTAATCTCTGGATTCAACAGCAACTCCTCAACCATGCTTTGATTTGCGCATGTGTTGAAGAGTCTGGGGAATGAAGCAGGTCATAGCACAAATTACAAGGCGGACATTGACTTGAGAGTTGACTGGCATGGAAACTCACTGAACTGGCTGACTTTCTAGGTCTCGGTGGAGGAACACCCTTGAAGGCATCCCAGATTGACATCTTGTAAGGCACAACCTGTCCGTTGACATGTCTTGTCCATGTGAAAGACATCTTCCAGAAGTGAACGTAGAGATGGAGGCGTAGAGATGGAAGCGTAGAGTTGGAGGCGTAGAGTTGGAGCGTAGAGTTGGAGGCGTAGAGTTGGAGGCGTAGAGTTGGAGGCAGACGAGCAGAAGTTCTTGCGTGTACACAGAAAAAATCGAGGGTGTAGAGGAGTGTCTGCAGTGGCAAGTGTAGAACAAGATGAAGAAATAAGTTGAAGAAGTTGTGTCAAATTGATTCTGAACAAGCGCACATTTGAAGTTCAGGGCTCATGTACCATGACCCGTACTGACAGTTCTCTCGGCGTATTAGAATACGCATGGAATTCTTATTAAGCGTATGCAGTCCTTGTTGAACGCAACTCACCATACTATGTGAGCTAGAACACGACTTGGGTTCCGTCCGGTACATTGCGGTTAACAACAAGCCGCAGCGGATGGTGGATGATGGATGATGGATCACGCATGACGGTTCAGGGATCACGATGAAGCATATAAGCACTTACCTTCCAAAATCGAAACAGCTTTAAAGCCGCAAACATCGCAGTCATCATGAAGACTTGCAAGACGAGGTGTTGATATTTGTGGATATTATTGTGGGTGAAGAGAATTCCCCCTTTTACTGCCCCCTTACCAAGAATTTGATATGTGGTCCGTGCACCGCATTACAGTTTCTGAAGTTGGGAATCGAACAACTTCACCAAGATTGGCACAGAGCCAACTCCAACTGCCTTCCATCGCTCCAGGCTATTCTACTTTTTTTGCTTCATGTTACCGACTATTCTCACGGCGGTAGCGGCCGTTGTGATCTGGAGTAACTCTGTTCTAGGGCATACAATCCAGCTGAAGGCGCACTCGCGAGAATGTTTCCATGAACAGTTACATCGAGATGATCGGATGACAGTCACCTTTCAAGTTGGGGACAGAGAATTTGGAAATAGCGGCAATTTAGATATTGATTTCTTCGTATGCACTGCGCGGTGGCCGGCACAACTTCTTGCTAGAGCTAACAGTGCGTGGTCCATAGATACAAAATCCTTCCAACCAATACGAAACCCACCAAAAGTCCGTATCATCTGGAGACTATTCTTTTGAAGCAAAGCAAGATGGAAAATACACATATTGCTTCAGCAACGAACATTGGTCAGCAAACAGCAAGGAGGTGTCATTCAACGTGCATGGAATCGTCTATGTATCAGAGCAGGATGCCCCATCGGATCCTCTTGAGAAAGAAGGTGTGGAGAAAGAAAACTCAAGATGGGCTTCAAGGCTAACAGCCCGTGCCAGTGAAATCCCTTTCGGACCTATTATCTCAAGTCAAGGACGAGCAGGCATACATTGTGGTCAGGGAAAGGACGCACAGAAATACCGCAGAAAGTACCAACGCAAGAGTCAAATGGTGGAGCGTATTCCAGCTCGGCGTTCTGGTAGGAATGTGTATATTCCAAGTGTGGTGGTTGAAGAGGTTCTTCGAGGTGAGCCGTCTTTACGAAGCCGCTATGCTTGTGCGTGATTCCTGACTAACAGCTGGTGACCACAGGTCAAGCGAGTGGTTTGAAGTAATATATACCCTAGATGAGATCGAATCAAGACCACCCGGATACAGCAACATTGAACACCACGTAGTTTCTTTGATTTGTGCAACCATGTGTATTCTCTGCTCGCAATGACACAGAACTAGTTGAAGCGGCCCATATGCATCTCGGTTCTCGATCTGAGCTACTGATATTGGCTGGTCAGGTTCATCCAGTCTGGATAGATATCCTCCCTTCCACCGGGCGTTTTGGGCCCCAAGGCATACGGAACGCTGCTGGGAGGGGAAGGACCTCCGCACATGGGGGGGTACACCTTTCATCCATTGTTACACAGCATATCGCAAGCACACAGCCTGACTTTGTGAGCATACAGTCCTTTCGTTTTGTGATTGCGCGATTATTTCCCTTCCTTTGGATCGTGTTAGTTCATCTAAGCCCACTGTTGAGGAGAAAAAGAAACAAAGCCACCACAATGTCTGATTTTCCAACCCTCGAACCCGCCTTCACGATCCAAGTCGTAATTGATCCACCCATGGGAATCGGCAGCGCCTCGCGTGGCACCCCATTGACCGTCGTTCCAATGCTCGGCGGCACCATGAAGAGCGAGTCTGGCTTCTCTCCTGCTGTTGATGCCAAATTCAAAGGCGTGGGAAATGATTATATCCACAATGACCCTACTGGGAAACATATACGGTTGAATGCCCATGGAGTGCTGGAGTATGTCCTGCATCATGAACACGCAGTGTGGATCTTTGTTGGGTGAACGTGCTGACACCATCTCAATACAGAACCTCGGATAGAGCAGTGCGTCTCCACAACTCTGCCTCTTGCCGTTGGTTACTGATGTATCACTTTCAGTTGATTTACCTCAATTATACAGGCATCGTCGAAGTCACTCCAGCATTAGGAGCTATTCTTGGAGGAAGTTCAGAGGCAAATACAACACCATACGGGACTTCATGTTCGTCGCTATATGCATTGCAATGCTGACGCAACTTTGGACTTATTGTGTTTACAGTCACCCACCTAACGTTCGAAACGGGAAGTGAAAAATACAAGGAGCTTGAGACTAGTGTCTTTGTGGCTGCCGGACACTTCATCTTCGAGAAAGACAAGCCTGTTGTTGTCGAATACAAGGTCAGCCGAGTCAAGCATACTAGTAGCTAAAATGGAGTATATTTCGACATGGGAGATCGAGACCATAAGAGTGCCCAGCCAAGATATGGTATTTTCTCAATGTTCTCTATCTCTTTTCGCGGTGGATACTACAGCGCTCTGCTCTTTACCAGCCTCGTGAAGCGGTGAATGAATTCTGATGCGATCAGAGCTCCACCAATTCTTGCTTAGCCCTTTCCTCCAGCTCCCCAATCCAACGACTCTGCAAAGGAGGAAGGGTTCAATTGAAATATTCAGCACAGCCATTACAATGTGACTTGTGGAAGCCGTGGTAAAACGTAACATTCAAATATTTTGGTCTGTATCGAGCGGACAGATGTTCTCACTTCAAATCAGAGCAGGAATTGGCAAGCATGTGTCATGATTAATATTGGATTCCATATCTGCAGACCCCAGCACCATCCATACCGAGCATGAGGGGATACATGAGCCGGGTTTGCGGGTGCAAACATCTTTGAATTGGTCGGGTGCTGAGGTTCCATGATCGTACCATTGTTTGCCAGTCTCTACTACGTAGCATCTGCTGGTTAGGTGTTGTTGACTGTCATTGACGCAATAATGCAGGGAAACAACAAGCTCTAAGGGTGTTCTGCGGGAATGGAGATGTCGGCCCCCAACCCGTGGCCAATGAAGGGGTGTTAACTACACATGTCAGTTGGCCACATTACGAGGCCTGTCCGTTTTGGTAAGCGAAATGCATGCCCCAATGCACAATTATCCAGCAGCTCGACACACGCCAACTACTACGATCTGATCCTAAGGACAATCTAGGCGATATCTGCTACGTAAAGCACGAAAGCAAGGTAAAATACACGAGAGGTTCGAGCTTCCGGGCTCGGATCGATAGATTACCGAGGGAAGTGGCCCCTGCCGCAATGGCACAAACCTTACAGAGAACATAACTAATGTCTGGCAAATCCTTCTCGGATGCTTCTCTACCCGAATAATTGAAGACATTGAAAACGCAGGGAGTCGCCCCAGGGTGTAGCTATGTAGATTAGTTAGGTGGGAACATCAACATTACACTTAGTTGCTCCAACAACATTCACCCTCTCTGCTGCATTTCTGCGATTTCAAGCCCAGGCACTGCAATACTACGGAACAGTACTACTACTAAGTACTACTACCAGTAGTCCTCAAGATGAAGTTCCCTTGGCAAAAGAAACCCTTACAGCCTGAGAGAGCAACCAATCCCTCTACACCATCCTCTCCGGAGAAGTCAATAGAACCGCACCCACCGCAACAACCTCAAGATGGAGAGACACGCGTTATTCCTGTCCCCGAGGATAAGCAGTCCAATCCACGAACCTCTTTGGAGCGTTCTGAAGCCGCTGAAGAACCTGTCGCAGACACAGACCAGAGCAGAACTGCGGAGGGTAAAGAGGCTGAAACAGATCTTGTCTTTACAGCATCAAGAACCACGCAGCCTTCCAGCGTGGGTGAGGCTGGAGAGGATGACGAGTCAAAATATCCAAAAACGCTCCCCTTAGTACTTTTGACGTTTGGTCTGTGTATGTCTACATTTGTGGTGGCGTTGGATAATACCATCATTGGTGAGTCTTGCAATTCAAGTGTCAGTTCTTCTTCCACTGACCATAGGCAGCGACTGCTATTCCGAGGATCACGACAGTTTTCGACTCTCTAAATGACGTTGGTTGGTATGGTTCTTCCTACCTTTTGACCACTACCTCCCTTCAGCCTAGCTTCGGAAAGGTGTACACCTATTTCAACATCAAATGGACGTACATTGTTGCATTGATCATATTCGAGATCGGCTCCGTCATTTGCGCTGCTGCCGTCAATTCTACCATGTTGATTGTTGGACGGGCGGTGGCGGGCGTCGGTGCCGCTGCACTGTTTTCAGGAGCCATGACTATAATCGGCTTCTCGGTCCCTCTTCGGAAACGGGCAATTTACATTGCCATGCTGTCCAGCATGTTTGGCATATCTTCTGTAGTAGGACCAATCCTGGGCGGAGCCTTTACGGATCGCCTGTCCTGGCGGTGGTGTGTAAGTGCATGAAGAGAACTCAACCCCTTGACAGTGCGTCCTGACCGCGGAACAGTTCTGGATCAACCTGCCTCTTGGGGGCATCGCTATCGCAGTCGTCTTTTTCTTCTTCAAGAATCCGGAACGAAAGCACAACAAGCTTACCACCAAGGAAAAGATTGGTGAAATCGATCTGTTGGGAGCCTTTTTCTTGATCTGCGCCATTGTCTGCCTTCTTCTAGCCCTCCAGTGGGGTGGAAGCGTGTATCCGTGGAGCAACTCCAGGGTGTGGGGCACTCTTCTTGGAGGCGGCCTGATCACCATCGTCTTCTGCTACCTGCAATACAAACGGGGAGACCGAGCCACGATCCCTCCACGCATCTTGCTTAAGCAGAGAACTGTCCTTGCTTGTGCCTTGTTCTCTTGCTTCTTGGCTATGGGTCTATACGCACACATGCAAGTCCATCCTTGACATCGCGCAACTTGTTCATGCTGACCGAGGCAGATTCTACCTTCCGTTCTACTTCCAAGCGGTCAAAGGAACCACAGCCGAAGGATCCGGGATTCGTACTATCCCCTATCTGGTAAGTACTACGCTGGCGTCTATCGTGGTTGGTGGCAGCATCACAGCGATAGGGCCGTATGTTCCCTTCACCTGGGCTGGCTCCGTTATCTTTGTTATTGGCTCTGGCATGCTCTACACTTTGAAGGTCAATTCCAGCACTGGCATGTGGATAGGATATCAGATTCTGGCTGGTGCTGGTGCTGGCGCCTGTGTGCAGATCCCGTTCATCGCCACACAAGTCGTGTTGAACAAGAAAGACATGCCGTCAGGAAATGCTGTAGCAATTTTCTTCAACACGCTAGGCGGAGCAATCGCGATATCAATCGCACAGAACATCTTCTCGAATACTCTGATTAGCCAAATTCCAAGATTCACCAGGAACATTGACCCTGCCATGATCATAGGGGCTGGGGCAACCAATATTCGGGCTGTCACGCCACCTGAGGAGCTGCCGGGCGTGCTCGAGGCATACAATGTTGCTGTTACCAGGACTTTCATCCTGCCAATCGCTTGCGCAGGGGTCGCTTGCTTATGCTCCTTGTTGTTCGAATGGAGGAGCGTGAAAGGCAAGAAGTTGGAAATGGGTGCCGCGGCTTAAGAGCAACGTTAGCTGTTGGATCGGGTTCATGTCTGCTTTTTAATTCTATGTCTTAAGGAGATATTGAAGCACAGCGTTGGTGCTCACTGTGCTGGCTCCATAGAAACCATGGACAGTTTTCAATTTCGTGTGTTTTTATGATTTGTGATCCCAGTAAGTCGGTCACAATGGCTCTCTTTAGCACCAAGCCCACTCTTCTCATTGTGGTGATAACTGTATTTTTCTGTGTTTCTCTGCGCTCTTGACTCGGGTGACAGTTTAGGATTGAAAGAAGGACGGACGATGATGACCCAACCACAGATACGGCAGCGATCTGAGCATTGCGTTACCGACATGTTCTCTCTAATTAACATCTTTATCCACCGGCCTTTCCGGGTCGTTACGGAGAGAGCATCTCCTCGTCTACCGTACCGGCCGTGCTTAATTAGTTGGTTCTCCGAACAGCATCGCCCGGCCATCTATGTAAACGTGTGTTACTACTAGTTAGTATGCTCTACTCACCTGCACCATCATCCGGGACCAAGTCAGTCATTTGGCCCTCAACTTTCTGAGTCCTGCGGTCCTTGCAAGGTCAGACTGCTACACAAAAGTTGTGCAGCGAAGAACTCCTGAACGGCGAGGGGCTATCACATGGTTGTGCTAATTATTTGATTATGTATTAGTTTACAGTGCCGCAGTTCCTCTCCACCGCCAATATACTATCGCAAAGATACACAGTATATCCGGTCGTCTTAAGCACTAGCCACACAGTAGCGCAACGAAGACCAAAAATTATCCTACGTCGGATCTAGGGCTTAGTTACATGAGTGCAGTGCCAGAAGGCTGCAGAGACACGATCCACTTCGATGTCTTCATAGATCAAGTCTTGTTGCGGAAAGCCGCGCGGTCACATACAGAGAAAGAAACTCGTTGAGAAAAAATTGAAACATGTCGTTGCCCCCAAAAATATCATCATTCTATTCGCTTCAAAGAGCCAAGAAAATCAACGGGACTGAGCTCCAGAAGTCCAGCTTCAGGCTCCATCATGACTCGCAAACTCCTTCCAACTCCTGCAAACGCCGTCGAATTTCAAAAAAACACCCAAACCCCTTCAAGACTCCAACATACTGCGGAAAGGGACGCAAAATCAAGGAATCAAGGAAGTTCAGCAAGGGGCGTCCGCGACGTCTTAGCAAGAGACTCAGTGCGGGAGGAGGCGTTAAGGGGAGTCGAGGTCGAGTTCTTAGCGGCGGAGGGAACGGTGGCTCGGGCGCCTGCAGGGGCGGTGAGGTGGCGGAGGTTCTCGGGGATGGTGACTCGTAGCTTTGGACGCTCGTGGGTGGTGGAGAAGGAACGAGCCTGTGGCTGCGCGTATACAGCCTGGACTTCGGCTACAGATGGGAATGGTTTGTCCATGTCTAGCGTAATGGTGTCTTTGTCATCGGAAGCGATGGGAGCGGGAGGCTGAGATGATCCACCTTGAGCTTGCTTCGTCGGAGACTGGGTTGCACCACCTGAGCACGGAAGGCCGGTTGGTTTGTGAGCCTCGGCTGGGGCTTTGATCACGCCAGTTTCATGCCGGTGGCATTGGGAAGCCTGCGCCTCACTGACGCGGAAGTGTAGCCACTCTGCAACCGGCTCTGGGCATAAAATGTTGGCTGGGTGATTTCTACTTACCAATTTGAACCATATCGGAGCGTTGTCGCGGATCGCGAACACGGAGGTGGTGCCTTTTGCAATCTTGCCGCGGCCTGGGGCAAGGCTGGTGCAGACGAGGCTGATTGTGAGAAGACCAGGACGATCGGCAGTAGCTCTGGTGCGTTTCATCCTAATCTCAGGTTGGTACTCCCGGGCTACTCCAACAGTCGTCTGGCTCTGGACCAGCACACCCTGCGAGACGTTCTCAGGAGTGAGCTCAGGCAAAAACTGTGGCTCCGCCTCAGGCTGAGTAGCATTGGTGCGCTGGTGTTTTCCAGAGGTAGATTTGGCAGGGATAACCTTGCCATTGACAATCAGATCAGGCATAGACCGCAGATTAGTCGTAGGCTTAACCTTAGTGGCGGAGGTCATCTTGTGCTTGAAATGGACGGCATCGTCCCAAGTCAGATGAGGAACCTCAACAACCTTACCGCATGGCATCGAGTGTTGACTGGATCGAGTCTGCTTCTCAGCGTTGTTCGTTTTCGGCTCAGTCTTCTCGCCCTGCGGCTGCTCCTGGGCCTGCTGTTGAGTAGGTGAGGCAATGTTCGTCATGCTGGAAGCGAATGCAATCGTGGTTGGAGGTTTGGGTATGTGTGTGCTGTTCGTTTGTTGCATATGTGGGTGTCTGTTTGTGGATTGAATGTGAATGACGAGGGTAACGAACTTCAATAGGTAGGAGAAGGGCAGGGCTTTTGTAGGGCAGAATATCAGAGAACAATGCCACTGTCTCGACAAAGGAAGAGAGATAGACAGCCATTACGCTGACGAGAAGATCTTTCACAGGCACAACACTTGTTGACACGACAAAGGGGTGATGGGACAAAGAGGTTGTGCAGGGAGTCACGGGATCTCCTCTGCTCATCAAGGCCATTCTCTTCGACTCCGGTTGGCAGAAGAGTGGACGAACATTATGGATCATCTCGATGAAAGAAGGAAAGAATCTGATTGTACGCCGAACAATGGGACTTTCTTCTGAAGGAGCTTAGGCCTGTCTGAGGGACACAGAAACGGAAGGAGAGCTTTGCCCTGGCAATGAGACTCTCTATTTTCACGGCGGTATCCACGAAGCGCTTGGAAGAACAGGGCAATTATTTGCAAACGACGCACCTGCGTTTATTGTGGTGTTAAGAAGGCCATGAGACAGTGTCGAGGCCGTTCTGCAAGAGACAAAGCACTCCACTTTCATGAGGCGCAGCCCCTTTAGACGTAGCACGAAAAAAGAGCAGCGAATGCTGTTAAGCAGGAAACATGGCACTCCACTCTGGCAGTGGTTGCTGTAAAGTAAAGAACAATGCAGCTTGAGCGGCAGCCAGGGTATTTCGCTTTGCCGGTGTATGATACTGACGAAGGTGATCAAACAACCCTGTTGTTTACCGGACAAGGTAATTGCTTTATAGAGCACAATCCAAAGCTTACTCTTACGAGAGACCTCCAACTTAGTAAAGAATGCCGCAGCTCGGCACTGAAAGAGCGGCTCGCTTCGATAAGTAGTGGAGTCGTGATCTGCGGATGGTGTCGTCCGTGCCTTCGCGTGCTTAACAGTGCTCATTATGCGATCGCATAATTGGTAAAGGCTATGCCTCGTCGCACACGGGCGGAGTAGCGGCAGCTCGATTTGGCTTTCATTGTGCTCGCTGTCTCTTTTCAATTGTGAGAAATGCAGTCCACTTTCGACGCGCTGGAAGGTGTAGCTAAGGTGCAGGACAGGAGGGGAAAATAAGCATAGCGTTGAAATCATTGGTCGGATGTCAAGCATGAATAGGGAGAGATCTTGACTCAAGCAAAAGAAGATTGTTGAGGACGGGCAAGGGAGAAAAATGTGTAGGTACAGGACTGGACTCGCACTAACTTAGATGGTAGAGACTTGCCTCCTGGTTGTTACTTGATTGGAAGAACGATGAAGAGCAGTTGAACTAACTCAGGTTAGATTTGTAGAGATGGAGAGTGCTATGTCAGAGCTGTGTCGTCTGATTTCCCCATTACCTGGTTGTTGGCGACTTGACCACTTTACACCGAACCGAGTAAATACGGGTTAGCCCACCAGTGGTTTTCCAGAGACTCACACAAAGTGTCGGTACAAAGCCTCATGTTGGATGAGACCCTTTGTTCGCTTCATTCGTCAAAGAGGTCTGTTAGGCGGCTAGCTCTGCTGTACGAGAGATCTGCAATATATGTTCTATTGCTACGGACTGTAAGAATCAGATGCTGATCCAGGTACGGAAGAACGATCTGAATATGCCCTTCTACCGCAATGCAAGCCCATTTGACTATTGACGTTGCTTGGTAAGAGTCTACCGCCGTTGTTAGTATCCCCTTCGGTTGAGTGAGTTGCCACAATTGGACTTCAAAACACCAACGTCGTAATGAGATTCTCGCGATGCATAGGAGCAAAAAGGGCTCGACCAGTATCTTGGCATTCGATGCCGTCCAAGAGACCTGCCTGAATCTTGAGCCATGCGGCAGATTATCATATCCATGCTAGAAGAATGAGACATCCCGCACGGGGTGAGCTGATATGTCTGAGCGCTCTAGGTGATTTCTTTGGAATTAACCAAGCATGATGACCTCAACCAGAGATGACAGGAGCGAGATTGCGGCTATGAGAACACCATACAAGTCGAACACGGTTGCCAGCGAATCAGCGAATCAGCGAATCAGCGATCCGAGTCTCTAGCAAACATGGCCAATCGTCTTCGAGCCGGCAGCGACAACCATTACCAGAAAATCGCAAGCGGTCGCTTAATACGTCCAACCTTCAGTAATAGGGGTTGTTCTCATCCTTGTCCCGTCAAGCGGCTTGGTCTAGGATGTTTTGACGAATATCTAAGTCATAGAAGAGCTAAGGCAGAGCCAGCGCCCTTCAGATGCTGGAGGTATAAAGAGCATTAACTTAATGAAACGAACGAAAAAGCGATCGGCTCAACTTGAGGCGGCTGGGTCTCTATATGAAGGGTATTGCACATGCAACTGTGCTGCCGATGATGATTGAAGTAGCCTTACTTAAATATGGCTAGCTGCAGGGTACACTCGACTATAGCAACGTTTCCTCGGAGGTTGTGGGTCCATCAAGACGCGATCGTGAAGATGGAAGCAACACCCACTCTAGGTCGCTCCAGGCTTACATAGCGAAGATTATGCAATGCACCTTCAAAATGATGATCCTGCTATAGGCTGTGTGAACAGCAATCATTCTGTGTCAAGACTTGACCGCAATGGTAGCCTTGGCTCGAAGGAAACAATGCTGCGGAAAAGTTGTTGGCCAGGAAGATTTCGACACTCGTTTAGCATTACTTGACTCGGGTTGCGCATATTGAAGATCGACGGCCAAAAGAGGCTGTGATCATTCAGGCGAGGAGGAAAGCGCGGGGTGGTCCAAGCAAGATTTTGTTGGTTAGACCTCGTGTCTTAGGTGGAATTAAGATCGTTGCAGGGTTGTCAAAGCCGTCGGCGAGGTTTACATCAACACTTGCGGAAAGTTGACTAAGACTGGTAGTACCTGCATTACTTAGCTCGAGACTAAGTCGTGAACAGACGGACGTTTCCCAATATCCCGTTCTTTTGGAATATCCCATGATCTGGGGGCGGGGCGGGAGATGGGGGCGGTACCGATGGATTGTCTTCAAGCACCAGTCTTGGCTGCAGACCACAGGAGCTAGTAGGAAAGATACATCCTCCCAAGATAGATTCATGCCCTAATGATCGTCAGGGCCATGGCTTATTTTCTGATCGGCGGAGGCTATGTTTGGACTGTGTGAGGGGTGCATAAACTCAATACGTAGTGATTTTCGTCCTTCCGGCTCCCTAGGTCGTTGCCTTGCTCTCTGTAGCTGTTAGACGGCCTGATTAGTGATATTAGGTTGTGGACCTCTGCGTTTCTCGCATATCGAACTACTCGAGTAGTATCTCGGTTCTAGTTACTGAGCATCCACATTGATGCATTGCATACACCACGTGCAAGAGGTCTTTCTCCTCGGAACCTTCTAACGCTCTTCGAGATTTGTTGACAATGTTCCAATGGCATCTCCCCGGTTCCACGGTTCCCTATTCACCTTCTCCTGCTCTTCAACGGTTTGTTTGTAAGTTCGATGAATGTGTCAACTGTCTGGCCCGGACTACCTAGCTGTTCTCTGGTTCCGTTTCAGGTCATGCATGGCAAATAGCAAAGCTGATATCGTTCCTCATTTGCATCAGCCCCTCGTTTGTGCTTTCCAGCAAGGTGCTGTGGCCATTCATCTGGCTGCTGTGGAGGCCCATTTTGTCGATCTAGTCTAGACAATACTCCATTTCCTTCTCATCAGCTTTGTCTTTCTCGCTCTAAACGTCTCGGCCAAGCATGAAAGTGTAAGGGCCCGCTGATGGCCGGGTGGCATGGATTAGGCGAGTGACCTTGATCTATCCCATTGGATGACTTTCTCATCGCACAACGACAGAGGCTCCCTGCATGTGACTCTAATGCGCTTCACTGCAAAATGTGTCATCTTCTTCAAATGATAGTGTTGGTCTTGACCTAAGTTTAGGTGGTAACCCATTGCAGAGCCACTGCACATTCGGTGCCTGCACACCGATGCAGGGGTATGGCTTGTGCTGTGATCTTGAGCAGAAATCATGGTCCAGCCTCCCATACGAAGTACGATGATAGACGCCGTTGCTTGAGCTCTATGCATGTCAGCGCGGCCAACCAATTCTAGATGCAAAATGAGAATTCTCCCTGAATACGGAATACGATTTCCAAAACCATCTTCCTGTCCCAATCTGCTAGAAGCATCGCTTTACAAGCTTCCAGCTCAACAGCACTCTTCTTGATTAGACTTTGGCAAGAGCCGAGCTAGGCTTCAGTTTGTGGCCCTCGCAGCGATCATCGACTTCCGAGATCACATTAGTCCGGCTGAGACGTCAGTGACGAAGAAGGACTTAGGAGAAGTGGAAAGGGGGGTGCAGGAATGAGTATGTAACAACCATCAAGCTCTGTACTTGATCATTAGACCAATATTGTTGTTGACCGGCCTCGCTTGTCCCTCCTTCTGATACGTGGACCTTCGTCCGAAGCAGGGAAATGCCATCTCGCCTGGTACACAACCGTGACAATAAACCCAAGTATGGGGCCAAAGACATTGTTGAGTGGTTGTCCCGGATAAGCGAGCATCGACATGAAAAGAGCAGGACCAGTCCGCCGAGCTGCCTCCAGATTCCTATAAAGCGGGCGACCTTGCCCACTTGGAAAACACATTCACATCAGCATCCTCAGCTTCGAACAAGCTTTCTTCGGTTGTCAATCAGCCCTCTTTAAGTCTCAGGACCAACACGACCAACACCGCCAACATGAAGTTCTTCAGCACCCTCTTCTTCCTTTCTTTCTCCGCCTTGGCCTTCAGCGCTGCAGTCTTCATGCCGATCGAGGAGGAGTATGAAGTGGCCAAGCGCGAGGTCAGCAACGCCAAATACGTGCCTACCACTCTTCCCGACGGCAAGAAATCCATCGCGGTCTATGACGGCGATGTCCTTGAGGGGTCGCTCGTGGAGGGCCCCGACGGTGGAGTTACTGCCTATGATGCCTTTGGCAAGGAAATCGACCTGGACAACCCCGAGGAGGATGATGAGAATGGCGATAAGCGGAAGCGTCAATCCAGACTCAGCATCCTGAGGAAGTTCTATAGCTTCATCAAGAAGTACGGTCGCCGTGCCTGGGTGAGTGATGCCATGTACTTGTCTGTGGGTACGACCTTAGGCTGACAAGAAACAGAACTTTCTCTACTGCATTAGCTTCGAGGTTGCCGTTAAGTGCGCAGACGATGTGGGTGTTCCCCCTCGACTTTGGTGTCCCGTCTGCTAATCATTGACACAGATCCTCCAATGTGCTATGCAAGGTACCCCTCCATGGGCCTGCCTTGAAGGCATCGTCTGCGGTGGTGTTGCCTTCAGGAGGTGCGTCTAATGCAGTCCTTGGGCTGTGGCGGGCCAAGTGGGGGCAGGGTACCAAGACGATCAAACTGCTGAGACTGGGAGACTAAAGCGAAGGAGAATATCTGAGGCAGAGGACTTTTTTTTCTTATCGTGATGTTCTGGGAATGTGATTGTGCATGTTTGTGATGACCCTTGGATTGGCGAGATCTTGGTCCAGTTTCGGGGTAGCTGAGTTTCACTACTGAGGCAATGCAAAGGTCATCTTCACTTTGGAATTCGAATGAGTCAACGTGACTTCTGCGTGATCTCAATGGCTTCTGCAAACACGTTGAGACGTCAATGCTTATATTGGACTTACAAAACCATTCTTCCGTGTTGACTCTATGTGGCGTGACGCCCGCGAGCTCCGTCATGTTGTCGTCTCATACTGACGCAACCATGTGGCATGTGACACATCTTTTGAAGTTATACATCTCTTTGGAATACCAGCAAGAGATTGCTGCATGCGATGAAAGTGGTTGAAAGTTGCAGGCCTGTACTCTGACATGGGAGAAGGTGCTTTTCCATCCGCCCTGACGTTTTACCAAGGCAGTTAGCTGTGCTCTTGGGATCGATTGTGATCCTAGACGAATGGCATGCTACGGGCATTTGATCATTTGATCATTTGATGGCATGATTGCTGTTGGAGTTTCCATGTCGCGTGCACCATGCTATTTCAGAGGTTATTCTTGGTCAACATCACCTGCCTGGCTGGCTCTCTTGTTTTCGTCCTTGGAGGTTCAGAGGTCTTTTTTTCGCCAAATCCAAGGATCTAATCATTTCGATGCTATCACCAGTGGTTCTACAGTGGTGTCTTGTCGAGAAAATCGAAAATCTGTAAATAAATCTGTAAATGTTGCTGGGGGAGATGGTGTCGGCAATGCAATCGGTGGAGTCGTGGATGTTTGGATAAGAACCCGGTTGGTGACTGACGTAAGCTATCACGAAGCTGCCCTAAGGTTCAATCAGGCAAATCTGCCGGGCGGTACCAAGATGCCCTATGACCCAATTTGGCAGCAGTAAGAAGTGGAGTCTTATGAAGAGAATCGTACCCAGTGGCAGAACAGGAAGAATAAGCCAACCTCTTGTACCTAATCTAATGCACGGATAGAACGCCTGGGGCGCTGTATGAGAAAAGCTCGCATAGAAGCATTATCAATCCCGTAGCGACCGGCAGATGCACTTGTAGCTGCCAAAGCGAGTTCCATCTGTAAAGGTGACCACTTCTCAGTCCCCAGGCGAGTCAGCGGTGGTTATCCCTTGTGATCCATGTCGCGCTTCACGTTTCGTTGTTTCCTGGTTTAGAATGCCGCTTTGAGGTCAATCTCGGCAACTAACATCATAGATGCATTGACAGATCCTGTGGTTGAGAAGGCATATCAGTTGCCCTGTATGGAGAGATAGATGCAATGAGAAAGGTCAGACTTGCGAACTAAAGGTGCCACCGCAGCGGCCATTTCGCTGGCCTGGTTATCCCACCATCATCACAATGTTTTAACGACGTCGCTTACGCACTAAGACAATAGACGTAGCCTGTCAGCTCTCTCTCCCCCCATCTCAAACCCAGCAGCAATATGAGTTGTCGTGCTCAAATACCTCCGACGCATAATGGACGGGTGTCTTGGGACTGAAAGATCTGCTCGAGTACGTCTTTTTGCATAGCCAGACTCTAGAATTCGGCTCACCGGCCATTACGATGCCGATCTTTCCAAGGATCGTAAGCCAACTGGATACTTCTCAGATTCTGTGTGCCACAAAGTATATCGGCGAGCTCCTCGAAGATTGATATGGCGTAGACCCCTTGCTTTGCCTGCCAGCTTATATCAAAGCCGACCAGTAAAGGCTCATCGTGACTTAGGCGAACGATCTTCTTACATCACGCAAGCGAGTGTTTGGCCCTTGTCTGATTGATCGAACACGACTGCGGGATGACCTTTGTGTCGTTGTAATGATTCCCTGTAGGTCAGGACGCCTTGCCACAAATCTTGGGGCGATTTGTGCTTGGCAAGGAAATGTAACAACACAACAGTGAAATTTTGATTACCCAGTCCATAACTTTGTAGCTGGCTAAGGGTTTGGTGTAACATCTCTGCTGAGAATGATGGAGTCGAAATGATGAAGCCCTCAAGAGACCATCCTCACCGGCTCGCCGTTGAACAATCAAGGCGTCCCCTAGCTCTTACAATGGACAAGATAGCCCAAACGACTTGAAGTTCTGTGGTACAGGGATGGTATGCAAGGCCAGAGCATCTTGAATTCCACCTGTCAGGCAGCTCCCTGCGAAGCTCCCTACATGGCTCAAGTCTTATTAGAAAAGTTACGACCATAGTTGGTCCCCGGGTGCATGCTGCCCCTGTGCTTGAATCTGATACGTCTCATCGAGTAATTTCCCGAAGGCCCTGTCGCTGTCAAGGTTCAATTTCACCTCTACTCCAACTAGGTGCTCAATCTACCCTCTCCTCAGGTAAGATGGGAAGCAAAGCGAACTTGATGACTCACTGACGATTCCACATCGTCCAAAATCAATCACTGTCATGCCCCATTTTTCCATTATATACGGATAACTTGAGCGTGGTCACTCAGAGAGATCCTAAAAGCGTCTTCTTAGAATTTCGCCAGACTAAGGAGTACCCACATTGACTTCAAGACTTTTAGGGAATATGATGGACAGTACGAGATGGTCGATGCAGTAATGCTACGCAGTTTGAACGGCGGCCTACAGGCTAATCAGGCTGAGAATGTGGTTCAAATATGTCTCCCGGCCCACTTACCGGGTACTTCCCGTTACTACAGGCGTGTATGAAGCATATATAATGTACATGACCGGATCAGATGGCAACATTCAGCCTGGAATGGGAACGCCTCCTACTCCAAACACCACATAACAGAACCGGCGAGGTATCCGATGACAGGCTTTTTCGACCGCTCTGGTCAAGCTCTCCTGTTCCATGCAGGGCCACTGTCTATATGTTTCCAGCCGAGCCTGCAGAACAAAGGTGGTAGACGTCTGCTGAAGCCAACAACATGACGGCAATGCATGCCGAGCTGCCACGAAATGAACGGCCACGGGAAGCAGGAGAAACAAAAATCCCTTTCTCTGCCATATACCCTATACAATATAGAAAAGAAAGTTGGTATCGTTAAACACTTGGCGCCGTGCCAAGTCGTGTCCATAACAGCCCCTTTAGAAGTTCAAAGGTATTCAAATGGTATCATGCGGAAGTAGAAAGCCCTGTGCGTCCTCGAACTGCCTGTACAATGTATTGAAACCATGAACATCCAATGCCGATCAAACTCCAAAAGCACAAAATCTAGCGATGATAGTTCGAGATGAAGGCGAGCTCAGATGCACTGATTTCTCAACCATTCGTGGCGATTGACTTGTCTCTATGAGTATGTGTCCAGCTGCGGAAGTCAAAACTCTTCTCACCGGACTTTCCAGGCGGGTTAGTCCCGGTCGGGGACGTCCGTGTCTGCATCTGTTCCCTCGGCTCAAGAATGAGAGAGCGCCGGTAGTGATTCTGAAAGCTTTTCTCCCCAGCAGATCTAACTCGGACCAATTGATCTTGCATCCATGTCTGCAGTTCCGGGACTTCGGTCAAGCGGTACGGGACCTGAAAGCGCTGAAGTTCGCTGATAATCTTGGCTGTCTTCATGTGCTTATCGTAATTGATTAATCCAATTGATCCCTCCTCGGTCGTCAGTTGGCGAGTCGCCTGATTACCGTGGTCAACGAAGGTAAGGTCCGTGAGATAGATGCCCACGAAGGGCAGACAGGGAGGTACATGGCTCTGAAGTCGCTGGCGTAGTACCACATAATTCCTTGAGACATCGACTATCTTCTTCAGATCTTCCAAGGTAGCCTTTGTCTTCTGCGAGACCATCTCCCAAGTTTTCTTCAACCGCAAAATCGTTGATGAATTCAGTGCGCAGATCATTGCCATGAGGGAATCATAATTCTTGAGTTCCACACACTTGTTAGCAATCTTGACCCACTGCTTGATCAATACAGCTCGTTTCTTCGGCTCTTCTAGCTGCAGAATGGAATCTGCGACAAGGTTCGCTAGATCTGTGGATAGGGTCGACATTGAACGAACATTTACGGCAAGCGATCCAGAACGCTTCATCCACTCGGTAGCAAGCAGCTCTTCGGGGAGAATGGAGCAAAATATTGAAGACTCCTTGATAGTAATCTGGCGTGCGAGCTCCAGAGGGTCGAAGTCGAGTATGCTCACATTTGGTCCCCCCATCTTCCAAGTCTTCAGCGCTAGTAGCTGACTCTTCGAAATGATGGGTGCGGGGACAGGTGTATCCGGATTAACATATTGGGCGATCGAGGTGTTCGTCTTGCCAATTGAAGAAACCAGCCGGGGAACCAAAGGTCCGTGTATGTCAGTAACTTTTTCGGCAAGTTCAACCAAGCGTTTCCCAGCCGTAGGGAGCACTTCCGTGAGGATGTTGTGCGCAAAATCAAGGATAAAAGGCAACGCAATATCGTCACAGTCATGCCGCCAGTGAGATTCGAGCCAACCTTTGAAGATGTTGTAGACGCGCAAGCGAACCGGGCCAGCGACGGATGGGGTCTCGCCGATGTAGTTGAACCGATAAGCGAGAGCCTCCGCAAATTCTTGGGGCGATGCAAAGAGACGGAAAGTAAGATAGAATGTCGACACGAACAAAGCATCTGGGGTGGAATGGTGTGCGGTTAGCTTCTCAATGAGAGCTGATAGAGTCCCACCAATGATTTGTCCTTCCTTGTTGTACATCAGCTCATGTGCAAAGGTCTTTTCCATAATCTTAGCTTCCGTTTCATCGCATTCCTCAGCTGATATGGTGTGGCTGTCAGACAGCTGATTTTCTAGCACATCAGCCTCCAGGTGTTGAGACAAAGCACCAGGAGAAGTGGCGCGGGTCGAGTTCTGAGAATCGGCGCTGACTTCGGAATCCCTTCCGCTGGAAACATAGGTGCCGCTACTACCAGTGCTATTCACAATAGCACGAGCTGAACATCCATCTGAATGGATTTGTGATGAAGCATAGATGATTGGTTCAAACGTCGCCAACTCATTTTCAGGAATCGTGGGTGTTCCGTTGGTAGATGGCGCTTGAACAGATTCGGTCGAGACAGGTGATGCATTTGCTACCGAGTCTGCCGTCATCGCGTGGAAAATGGAATAAGATTTTGGTAAAGAAGCGTCGAATGGTAATGAGAGAGGGCTAGTAGGTGGAATGATTGTCTCTGGAATTACTAAGCGAGGAGCCAGATCTTGCTCCGGTCCATTAACGTCCGATTCTTCCTCCATCTCATCTGTAGCGGGACGTTCTTCTGTCCCATCTGCAATCGAATGCTCACGCGGGTCGTCAGCAGCAGATTGTTCCACTGTCTCATCTGCAATTGACTGGTCCTCTGGTTCAACACGAATTGGCCGTTCCTCCTCAAATCCGGCATGAGACCTCTCGTTGTCCATATCTATGCGCCGGGATGACCTTGGGGATCCAATGGTGACCACTGAAGATCGTAGCTCGGTTGCTTCAGGTTCGAAATCCCCAATACGCTCGAGGACAGATCTAGTCATAGCAACACACTCTCCAGCTCCCCGCACACAATCTCTAGCAGCATTGACAAGCCTCTTACCCTCATCAGGTATGAATAGCATATCTTCGTCGGCCGAAGGGAGGGGACGGAAGGCTTCTCGAGCAGCGTGCACCAGCTCGGTGATATTATCGTACATGGCATCCTTGGCCTCTGCCAGATTCTCTGCACGGCGCATATCATGGTCCAAAACAACCTCGATCAAAGTGAGTAGTTCGCGGCAAGACTTGACTGAATGCTGAGTGGTGAGCAGCAGCTCGGAGGAAGACCTTGATTGCATGTGGAGGCCGAGAAATGTGCCAAGGCATCCAAGGAATGTATCATGGCTACTTCGCAACCGCTCCGATGCCAGTTTGGAGTTTTTGGGGCCTATGGTATAGCCACCAGATGTCATTCGATGCGATACTGACGTCCGCTTACTGTAGACGGAGATTGGGCGATCACCCAAAGGAGAATAGGATGCCTCACGCCGCGAGTAACACCTTTCGTGGCCAGGACTTTGCCGATGCCTAGACTTGCAAGATTCTTTTGAAAGACGAGATTCTCGTTGCGTTGCGGCAATTGACGGGTCTGCATAAAAGCTCTCTTCCTTCAAATTCACGGGAGGGGCAAGAGCAAAAGTGAGAGGCGAGCTGCGATCATGACTTCTAGCTCGGTCAAGAATGGCGCTAACACTTTCGATATCACGATTTGCACCAGCATCTTCGTTCCAGACGTCGAGAAATTTGACTCCTCGTGTCACGATTTTGAAGGCTTTCAACAACATCTCGCTGAAGATCTCGTCAACGGGACGATCTGAAGTTGATCCCGAGGCAATATCCTGTAGAACTTTGGCCATCTTGACCAGTGAGGAAAGATCCGAAAGAAGCGCCTTCCTAGCCCTTCGGATATTTTCATGATTCCTGACGATTGATGAGTCTCTTGTCAGGCAGTCTGACTTCTCCAGCAGAAACCTTACACCAGCGATCAAGCCGCGCATATAGTCCTGATCGCGGAAGATTGCGAGAGTCGCATCTTTTCGACTTCGGATCACGTCCCAGAAATCAGCCAATGCCTTGAGGAGTGGCCGCATTGGAATGTGCTCATATCCCTCACAGTAGTTCGTTGGGAGCCAACCTCGAGCACCAGTGTCGAGTAATGTCCCATCAGCCCAGCCGTTAGTGTGGATAGAATGAACCAATATGATATTGCCAGCGTCGAGTGGGAGGGTGACTGCAGAAGGGGAAACGGACGCCGTGGGATGAAAGGGATAGAAGGCACGGAGGTAGTTATGGAAGGTTGCTCTGACCGGCTCGTTGGCCTTACTCCTTGGCTCACTTGCATCATGAGGTGTCAATGGCGGTGTGGTCTGATCGCTTGAGTGCAGCCCTGCCTCAACATGTGAGGAGCCAGTCTTATATCTCGAGGCGGTCAAGTCGGAAGTGGACTTGACAATATGTAGGGGCGCCACATAGATGCCGGAGTGTTGTGCTTGCTCCATTGTCGTTCAATGTTTAGCATGAAGAAAGTTGCGTCAGGGTCCTGCCTGACATGATCTTCGAATCTGCGTGCTGAGGGTTAGTGTTTCGCGGTCATAGGCATCTTGAACTCAATTGAGATGTTGTTAGGTTTGTCGACAAACAAAAGCTGGAGGAATGTGCGCAATGTGCATGTGCAAGAATGCGAGCTATGAAGCACTCACAGTAATCGATCAGTGCCCACCGCTTTCCAAGGTACTACCCTGTTGTGCCTTTAACTCTTCGTTCTGGAGTCCGACAAGGAAGCCCAACTGGTTCTGTATGGACGCAGTATTGGCCTTCAATATGTACAGGATCGGTCCAAGCGAGGGGGGCCTATACCAGCTGCGGGGAAGAAGCGAAGGCGGTAGGGAAAGACAGCAGAGCTCGAGTAAGGTGGTATGCAAGGACTGGCCTGGTTTGGCAAGGGCGATGGCCGTGCAACTGTGGTTTGGTCAGGTGTAGGACGTCTTCAACTGCCAGTGAGTCAAGCAAGGTTCGCCAAGGAGACAACGTGCTGCAAGGTTTGCTTCTTTGCAGTACACTGACAGCTGCACGCAGCGACTTCTTAGATGTATACAGCAACACAGACCGGAGGATGCTCAGCGAAAGTGTCAGTTACGGTTGAATTAGCGAAAGATGCGCAGGCAGCTGGTCCATCTGCTTCTGTTGACTAAGGTGAAATCAATGTCGCAGCCAGAACCCAAAAGCGGCGGCTGCTAGCCATTGTCAAATATGGGGAGAAGAAATCATCCTCGAGTCCATTTCCTCGGTCCCTCTTCCTCTGGTTCGAGGAGAGGATCGTCCTACTAACAGAGCTCTACCATGCACTAAGATGGATGATCGCAGGGATGGCTGCAAAGGGGAAGCGGGATGGGAAAACAGGGTCGGTAAGGATGAAAGCGCCCAATCGGTCACTATTACTAAGAAACTGGCATTCAGAAGTGCCACCGCGACAAACTCTGTGATACACACCTTCACCTACGCAGTTAGAGCCATTTCTTCTATCTACCAGCCAGGCCATAAGGAGATCAGTATGGACCGTTGGGGTGCCGCTCCTTCAAGAGGTCACAGCAGTAGCTTAACTGCTGCTATCTCGACCGCTCGCTCGTATCGATCATGATGCCGGCTACATATCCCATACATAAGCCTTCGCCTGCCTCTTCTGATTCGTCTTAGATACCATGGGTGCATATTATTCATCAGGCATAAATAATGTTAGGTTTACGCTAATACCCGCCACTCATAACACCCTTGATACAGGTGCCCCGACGCCCTTGTACAGTATCCCTGTCGCGACTGTGCGCAATGCTGGGCACTCTATCCTACTTACGGCAAGGTATATACATGGCCTTGTATCTTTTCATGACGTTACTGGCACCAGATTAACATTATTTATGCCTCTCACCGTAGTAATGCGCCACTGGAGAAGCTCTCTATGCTACTAGTACTCGATGAATCGTGTCTATAAACTTGCGGCAAGCATATCAAAGATGCTAACTTGAAGCTGGCGTGTCAGAACTAGTCGCTTCTCCCTTGGCAGGAGCCATTTCAGAGTTGTGGTCTACTAGGTACGAGTAGTATGTACCTTCAGATGTGGTAGAAGGCGGCATAATCCGACTGAACCACTAGAGCGCTGGAAGGAATTGAATTCAACCTAACCGGTAGTGAAGCCTCCTACTGGCACATGGTGTCATTTCGTATTAGCAAAGAGACTCCGGTCAAAGATTGTTGGCTGCGAGCTCGAATTTAAGACAAGAATTTCTAGCTTCACTTATCTAACTTAGTCCAGTCAAACCAATAATGATTATCTTTCCGGGATCCGGCGTCTGCCCGAGGACGAGTGTCAATTTCACATAGTTTACCAATAAATCCCCACCTAAGCAGAAACTTCCGGAACTCTTCCTAGACGCCATTAGCGTTTGGTTAAGTGAAGTCGGTCACAAAATCCAGAAAGTGTTGAGCTATGCCACAAGGATTGACCTCCCAGTCAGACTAGGATAATTTTGAGCTCCCCTCTACGGCGAGAGCATTTTCTTGAGCAAGTGTCATGTGGATAACGGTGCTGCAAGAAGGGCATACGAGGAGTCAACATCAGAAAAAGCCCATCTCATGCTAATCACCCAAAGGACAAGCAATGGCCTAGTTGCTACTTAACACACGTCCTGCACGTTGCTTGGGCTGCATTGCATTAGGGCAGGTGAAAAATCACCCGAATGGACACCTTCATTTGAGCCACATGAATGATGAAGGCAGGATCTCCTTTCACCATCATCAGCAAACTGCTAATAATGAGGCATCGCATACACGACGTGCAATGTACAGCAACGAAAACAGTTGAGCCTCACTTACAACTATTAGGCGGAGTCAATCACAAAATACCCCCACAGTGTTTGGATTTCAGGACGTACGTCAGGTTTGTCAACTGGAGCCTGAGCGTGCTATTGAATTAGGGCCGATAAACGCTCCAGTCCCCAATTCGGTGCCCTTATGGCAAGAAGTTCGCCTGATACTCGTCACTATTTCATGGTTGGGCGGAGATGAGGCGTCATCGCTGACCCCAGCGGGAAGATCAATCCTGAGCGCCATACCCCGGTAGCGACCGTACGTAGTATTCTTCAATCACAAATCACACATCCTGGTGACGACTCTGCAACAAAACTCAATATGCCTCATCAATTCTAATCTAACCACCTTGCGAAACAATTCTCATTTCCAGAGTTGCCTTGCTCATGGCGTGCTGCGGTACCAGTCAGCAGTCCTCGAAAAGCTGAAGTCTCACGGAATCACACCAATGGAAGGAGTTTGACGCGTTTTAGTCGGAGTCTTCTGCTCAGCTATCCTTCCAGCTCGTCATAGCTTCCATTGGGATGTCCTCCCAGAAAACTGGCTGCAATAGCTCTGACTCTTGTCATATCAAATGCTCTGTACAATTGCTTATTAGGCAGCTTATATGAAGAAATGAACCTGTTTACACTGCGCCTGAGGTCTGGTTGTTTGTGTGCTTAATAACTGTCTCAGTGTTCCACTTGCATATCGTCCAACCTCAGGGCCAATGTTTTCTGAAACAGACATACGGAGTCTGTTCTTAATTTAAAGTTGGTCCATCTTTCACAAGTAAGAATCTTGTATCATTTTCGCGTGGGAGTCTCTTCGCATGAGGGCTAGCTTGGGTTGATGCTTCAGGTTTCTTGCATATCTTCCCTGTTAGTCCCTGGCCAAGTACTGGCTGCATATCTGCACCTTACAATCCATCTTGTGTTATATTCTGAATGGCTTCTTAATTTCTGTTGTTAGCTATCAAGTTTTAATAGCCTGCAACCGTCTGAAAGCATGTTAGCTTTGTAATCTTTAATCCTATTACTGATCTTGCGCACTGGCTCCACACAGAGCTCTCCTTGATCAGGAGTAAAACCCATGAACACCGAGTCCATATGGCGTGTGAAGTTACGTACTCAAGCTACTGGTTACGAGACTCTGCAAAATCTACGATGGATTCCAATATCTTCAAGCGTGCAAATGTTGTAGAAGTAATAGCACAAAACTGCTCTGGACAAACATCCATGCATGCCAAGTAACTGCCTGCTGCAATATAAATATATCATAATATGTCATCAACTACTAATCCATGTCACGGACTATATTTCGTAGCCTATGCAGCCTGGCTCAGACCCGACATCATATTCCCAAATATTTCTTCGGCACCTCCTCATGTTCTCAGGCCATGGATCCCAAAACAAAGCAATTGTATCTCGCCGATGCGCCTCCGAACGTGGTCAAGCTTGAGATTAAACCACATTTTGAAGCTTTGACCGACAAGCAAAAACGATATGCTCATCATATCAGCAGGTTACTTACACGCTTCCCCGGGCTTGCTGCAAGCAATGGAATTCAACAGGCTAATGGTTTTGCAGGGCTTCATTTCTTGGTACCCGGGTTACACTGCGTCAAGTTTCTCCCGAATCAGAACCAATATACGATCTGATCATTACTCTCTACAAATCATGCAAAGGGGAATGGAAAACATTGGCTGAAAGGACAGGCACCTCATTGCAAGACCTCACCAGCTTCTTGGAGTACGCCACACAGTTTTTGGGCAACTGCGGCAACTACAAGGGTTTCGGAGACTCAAAGTTTATTCCAAGGCTTTCGCAGGAGGCGTTGAGGAAGCTCGCGTCATGTTCTCCAGAAAGCGAAAAAGCTTTGCAGAAGGCAATGACCGCAGGCGGTGGAATATACGAGACCAAAGACACAGCGCTTATGCATCTGGGTTACCCGCAAGATGGGCATATGACGGCCTATTATCCCGACTCACCCACAATCACAAAGGAGGAGATATCGTCAATTGGAGACCTGCTAGAAAAGAAGAAACTGCTGCTCGAGAATACCAGGCTCCGGAAGACATCAACGGGAGATTTTGAGCTCCTAATCGCCAGTGCTGAGAGCAACCCAGCACCTGCGAACAGAGACCTTGGCGACATCGATTACTTAGATCTAGAGGCAGAGCTTGCGGGAAAGAAGTTAAAGTTCGTCTTCGGGGATTACTCTAAAGAAATGGAAAACATAAGCAATGAATCTGGCAAGGCAGCAGAATACGCCAACAACGATGTCCAGAAGTCCATGCATGAGCAGTACCGGAGATCTTTTCACACAGGCTCGATCCAAGCCTTCAAAGAGAGCCAAAGATATTGGATCAGAGACAAGGGACCCATGGTAGAATGCAACTATGGCTTCATTGAAACCTACCGTGATCCTCATGGCGTTCGAGGAGAGTGGGAAGGTTTCGTCGCGATGGTGAATCAAGAGCGGACGCGAGCATTCGGCAAACTCGTCGAGTCCGCCTCGAGCATGATACCAAAATTACCCTGGAGCTCCGACTTCGAAAAAGACAAATTCCTCAGTCCGGACTTTACCTCTCTAGAAGTCCTCTCCTTCGCCGGAAGCGGCATCCCAGCTGGGATCAACATCCCCAACTACGACGACATCCGGCAAAACCTAGGATTCAAAAACGTCTCCCTGGGCAACGTCCTCAGCGCCAAATCCCCCAACGAACCCATCCCCTTCATCCGCGCCGCTGACGATGTCCTGTACCGTAAGTGCCGCGATCCGGCATTCGAAGTGCAAGTTGGGATCCACGAACTTCTCGGCCACGGGACGGGAAAACTACTTCAAGAAATCGAACCGGGCGTCTACAATTTCGACCATGTCAATCCGCCCATAAATCCGGTCACCAACAAACCCGTGTCAACATGGTACAAGCCCGGACAGACCTGGTCGTCGGTCTTCGGGCCCATCGCCTCTTCCTACGAAGAATGCCGCGCCGAATGCGTCGCCATGGTGCTGGGCTGTGACTTTGGGATCCTCAAGATCTTCGGCTTCGGCACTGGAAAGGAAGACATGAACAACGAGGCCGGCGACGTACTCTACGTGGCGTACCTGCAGATGGCGCGCGCCGGGGTCGGAGCGCTGGAGTACTGGGACCCGCAGAGCCGGAAGTGGGGCCAGGCACACATGCAGGCTCGATTTAGCATTTTGCGCACGTTCATGGACGCAGGCGACAATTTCGTCGAATTGAAGGCGTCCAGAGACGATCTCTCGGATCTGGAGATCCATCTTGACCGCTCCAAGATATTGAGTCATGGCCGGCCGGCTGTGGAGAGGTATCTGCAGAAATTGCATGTGTATAAGAGTACGGCGGATGTGGAGGCGGGCAGGAAGTTGTATGATGAGGTTACGGGGGTGGATGAGTGGTGGGGTGGGAAGTTGAGGCCGGTTGTGCTGGAGAAGAAGACGCCGAGGAAGGTTTTTGTGCAGGCAAATACCGTGCTGGAGGGGGAGGATATGGTGTTGAGGGAGTATGAGCCCACCATGGAGGGTATGATACAGAGTTTTGCTGAGAGGGATATTTGAGACGAGGATATGGACGTTACTCGTGACGATAGAACGCTCGCGTATCGTGGAGATGATGTAGATAGGAGCCCGAACCGTAAAGAAAATGGTTTGAGCGCAGGTAAGATAAAAAAAAAGTCAAGCTTCACGACGTCACATTGCAAGGCACAGCGAGGCGTCGAGGTAGACAGGGCCAGGGAAGTGTATATACAGTAGACACGAAACTCGTCCTTGGTCCGCCTTCAGGTCCATACTCCCATCCACCTTTCTGGCGTAGACTTCGACCAACTTAAAAAAAAGGTTCAATGTGAGCTGCTAGTTTCGGCAGGCACTGGTCCTTCTCATCCAATCCGATAGAAGAGATCTGCTCGATCTGTGCCGATTCTGGGGTACAGAGGGTACAGTCGATGGAAGTCCAGAATTAGTGAGCTGTAGTAGCGTCGTTGCGCAGCGATGAGCCGAGCATTGGAACCCCGTCACCCGATGAAGGAGGAAAAGAAGCAGAAATTTTGATTTCAGAGTTGCAAGAGGATACTTGTCTTCGATGATCTTCAAGGCTCATTTTCAGTCGTTTTGAAGCTTGAAAGTCATGTTCTTTTTTGAATTTTCGTAGCTTGTTCGCTATTGATGTAACCCCAGTAGGGTCGCTGGACCCAGATGTTTTTGCTTCGTGATGCTTTTAGACCATCCTGTGATGGGCGATAGGTATTGTTTCTCCCTTGAATGTCGGAATAAGGGAGTATATGCCAAGATGCTGAAGACGGGCGCTAATCTGATTAGGATAACTTTGGTCTACTACGTACGTAGTACGAGGTGCCGCCCAGAAGTAATGAGATTTCGCCCTAGAGGGTATAGCGTGTAGACCAGGGTATTCGACCAATCAGAGGCCGTAGAGTCTCTCGTTTGGAGCTGAATTTGCTCTCTCTCGTTGCTATAGCTATCTCTGTACATATTTATAGATCGTTTGGAGCTCTGTGTGCAGCGTGAGGGTAATAACAACTTTCGTGGATGAGAAATATACAATTTGAGTGGTGTATAAAAGACGTAATTAATACCAAAACACTAAGGATTCTGGTGTACTAATACATGAGATAGCGTAATATGTAGTACGAGAAGCTTGTATCAAACTAATCCCAATGCAGTATCTCATTACTTCTGGGCGGCACCTCGTAGTTACTGAAAAATGTAAGAGACCTAAACGGAGTGACTGCCCCTCCTAGTCTCCCTGCCGGCCCTTGTGGTCCTCCCACCGGGCCCTTATCCACCTTTCTGGCGTAAAATGATCCGCTTGATTATTGGTCGACGTAGATGACTAAGATAGGCCCAATCGGGTTAGCGCCCGTAACCTTAACCTTAAGTTGAACCAATGAGAAGCCGTTTATAGAACCTTATATCAATATACACTAATCAAATTAGGAAGTAGCAACACCAAAAGAATAGATTTTGCTACATCTCTGCTACAAAGAGGGTAAATGACGTGCCCAGCACCTTGAATTGTGGCAGATAGGGATGTTACACTTGCTGCAAGACCATAGGGTCCTGTGGATACCCTTTATGCTTCTTTTTGCGTTGTAGGGGACATTGGTAGAGAGTTCTTGCAGTGCTTTAGACGGTCTGCATGCTTTTTTTGACCTAGGATTGCATAGATAGCAGCGGCGCCAGCTATCTCCTTTGACCCACGAATGCCCTTTGTAACTATCTTTTGGTACTGTTTTAGTACGAGGATCGCAGTTAGCTTGGGGAGGGCGTGGTGGCCGTTGCCGTAGAATAGCTCCAGGTCCTTGAAGCAGACTTTGTGCTATTTTCTCTTGGAATTCGACGTGGGTGAGCTTTTTGCCACTACTGCCTTGCTTATAGAGAGTATAAGCATTCGTAACAGCTGCATCGACGAGTAGATAGAACAGAGGTAGCCAATTACGACGATGATAGTGTCTGCTTACTGAATAGTGCGAATTCAGTCTTGCGTGGCTATCTGAGCCACCCATCTCTTTATTATAATGCTCAAGAGCATATAGCTTTCGTAGATATTGTTGTGCCTGATTGCCAGAAGGCGTAGAAAGCGCAGAACTCGTAGAAGGCGCAGAATTCGTAGAAGGCGCAGAGAGCGTAGAATTTGCAGAAGATGCCGAATTTGTCGAATTTGCCGAATTCGGAGAAGGCGTAGAGCACGTAAATTTCGCAGCATTAGTAGAATTTGCAAAATTTGCAGTTTCTGCATCCACAGCAAACTTTCGAGAGGCCCCAGGACGCTTGTTTCCGTCGAAATAGGTGTATTCCTCCGTAGTAGGATCGTGAACAGTGGTCATTATTGCCTTAGAAGCTGAATCACAAAATGCGATACAGTTAACGCTGCCAACAACGTAATTAAACCATTCTCCATGGTCGTTTTGCTTCGTCATTGCGTCACGGAGATATGCTAGCTCCTTTGGTATACCAGACCCTGCTTTAGCTGTGCCATTTGCCCCAATTCCGAGTTCGTAGAGTCGTTGATAGAGCTTGCGCGTAGTAAAGAAGTTATCTAAATGAAGAACGTAATATGGCTTAGGGCGCGGAAAGCGTGCTAAAAGCGACTCAGCAAGATCCAACACAATTGCTTCGCTTTAAGAGAATCCAGAATATTGCTTTAATTCAGCTACTTTCTCTGTAGCGCTGCTGAATTTGAAATCAATTATATAGCCGTTAGAGCAACAAAGGCTATAGATTTTGTATCCCTCGCTAGCAGCCTTTGAATTCATTTGAATAGTGTGCTTCGAACGTCCTTTGAATTTGATTAATTGCTCGTTAATTGAGAGATTCTGTGGCAATTCGTACACATTTGGAGTCGTAGCTTTTCGAAAATGAGTGGCAAGTGGCTTAATCTTTTTGTACCATTGATCATCAGCAAGAGGCCCTGGCCTATTAATCTTAAGATATCTTGAAATCTGCTGAAATCGACGTAAAGAGATGTATTTAGCAACTGGCCAATGAGGATAGTTCTGCTTCTGATTCCAATAATAGGCTAAATCTCTGCCACCCGGCTGTGCGCTAATAAGAAGCACAGCGCCAATGTAGCCCCCAATATCCGCAGCAGTTACATCTCTCCATTCTCGTTGATTTTGATCGAATTCTTGAGATAGCTGTTCGAATGCGTACTCGTTCGTATGCTCTGTAATGTCCGTAAATAGCTCATTCGGAATAAATCGATGAAATAGATCGATTGGCTTGTATTCATGAGGGCGAAGTTTTGACTGCCCTAGCGCAAATGGGATCGGAACGTTCAGCTTTTCTGGGAAAGGTCGCCTTGGACCTATTTGCTCAGCAAGAATTTGTAGCTTTTTTGACTTGTTTTGAGTAGATTCAACTTGTATTTGCCATTCTTCCTTCTCTTTTCTATCTTGTGTATTTATGCCAGGTCCTTGAGAGCTGTTTTGGCGAGTTGGTGGCCGTCGCCGTTTTGATTAAGAGGCGTCATTTCCGGTAGATAATGAACGTTCATTGGATACCGGTTTTTGCGAAGAAGTCGGTACCGCAGGTTGGAAGGAAGGTACTTCGAATAGCTGATTTTGCGCTTGATTTTCTTGAGCCTTTTGGCTTTGGATTCGCGCTCTTTTGGGCCGAGGACAGTCCTTGGCCAGTGGAGCAGCTTCAATAGCGTCAATTGGCCCCGAAATCTCCTCTTGGTGGTGTTTTTGAGTCATTTACTCTCCTATCAATTGGTACATTCCTACTAATTCTACTACCCTTTTTGGGAGTTGAAATTTAAGGTTAAGGTTACGGGCGCTAACCCGATTGGGCCTATCTTAGTCATCTACGTCGACCAATAATCAAGCGGATCATTTTACGCCAGAAAGGTGGATATTACCTCGTGTTGGTAAGATAGAAGGAATCATTCTCCTCCCTGGTCGGACCGCATTAGTTGGGTTTCGTAGTTGTCGTTACTAACTAGCGCTGTATTTGTGAGACTCATGCCAGCGATTGACTCCGTGGCTGCACTGATCTGCTGGTTTGTAGAGTGTTGGGCCTGATGCGCACTCTTACTTTTGAGAGATTTTTCCCTTCTTGGCAGTCTAGAAGTTCTTAACTAAATTCTGTTTTGAATTAAAGATCTCTGCCCTAAATGTTCTATACTTCAAACGATATAAAGAGACCCTTACTGAGACCATCTCATCAGAGAAAATATCCAATTCCACTAAGATTTAAGGCTGATGCAGATAACTGAAAATCGATCATTCTGCACTTCTGGACCCGTTCCGGTTCTGGGTTACCCAGGTTACTACTAGTAGTACTTCGTACTTACTACGGGGGGAGGCAGAAGTATTCGTAGGACAGCGCTAGTATCTTTTTCTAGAAAGGGGCCACAAATAAGAGGGCTAAGCTTCAAGCAATTGAGCGGTACCGCTCTGGCCAATCACTTGGACGATAGTCTAAGAAGCTTCTAGACATCAATGTGGCGCTGTATCAGAACTTGTTGCTACTAGCACCCTGCTACGAATACTTATGTCTCCCCCCGTAGTACTACCTCTTAATACTAAACTTGTGGCACGGGCTAAAGTCGTAGTTTGGGTGGATATGGGTTGGCTCGAACGTCACGCCGTTAATGGGTCCTAGCCAACGCCATCTCAGCCCATAACAGTGAGAATATCCAGACACGTTTCAGAACCCCGCCTAAAGGAGCAACACATACGTGTATGAAAGAATCTGATTTATGAAAGCAAGAGGATGAGACCGTCCCTGGTTCGGTTTCATCCATCTCAGAAAAGAAATACCGCTGCACCCCTTTGGCAACAAGCCAAGTATGACCAGCGAGTGGTGGCAGGAGCAAGTAGAGCTAGAGACCAGTCCACGGGACCAGCAGACGACGCTATCTCGCAATCAGCGACCATAGCTTATCGGCAAGCTGGTCAAACGTCCAGAACTAACTGTCGTCTAGTCTGAGAGCTTCCTCCGAGTGCCTGACTCGAAAATGGGGGGGATTTAGATGCTGCACGGCGAGGACATGAATTTCATCCCGCTATTTAGATGAGGCTGACTGTTTAGTCTAACAAGCTAACATAAGAGGGAGTCTTAACTCATACCAGACAGTGGGGAAAGCAGGCTTGAGATGGACCGTCCCAACAAGTTCTGGAAGCTACAGCAGAACGTCGCTAACGTCGGTGCCTTGACCCTCAATTACGAGGCTGCTTGGGAGCCAGCTCGGGCTAGATACACGTGTCCTAATTGGATGGCGAGGATGCACCTGACAACGCCTTGCTGCTCAAACCATGGCTGGTGATTGGCAACGCTCGTATGGAAAATACGGACGCCATTCTCCTTAGGAGCGAATTTGGAGAATAGATTTTGTTGTGGACGGTGATGAAGAAGACGTCTTTTGCTCACTCCACGCGTGTGTGTGACAGCTTTGGTAAAAGTTCCAGTGACGGTCTATCCTTCTACATAAGCGCAACTTTCGATTTCGGTCATCCTTTTACTTATTCGGTCCCCCCCAAAAAGTCTTATTAAACCAGCTTTTTGTTATACCGTAAGAGACAAGCATATTGCTTCAGGCCCTTGTTGAATATTAAAGCAGTCTGATTTTTCGTGTTACGAATCTCCTCGTACGACCGGGCCCAGGCGAGGGCCACATTTCTCATTTCATACCCTCACTGATGCGATAGCTCATCATGCCTGGGAAAGAGCTCTGTCTCCTGTCTCTCTGGAGGGAGGTGGATTTCGAGGCATTTGACAGGAGTATTATTCGTCACGTCAGCCAACAAGGTATTTTTTGTCGCGTTTCTTTTGCTCACTCCGAACCGAGATAGAGGTCTTCATGGATCAGAAGCGACTGCTTATAGCATTTGAACCGTTTTGGGTTCGCCCTAGTGGGATCAGAACCACATGCACCAGATTGGTATTGCTGCAGCCTAGGCCTTGATTGGGAATCCCCATACCGATGCCAGTTCTGCGTTCGGAAAGGGCCTCGTACTGCATCCTGTCTGGCACGTCGGTAACGTAACTGGCTTGCTAAGTGATGGAAAATCTGTCCCTAGTCTCGGATCGAAGGGCTCATATTTCTGTAGCAAGGATGCTAAGCCCCCTAGAGTAGCGCTGATAGCCAGGAGATGAGATGATTACCTGGCGCAGTACCTATATACGAGACATCTCTGATTCCAGCCCCTGATAGCCGTGCGACGTAAGGACCAGGTTTTCTGACTATCGCAATCTCTTCGATCCAATCATTCCATGGCGTATCATCATCCTTCACTAGCTTCACCTGAACAGCAATTGATGGAAAGGCACTGATCACACCATTCGCATTCACAGAATTAGTCCATTTATACTAACCAAAGTACCCTTGAATATTTCTTCCAGGATTCAGGAAATCGGTCGTGAAAAGGTATAATATTTCTGAGCCAGCATCATTCATTGCGATGATGTCGTAGACTGTTCCATCACCGGTAAGCTCGGATGTTAGTTCAAGGAACATTGAATCTAAAAAGAAAGATTGAAATCTTAAAGATTTTAAGATAAAGAAAGAAGGTTAATACGTACTTTATGAAAACCAAGATTGAAAGATCCTTGACTATAAGCATGGTTTTGTTGGCGCTGATGACATAGTCTTCCCATCAAAAACCAAGAAGGTGGTTTGAACTCAGAAAATGATCTTGTCATTCATAATAGAGATAGATTTAGTTCCATCGATTTTCTCATCCTCATAGAGTTCGCTAGTAGCTTTAATTTTGACATGTTGTCGTTCGGGTTCGTGGTCGGGGTTATTCAGATAGGTAGCTGTGGAGCTTTTGAATACGCTTCTGAACATCAGAAGAAGGATTGATGGGGATGGCAGACGACCATTTGATGTTAGTGATGTCGAGGTGAGTTCGGAGCAGATTTTACTTACTTTTTTTGTAATGCCAAGGCAAACACTTTCTGCTTCCACCTCTTCTATAACAATCAGGAAATATATTCCCTTCTCGTTGGCCCTTTTTCCCTACTAAGTATTCCACCATAAGTAGTCCATCATTGAGTACAACGGAAACCGTCCAAGACGGACCTATCCAGATCATCGTATACGGATTTGGACGCAAGCCACACGACGTTGTTCAGCAAGCCACCTTCCTAAGCCTGCCGGATTGCTGTAGAGTTGTCAAGGGAAATTTGAAGCTCCATCTCGCAAGTCTTGATTTGACTGGTCGTACTGTTCTTCCAGAAATTGCAGAGATCTCATCTCCGATGCAACGGATTGAGACCAAAGCTGCTTGGCCTGGAACTGGCGGCTCAGAGCAGGTTCCGCACAGTCCGAAGAGCACACAGGTCAAAAAGATGAAGACCATGTGCGCGATATGTATTATATGTAATGAATTTCAGGTTGCCTAACGAAACTCCGAAGCTCCATGGCAGAAATTCTGTCGATATGACTTCTGTGCTAACCATTGTGGGCCATGACCAGAAAGGACCAAAAAATTTCAACGGCAGATATTTTGATAGATGACGCAAGATGATCTTGAACAGTTGCGGGTGGATGTCCGAGTCATAGATGAGTCCTGGTTGTGCACGGCGATGCCCTGATTGAAGGCTGTATCAGATATTGGATACCGTTCCGGCAAACACGAAATGAGCTGTAATACGATAGAAATATCATTCATTCCCTTCCGCAAAAAGGAAGCTGCCTTCTTGTTCACCTGGAAGGCATATGAAGTATCCTTTGATGATATTGAATGGGGCAAGATGTGATGCTCATCACAAAATGACAGTTGCTTGTGTAATGTGTATCCAGCCTGTAAGCGTCTGTAGGTCTCCATGCATATCCAGTAAGCCGAGCGACTATTATTGCACTGATCGCTATCAAGGCACGATATTGCTTACTAGTAGGTTGTAACAATCAAGCAACAGAGCCAGAGCGCCCCGTAAACTATAGGTCAACCTGAGACCTAGATCTCTTGAAGCTACTAGAAGTGGTTCAAGGGAACAAGTTTTGACGTTCCACGTTGAGCTCGGAAGGTTCTTGTAATTGATATACAATATAGACAGAACCGTGCTTGTAGAGGTTAGCAGATCCCATGATTAAACACGCATGATTATGAGCAGACATTCACAAAGACAGCGAATCCATTTCGATCATCATACGTTCAAACCACCAGGCAACGCAGCCGTGCGTGATTCAGCAATCAAGATGAAGCAGCTCTAGAAGAAATGAGCAGCCAGGAAGGTATAATGAGCCCACAAGCTGGACGCTGGCCTCTGTGGTGGTTGAGAACCTTTAGACCATCCCACAGGTCGTGCTCGAAGACGCAGCATAGACTGGCTTGACTGGCGTAGACACCAGACGTCAGAATATGCCGACATTTGATATACACTTGAGCAATTGGCGTACTTTCATACGTTGTAGAAGGTTGGAAGAAAGGAGGAGCACCACCATGATATGTGAACCAAGAGAGCAACATCGAAAAGTCTCTCGTCCGAAAGTGATCGCAAAATCGCTGAATGAAAAATACCGATCGTACGTGCCTTTGCAACATTGCAGCAATGGCATAATTTCCCAGTCATAGATTCTCCATCCGATGTAACGTTCTCTTCCCAGCAAAGGTTCTCTTTAATCTTAGAGTGCTGTGAGTGGAGGCAGCCATGAATTTGCGGAACGGTGATCTTGGTTCCGGAATCACTAGATGCAAACGTTGTCCAAAACGCTATAATGGGGCGGTGCGGCCAGGTAGTCGGCGAGTCGGACGTTTGGGAATAACGATAATATATATATAGCCGTGCGGCTCAAGAGAGTGAAAGATATAGCACCGACTTGTTGTAGGCGGACAAATAATAAGGCTCGATCTTGGTAAGTCTAGCAGTGGCCACTCGAACCAAGGAAAACTCGTTGCAGAGAAGGGTTTGTTACTCGCAGGGAACAGGACCGAAGGGGGTGTTGGAGCCTCTGTGGATACAAGAGATACAGGCATAACTCACCTGTCCTAACTTCAATTCCAGCATTCCACAAAGTCAGCCTCTGCTTCAATGGTAGAGGCGGCAAATTGAAGTTGCTGCATGAATGTTCTTCACCATTGAAACTTATGCAATCAGGGCGCGGGGAGCGTGGAAGGGCGCAGAATTCAAGGTAGCGATTGAAGCAAGGAGAAGGTGTTTCTAAATGGCACTATTGCTGAGGTGTTGGGCAGCTCGAGGTGAGCTATAGTAGCTGGCAAGTCCGAGAACTCTTTGAGCTTTGGCCCTCTCCAATTTCTGAGATAGGATGGAAAGAAGCCGGAAACTGTCATTGTTTGTCAAGCAGCAGGAAAAAGCCTCCTGTCCGATAACCGATTGAAATTCGATATGCCACCTGGTGTGAGCTGCCTGCGGAACCTGAAGGGTGTGAAAATGGTTAATTCGATGGCGGGATCGTTCAATGTTTGCCTAATGGGTATATTCCTTTTCACTCTGTAACCTCTCTCACCATTTCCCATTCTCCTCTCAGGTTCTCCTTCCACAAGCTAACTTTGTTGTTTCCACCCGACACCGCCAGGATGTTGCCTGAGAGCGACCAGCTCACTCTCCAAAGAACGGTTTCGAACTCTAGGGTCTTACTTAGTTGCCACGAAGCAGGGTCTCCAGGGTTCGTGCTAGTCCATATCCTCACAGTCTTGTCCTGGCTGGCAGAAGCAATGTACGATTTCGATAAAAGAGTAGGACTCCATGCAACATCTCTCACCCAGTCTGCGTGTCCATTCGGTAGTGTGACTGTATCTGTGTAGCTGCCTGACTGTTGTTGAAACTCCCAAACCTTGACCTGGTTGTCAGAACCACCCGTGACGAATCGTCTTGCGCCTGTTCCTGCACCACCGGCATCTCTTCGTGCGATTGCTCCTGGCATTCCACTTGGTGCCCAGCTCACAGCATTCACACCCAGCCCATGTGCTTGAAACATCAGGTTGCCCCAGTGATTGTCTCTGAATTCCAGTACACTGACCTGACCATCAGACGAAGCACATGCTAAGAGGCAGCCTAGATCAGGGGGTGACCATGAAACCATGTTGACCGATGCCGTATGGAGAGTAGATGTGAAGACCAGGGACCATTGCGCGGGTTGTTGTGGAGATTGTGCTGGTGATTCGCGCCAAATGTGTACTCGGCCATCAAAGGATGAGGATGCTAACAAGGTTCCAAATTTTGGGTGTGCCTATGTAAAAGATCAGATTCGTCATTTTCTGGACAAAGCAGAGGTCGTTCTCGAAATAGATCGCGAAGGACAATGATTATTCCGAGGACCGAATGATTTGCGTACCCATGCTACACACCAAACGGAGCCCTCATGTCTAGTGAATCGTAAGCCTGGTGTTGTGTCCCTTGGCAGTATGTTCAGTACCCTTTCAATGTCTCTTGGAGGTGATGTTTATCTCCGTCTATTTCGAAGATCTTGATGGTCTTGTCCGCTGAGCAAGTCGCCAGTCGTCTGCCATAGTAGTCGAGAACAGCATCGTGCTATCAATGAACATCTGGTCAGCGGTCTGAGTGGCATGGATAGCTTGTGCTTTGTTCAAGTGTTATTCAGAGCGGAGGGGGCACATACAATCATATCATCGTGGCCAGAATTCGAGATGACCTGCGCCTATACATGGTTAGGCAGAGGCAGGAAAATGTGTGAAACGAGCGCACCATAGTGGGAGATGAGTGGGTAAGCGTGGAGAAGCTCAACGAGCGTCTATTGCATAGTTGTTGCCGTTGCTGGTATACAGAAGTTGTCCTTAACCATTCGCGCCGCAGCTCGTCAGGCATCTTCTGTATTGTACCAGTACTACTAGTACTAGTTAGTACCGACCCCTGCATTGAAGCCTTGGCATCTGCATGTATACTCTGTACTGTACGGAGGAGTACCAAGTTCAACTTGCAAGAATGAGAATTGGCAGACAGTCTTGAGCAACTAGGCTCTGCATTCAGCTTACGCATCACTATCTTCTCTGGTCTCTGCAGCTGGCCCGCCGGATCCTTATTCTAGTCGAGAAGCACACTCACAATGCAATGTCGCTAAGCTTTTGAGAAGCTTCGTTGCACCAGAACTCCTTAGCTAAGATCAAGCATACTCGTCGGTTCCCCAGTCAACTCGATGCGGCACAAGAACCACCAGGCATGAAAGCGAAGCCACCAGCGCTACCCAGTTGGTTACCGTCCAACTGGTATGTCATGCTTGTGCAGTTGTTCTGACCATACTGGGAGCTTCTTATCCCTTTCGTACAGCAAGCCACAGTTGTTACAGAGTGTCTGCATTGTGATTAGTATCTTTCTCGAAAATTCTCGGATTCCAGCGCTTACCCGTGGACCAGCAGGCCCGTCACGAACAGCCCAGACACCGGCGCCCCACACATGACACCAGCTGCATCTCCAGTTCTGCCTCTCATATTCCTGAAGCTTGCTCTCCGGACCGGCCCAAGCAGTAGTAGGCCCATTAGCAACTTCTCCTGGAGTGGCAAGAGCTTTTGCAACCGGACTCAGCGAACGGAACCGTCTCTTCTTCTTGCTTCGCTCTCCTCTACCCATGTTGGGGGTGTCAATATCACCACCTGCCATACCGCCCGGGGGATCGAAATAGCTACCTCTGGATTGAGCTTCTTGTTCCCGTGTACTCGAAACCATACCGGTTGTAGAGCTGAATTTAGCGGTCTCTCTTCGGACCCTCCGCAGCTGCCGCTCCCTGGCGAATTCCCGATTTTTGATTTCTTCCTTGCTTAATACCTCCACCCTAGGCTCCCATTCTGCCCCAAAATCCTCCGCGTCGTATCTCCAACCAGCCCCTTCCTCATCCCTTACTGCCTGGTTGTCAATACCATCCTGAGTCCATACACCTCCTCCTGAGGTGAGCGTGGCTGGTTCGAAGGTCTCCTTTTTCAACTTCAGCACAGCCTCATAGATACCATGAGTGATAGCTAGAACCCATTCCCCATTAAGTCCTAGATCAGCACATGTTTGACGTGCAAACACCTCAGCAAAGCCTGGGGGATGCAATAATGACCACTCAAACTTATCGGTGTACAATCGGGAAGAAAGTGATATTGTGAGGCTAATCCAGCACCGGTAGGTATCGTCCGGGTTGAGAAAGGGGTCGAAGTCTTGGCTAGGAGTGTCTTGCATCATAGGATCTAGTGACGGCTCAGCTGGTATGACTGACGCTTGTGCAACTATACCCGTATTGTTCAGATGAGAGGTCGGGGCATCAGGAAGAGGGGTTGTGGCACCGGGTGTCACGGAAGAGGGACGTGAAGGTGGAGGAGCTAGAGATGGCCTCGGAGTAGCAACATTTGAATCACCATTCGCAGTATTTTGGGTAGTCACAATACCGTCTTTCGTAACGGGTTCGGACTGACGATGGAAGAGAGGGTGCATAGCAGTGCCAGCGTATTCTTCAAGCTGTGATCTTATCTGGTTGCTGATCGACATTGTAAGCGCTACCGGATTGGGAAGATCGAGCTCTCGAACAAGAGTCTGCGCAAAATCATCGGGAGTGAGCAGAGACTCATGAAGGTTCCATAAGAATATATCACGAATCCGGTATGCAGGGGATGGCTCGGGTCTCTGAAAAGCGACCATTCCTGAATGAAAGCCGACTTCGGTGGCATTTCGCGTCAGTGGAAATGGCGGGTCACGTTGGGAAGCAGGAACATCGATATCAATTCGGATGGGAATGAGGGTGAGGGGAAGCTGAGATTGTATGTGGACCTGCTGGTCCGTCCTGGGATAAACACAGCGTGAGAACTCATCCGGCTCACGTCTCCAGAGGTTCAAGAATATGGGGTCATACGTGGGCTTGACCGTACGCCTGGTCATCCAATCTCTGTAAATGCCTTGCACTTCCACCGGGCGGTATATCTCCTTTCCAAGCTTCTGACTTGCAGCATCCTTGTTTTGTGCTTCATCGCGGCGTAGCGACCGCAGACCCGTTGGCCGGCGTTGACCTTCGCTCTCGTCAAAATCGTCCTCGTCGTAGGCATCATCGGCATAGTTGATGATTGTAGTCCCGCGCTTGGTCGTTCTCGAGGCAGGGGCTATCGTCGCAGCCGGTATTACAGGCGTGTAGAAGGGATTGCCATATTTGGCCAACCTGGTTGGATAGCTGGTAATGAAAGCTTGAGTAGGTGCCATGATCCAACCAACAACGGTGCGCTCATGTCGCGAAGAGAAAAAAGGTCCCAGGACAAGAACGTCTTCTTTCCGTTAGATTGTTGTTGTGGACACTACTATCTGGTTTGCAACATTCATCAAATGCGCTGCAGCTCTGCAGCTTTGCAGGAGAGTCGCGTAACCGTAACCGTAACCGTAACTGTATGTCATGCAAAACTCTAATTTGAGGTAGTGGCACCAGGTGGCCAACATTACATATTGTAACAATGAGACAAATATTATTTTCTTTTACTGCGTACACATACCCAAGAATGAAAGGCGTAAGGATTCTGCATCCCACTACTAATGTCGGCCAAACTTTGCCATACTATAAGCCTTTGCATATTAATGTGCGCAGCTTTGGGCAACCTTTAGACTTCTCTTGCTTTGCGACCGCTTTAACAGACACTAGAATATGTGCTACGCTTCCTTTTACAGCAAGCGCTAGTGATTGTTCTCTGTTCTTCCTTTTACACCTCCAGATCTCGATCTCTTCTCAAGGTGGCGCCGGAGAATGCTTCTCGCGACCATTATACACAAAAGCCGATAAACTGCCATGAACTACCATCAGCGCAGCCCAATGACGCTCTGTAGAGCCCCGTTAGCCATTTTCAGATAAACGTAGCCATAGACATACCATTTCCAATGTCCAAACCCGCCGGATCCACACCTTCAACTTTCCTTCCACACCGTCCACGTTGTCCAAGTTTACTCCTTCCCACCAGCACCTCCTTGCAGGTTTCCGCCAGAAGAGCAAAAGCTTTTGCGCCATTCCCACAGCATTGTTGCCGGTAAGGTCGCCCTTGATGTCTGTTCGTAATCTTGCCAGAGCTAGACTGCAGATTACTGCTTTATTTGGCTCCCCAGCCCGGTGGCCCCAGCAATCCTCATGGTCGAAGCCTCTGTGCGCAGTCAGATCATCACCCATGAACAGGCAGGTAAAGATTGTTGAGAGCTTACCCAGCTGTCAACATCTCAATGAGGTGCTGCTCAGTCGTACCGGTTTCTTCACTTTTTCGTAAGCCCGAGAAGATCCCATCCTGCTTCAGCAATGATTTCCCCGCAGCTCGTTTGATCTCGATCATTTCTGGTTGCTCGATGTCCTGCTTTGGCGGGATGACATAGAAGTCCAAATCTTCTCTCAGGACAATTATGCCGGCTCTATCCTGGAGCATGTCCCTGGCGGAGCCTTGTATAGGCTCAACAGAGGTGGGATCATGCTCGGGCGACGTGGTGGGTGATGGTGACGAGGAGGGTATTGACTGCGCAACTCCACGAAAGAATTCTAACATATATTGAAGGGATACGGGGTCATACTGTGAAAAAGAGGTTACATCTCCGATATAAATAGAAGGATTGCAAAGAACAGCAAGAACATGCATATCAGAACCTACATCAATCGGGTACACATCCCCGTCGTGGAAAGTGTTCATGTGACCATCGGGCAGGAGACCATTTGGAAAAAGAGACAAAAGCACGAATTCTGGTAGTGTGAGGAGTTCCTCCCTTGATAGCGTAAAGCGAGTACCCCTGGAATTCGTCAATAAGATAGCGAGAAATACAAACGGCTTTCCTACCGCAGGTCGAGGGTGATGTGCTCGTCTGATCCGGCTTCCCCTCCTGGCAATGGTCAGTGAGGAATCAATATAGATCTTTGACAGTGGGAGCCGGACCTCCCAATGCATTTATTGGCGGGCCTCCAGTCTGTTGGACTTGGGTGATGATGCTTGCAGCTCCACCTGCTGCAGCCATGACGTAGGTGAATGACTCAAGCGGACTTGAACCCTCAGTGTATGGTGGAGGAGGTTCGCCGTCGTCGACACCCTTGCCTGATGACTCGCCCTTAGTGTCCCTTGGTAACGCGGTTTTGGTCTCAGCGGTGGCTTTGGACTCTGCCTCGTCCTCGGCGAGGGTCTCCTCAAAGGAGGGAGCCGGCGCAGTGACTAGTAGAGGGTCACAAGCAGCTTCAGTGACGGCGGATTTGATGCGTTGTAGCTCTGAAAAGGGAGGAAAGTAAAGAGAAGAGAACGGGGGCGGGCGCGGAGAGGGTGGGTTTGACGCAGATGCCTCCGAGTCGGACTGCTGAGGATTGAAGGCGCTCTTAGGCTCTTCGGTCAGCGACGATTCTTGCAATCCGTTTGGCAACGCCGTGATGGGCAGGTCCCTGTCGTACACGCTTAGAATACTGGGCTGGAAACGAATGGGCGAAAGCGCATTCCTCGAAAGGCGATTGCTGGTTTGGTACAATCTGTACAGATCGCTTTCGTCAGGTTGTCATGGAATGTTGATTGCGAGACACGGGAGTTACTAGTTGGTGATTACCAATACCTGAACCCGAAGCATCAAGTGCTGGACTCGTAGAAGGCTCAATGGTGGATCTGGTAGCAGTGCAGTGCTACGAACTACTACTGTAAACAGGCTTGGCCTCAATGGTGCGCCGTACTGTAGCCCACCCGGTGCTCCGTAGGGGTAGCTGCACTGCGTAGATCAATATGTATCATGACGGTGGACACAGCATCCCCACTTCCTGAAGGACTTCACTCTCCTGCTGCCGAGAAATAGAGCTCTGATGATTATCTAATGTGACACCGCTATGTGATGGTTTGTCAACAATGCATTGGCGATGGGCAGCAATCAAAGCACACCGAAGATCTCGGCACAGGACAGGTACACCCTGTAGTTCGTGTTGATCACGGCTATTCCGATTAATTGTGTCGTAGGGCTATCCTGGACATGAAAAATCAGCGAGACAAGCTGCGCCAATACCAGAAACGAATCACTGTTATTACGGATCGTGAGAAGTCCATTGCTAAAGAGTGTCTTGCTCGGGGCGACAAGGAAAAAGCACTCCTTGCACTCAGACGAAAGAAGTACCAGGAATCTCTTCTTGGCAAAACGGACTCTCAACTCGAACAACTCGAGAAACTCACATCCAGTGTCGAGTTTGCCCTTGTCCAGAAAGATGTGCTTTATGGCCTGAAGCAGGGCACACAGGTCCTGCAGCAGATACACAAGGAGATGGGTGGTCTTGAAGCAGTCGAGAAGCTTATGGGGGAATCAGAGGAGGCAAGAGCATACCAACAGGTGCGAATCATCCTCGCGAGCAACATTGGTTTCACTACACTTGCTTCTGAATGGGCATAGGCCAGCAATTGGCAAGTGAGAATACTGATCTTTCACAACTGGGAACAGGAAATCAGCGACGCTCTTGCTGGGCAAATGTCAAATGAGGATGAAGATGAGGTCGAGGACGAGTTGGAGCGCCTGGAGCAGGAGACAGTTGTTCTGCCAAAAGTATCATCGCAAGGTTTAGGACACGAAGTTGTCCACGATGCGGCAGATGGCATTGTTGCCGACCACGAATTGCCAGATGTTCCGACGTCAATCGCTGCCCACGACCCGGAGAGGCTCCAAAAGCAGAGGGAAAGGGCAAAGGCAAGGAAAATCGCTTTACATGCATGATCAGACGACTGCGTGTACCTCAATTGCCACCTGTTTGGTAGGGACCGAGGAATGATATTGAGGCCGGTACCAAGCCACCCAGCAGAGACGAACACTCCCTCAAGATTTGACTTTATAATACTCTGGCGCATATTCAAGCAACCAGGACCTCTCTATCTTTGTGATATCTCGTATGAAGATCTTGTTCGACGTTTCCAAGATCTCATGGAAGATCACAAAGTCTGCCTTGCGATTCTGGCGAAGTTGCGTTAGTCAAGAATCCTCAATGCGTTCGACAAGAGTTGCCGGATACATGATGGATTACTCACAAACATCAAACTGGTTGGGTGCGCATGCATCGTCAGCCCACCGCTGACACTTTTAAAGGTACCGTCTGGCTGCATTCTAGCCGCATGCGCAAAATAACCTGCTGTCAAACACTTTCCAATTTGCTTCGCCTTCTCTGCCCCGCCTTGCTTGCTCTGCATGCCGTTTGAGTTAAGAGATTCGTCAACGCTCAGGCCGAACCGTTCCAGATACCGTTTCAACTGCGTTCGAATCGACACGGCTCGAAGCATTGACTTATGATTTAGATGATTATCCCGGCACCATTTCGAGTCTTTCCGGCCCCTGGTCAGAAAAGCTTGATACACGTTAAGCAATGTCAGATGATCACCCTCATCAACTGCGAACTTGTGTCGCGAGGCAGGCATCGCTTTTCTTCCACCGTCGTGGTGGAACCAAACCGAGCCTTGGAGGCTAGTCATTGCTGCAATACTCAATATCTCGCTGAGACAACCAAAGCCGGGTGCGCTCAGTAACACTTTGGCCATCATTGGCTCCAGAGATAGCTCTGCCATCCGTGTTCCTAGTGGTTTTGTCAACTTTGCATAATCATCAACAGCTCCGAGCGAGTACAGAAGTTCCAAGGCACGCATGACCAAGCGAGAAGGAGGCGAAGTTATGAAATTGAATCGAACGATGTTATCAATCCCAAGAGCTTTGAGCTGGAGAACAATTGGTGCAAGATCTGAGCGCTGGATCTCAGGTACTGTAGACTCGGGAAGGCGGCTGAAAGCTGCTTCAGTGTACAATCGATAGCATTTACCGGGCTTCGTACGACCAGCGCGACCAGCGCGCTGTGTTGCAGAAGCCTTTGAAACTGGGACGGCGGTAAGAGTATCGATGCCCGTCTGCGGGTTGTAGGCTCGTAATTTCGCAAATCCTGCGTCAATTACATAGGTGATGCCGTCGATTGTCACAGATGCCTCAGCTATGTTCGTGGAAAAGACGATTTTGCGGGTATTGTCTGGTGCTGGCTCGAACACGTACATCTGTTCGTCCGTGGTCAGACCTGCATACAAGGGGACGGGCAGCAGAGCCTGTGCTTTAGGATGGATCCCAGCTGCTTGCTCTGAGAGCAGCTGAATTGCGGTCTCGATTTCTTCCCTACCACTAAGGAATACAAGTATGTCGCCATTCGCTTCGTTCTTGTGCACATCAAATGCAACTTGTACTGCTTTCTCAACATAGTCTTCCGCTGGCCTTTCGAGGTAGAGTATATCTACCGGAAAGGCTCGACCCTCAATGCTGATGATTCTGCACTGGCTGTCCGTATCTCCTTCGTTGGCAAAGAATGAGGCCATTTCTTTAGCCTGCAATGTAGCACTACTGACAATGATGCGTAGGTCCGGCCGCTTCTTCTTGATCTTCTTCAGTACTCCCAGAAGGACATCTGTGCTTAACGAGCGTTCATGAGCTTCATCAACCATAATGACAGAATAGCGAGACAAGAGCGGATCCATAAGCGCTTCGCGAAGTAGTAAGCCGTCAGTGAGAAATTTGATCCGGGTTTTTGCTGAGGTTTTATCTTCAAATCGGATAGAGTAGCCAACCTCTTCTCCTACATCGCAGCGCATTTCTTCTGCAACCCTGGTAGCTACCGTCACAGCGGCCACCCGTCGTGGCTACAAACTGTCAAATACTCCCATGTTTGCAGTCCGGATACGCGATTTTACCTACCTGTGTGACCCCTATGACCTTACCATTACCGGACCAACCTGCCTCCTCCAAGAACTGTGGCAATTGTGTAGTCTTTCCACTTCCAGTCTGCCCGATGACAATTAACACCGGAAACTGCTCGACAGCATAGAGAAGGCTTTCCCTGTGTCTAGCTATCGGCAGAAGTGAAGATGGCTTGTAGAGCGCTGGAATGAAGGATAGTTCAAGCTCAGCCATGGCTGGAAGTCCTTGGGCAACAGCCTTTCAGTATTTAGTTCACGGCAGCTTTGCTCCTGGTCTTGTCGCTTGTTGCTACCACTCGATGCCATTGCCGACTCTACTCATCGCAGTACGACGGTACAAGGTTGGACGACAACGTAACTTGATGTTATGTAGCAGTAGCTAAGCTCATGGTGTTCATGCTGTACTTGGTGTCGCCTGAAAGTCTCCGCTAGCGCTAGCTAACTTTCCTAAATAATTGACAGCTCTAACCCTCACTTACTGACACTTGACAGCCATTACTTACTACGTAGTATGAAGGCTTATATCCCTCTAGCGAAGACTTCTGGGCGGCACCCAGCAACTACTTAGCAGGAAGAGGCCCTCTAAAAATAATGCCAGGAGAACCATCAAAGTGCGCTTAAGATTAACCTAACAGTAAAATTGTTTAGTATTAACATACCAGAATTCGTAGCCAAGTCGTCTGTAATCCAATGAAATCTTATTATCTACAGCGTATTTTGCTGAAAATATGATCATAGTATAGTGAAAATATGCTTCTCTTATCATATTAGTATGGTCATCATTTGACAGAATAGTTGCGATTTCCACTAATGGCACTTAGCTCGTATCTTTAGCTACCTGTTCTCCTGGTAAGTCACACTGTGGCATCCACGTGAAGTAGTCTTGGCACATTTGATGGTTCATTGCCTGCAGTCGTCACAAGCCAAACGTCACATTTGGATTCACCTGCACCATTCACAAACTGAACATACCAATCTAGTCGTCTTCAGAAAAGAAGACGCTGCGGCGTTTCGTATATCTTCAGCTACAACCAAGCTCTCACAGTCATAATCACGTCCGGCATGGCGAATCCCACCAATACCGTGAGTAAAGAGTGGCATATTTCGCTAAAGCAGCTCTGACATATTAACAGTCATTACCCAGCAGGGAGAGCACCGTTTCAGAGACGAGGCCCCCTTCGAACATTCAGCACCCTGATCAGGATAATGCCATTCATCAAAGCTCTGCGGAAGCTCCTTCTATTCTTCGGACATCCGGATCCGATGAACCACCACCGCCGGCGAAGCCACCAAGGCCTCTGAGCCCACGTGAGCAAGCAGAGAAGACTCTGATTGAGGCTTTCCCATCGATAGATGTTGCAGTGGTGAAAGCTGTTCTTACAGCCAGTGGTGGTAATGTCGAACCAGCTTTCGATGCACTTCTCGGCATGACAGATCCCGATTCGCAGAAAGATGTCCCACCCCCTGCCAAACCACCAAGACCCGCCCAGCAGAGTGGGTTACCTACATCTACTGCTCAAAGTCAGCTAGAAGCGGACGAAATGTATGCTCGACAGCTGCACGAACATTACAGTAGTACAGGCAGGCAACAACGACAAAATGTGGTACCGAACCAGCAACCGACTCGACCGCACACACAGGCACAGGAAGAACGTGAATACAGCTTTCTGGATGATGATCTACCAATGATCCGTGAGAACATCCGCAAGGGCTTTCTCGAGACTCAGTCTACCGTGAACAAGTGGGTGACGAACTTCAAGAAGAAGTTGGACGGTGAAGACGACGAAGGCTTTAGCAACCAGCCCGCTAAACCTGCCCAGCGCTTACAGGGCAGCAACCAAGGGTTTCCGAACTATGGGCGCCGAAGCTCAGAGATGGCACGAAGAAGTGCTGACAGAGAGCGGTACGATGCCGATCCGCAAGTCTTAGGTGACGACTTTTCCACACTTGAACTCAGAGATGGAGATAGTAAGGATATGTACTGTTGCTTACATCATATCGCTGACATCGATAGGGCCACCACCAAAAAAACCTCAACGACCACTTGCAAACCCTGACTTGTTCAAGCCAAATTCACCTGCTGGTAGTGACCGGAAGGTTTCTTTTCAAAACGGTCCACCTGAGGAGATGGACGATCTGTACTCTGGGTCATCGAAGCCTTCGAGACAGCAGGTCCCAAGTGGCAAATCGAGCAAATGGCAACCTCTATCTGCTGTTGAACCGTCTCCTGTTGCTGAGAATGATCCATTCAGCCTTGGTGATAGCGATGATGACAAAGACTCAAGGGTGAAGGAAAATAGGTCTGATGAGGCAGAGCGACTTCAACTGTCAACTGCGGAATCTATGGCTGGATCAATTGGGGACAATCCTAAGAATGCATCTGGTACGGAAATGAGTCAAGGCACGAAAACGTAGAAACATTCATATGGCGGGATTATGTCGCGGTCTAGTATCGCCTCTAATGTTCATGACGTGGTAATTCACAAGATGGATGATGTTGTGTAGATTGAGTGTCTCTCACCGTCTCTCACTGTCAAGCATGGACAAAGTCCAATGCAAAAGTGAGTGAAGTGTCTCGAGTTCCACCTAAATATCAAGGTTCAAGACTGCCATCCGCCCTGCTATGCAATCTATCCTCATCAAGCTACATCTTTCATTTCCACTCTCTGTAGGTCGTCCACGTCGCGTCTCAAGTCCTTGATCGCAGTCTATGTGTATTGATATCAGCCACAACCTCAGTCCATTCTGGCCATGACCTACAGCTAAAGCTTCTGGATTAACACCGTTCTCAATGAGTGAAACGCAGAGTGATAGTTGTGGCCGATCCAGGTGAGTGTTCTTCCAGGTTGCCATGAGTCAGTCAAAACGCGTAGAATGAATGACATGAATAGGCTTACGAGCAGAAGTGAGATCTCTTCTAGAATATCAACAACTTCGCGTGCTTTTTCTTTCTTCTCTTCTTTCGAATCTTTTGACGGCATGGCTGGGCCGCGGTTGTTTGGTTAGGCTGTAAGTTAGTTGATGAGGGGAAATGTAGTTAAGTTGTGTTTACAGTTTATTCATGAAGTGCATGTTTTCACCCAATGTCTACTGAACCAACACATGCTCAATGTTGATGTGAATTACAATGACAGCTGCAGAATGTTCACCATGTGAGCTCTCAGATCTGAACATAAGAGAGCTTCATGGAAAAGATTCAATAACAACATTGAGTCGTCTTCGCTCAATCGAGAAGAAATCCTTCCCAGCTAACGAGGCTCTCGATTTCAACATTAGTCTACTTGCGAAAAAGAACACAAGCATAATATACGCCGTTTTCGGAGAGGACCCCAAACAACAGCCAGTAGCATATGCTGTCTACGTCCGATGGCGCAGCGTTCTTCTGCTTCAAAAATTGTGCGTGGCTGAGAGCTTCCGTCGGAAGGGGATAGGTCGACTTCTATTGCATGAGGTTATCAATGGAGCTCGAAGGACAAAGTGCGGCGCGATTGAGCTCTGGGTCGATACATCAAGAATCGTGGCACGAGGTTTGTATTCTATTTGCAGCTTCCAAGAGATTCAATTTGTTCAGGACTACTATGCTCTTGGACGACACGGAATAAAAATGAGATTAGATCTTCCTCCTTGATGTCACCCAACAAGGGAGCTACAAGTTATCGTCGTCGAAAAGGCTTCTTCGACGATGAGGTATGAAGATGAGTGCCCCTTGCCTCGGACAGGTCTCGGATGCTCCTGCCGGGGAACGAGCCAGCCATCTTCTTCATTCTTGAGTGCTTGCATATGTGGTCAATGCCTCATGTCAGGATGGTCTCTCTGGCAAGGGCTGCGCATTCTGTCGCGTCTAACTTCGTTTTCTTATCTTTGATAGCTGCACCAGACATCTTTGCGCGTTACAACCTCTCTTTCTTGGATACTCGGAACCAGATTGAAGTGGACTGTGTGCTTGAAGAATCGTCTCTTCGTGTTGGATAGCTTGTGTCTAGTTGACAACCGTTCATGCAACGACACGAGGGCTTGCCCAATATTGGATGCCTATTCGAACGCGAAGAGCGGCCTTCCTGGCCTTCGCATGTTTCCTTTGTTCGCACGAAGTATTAGCAGCTCCGGTGCTGAACTTTCCAGTCAATTCGCAAGTGCCTCCAGTTGCACGAATATCTCAACAGTTCAGCTTCACATTTGCTGAGTCGACCTTCTATGTTTCAGAGGAACCGACTTTTTATTCTCTTCGGAAGGAGCCATCATGGCTGCAATTCGATAATGCCACTCGCACCTTCTTTGGAAATGTGACAGGAGTTGCAGTTGGACCCACGACGTTTGAGCTTGTCGCCTCTGACTCTAGCGGCTCGTCATCCCACGAAGTAACGTTTGCTGTAATAGATCAAATCGGACCACAGCCAGGCAAGGCTATGCTTCCTCAACTTGGCGAAGTTGGCCCAACATCTGCTCCGGCTTCACTTCTCCTGTACCCACTCCAACCTTTTTCCATCGCCTTCAGTCCAGACACTTTCTCAAACACCACAAAAGAAACCATATTTTATGCCACATGTGCAGATAATTCTCCTCTTCCGTCCTGGCTACAGTTCGACCCAACAAGTCTGAGATTCTCGGGTACAAGCCCTCCTCTTGTATCTCCAACCGCCAAAGCACAGGAGTATGGAGTCAGGTTAATAGCTTCTGATGTTGACGGCTTTGCTGAAGCCATCGCAACCTTCGAAATAGTGGTAGGCCATCAGATATTGGCTTTTTCGCAGTCGTTACAAAAGGTTGAGCTTTCGCCAGGTCGACCATTCGAGAGCGAACCCCTTCGCAACAAGTTGACGCTCGATGGAAAAACCATTGATGACACCGAAATTGCCTGGGTCACTTGCAATGCCCCTATATGGGCCGACCTCAACAAAAAACAGATCTCGCTGTCAGGCACTTCACCCGAGGGTGCAAGTAGCCAGAGTGTTCTCATCGGAGTTGCTGATATCCATGGCAACACGGCGAAAACGACGATAAGTCTTGTGGTGTCCAGTAGCCAGATTGAGCTTTTCAGCACGAGCTTGGCCCCAGTCAATGCTACCATTGGCCAAGATTTCCGTTACATGATAGACCCAAACAGCCTTTCAAGCAACGCTGTTCAGGTCACAGCAGATTTAAACAATGCCTCATCCTGGCTAACGTACGACACTACGTCGATGACCTTCAGCGGTTCTGTGCCTGATGCATTGCAACCAGGTCCAGTCCTGATAATGTTACATGCAGTACTGTGGTCTACCACTGAGCACGAACAATTCGTTGTTAACATCTTAGAGTCCTCGGTCCCGACTCGATCTGCTCACACATCTCCGAACCCATCCGCTCATACATCTAGAGGGCTGCCATCTTCCACCGAACGGTCTAATGCAGCTACTAGTGCCACTTCAAACCTTGAGATGAATAATCATAACCGGACCTTGGTGATTGTGCTTGGAATCCTTCTTCCCTTACTATTACTTTTGTGTCTTATATTCCTGGGCTGGTATTGCTGTCTGAGAAGGCGGAGACACCGACAGCCTTCTAGCGAAGCGTCAGAGATATCTATCTCCCGGCCCGTGCTGTCGCCTGAGTCCGAACGTACCGCTGCACAACATGTGAAAGGAAACACGCAAACGGAGAAAATGCCTCCACCTACCAGTCCACCTCGCATAGAGTTACCATGGGCGGCAGACTCTTTAAGAAAATCTAGAGAGCATTTCTCCAGGAACATGTCGAACAGGGAAAGCACACTGGTTGACTCAGGCTGGGGGGATCTTGTTATGCGTGATGCGCCAGTGTCGGCAAAGGGCTCAAAGCGCCTGGAACCGACGACTGAATGTGCAACAGCAAATTCCGGAGATTGGACTCCGTTTGTGAGACTTCACAGCAACAACTATCTGAACTATTCTAGGAAGAGGACACCATTTCGGCCAACGCAGGATAAAATGCAGAGGCTATCACTTTCCACCCGAGCTTCTAAGACCTTCAGTAGTCTCTCGAATCTGAGTATTGGTTTACCTACAAGATTAAGTGGTGCTGGTCATGGAGCTGGTGGACCTGGTCCTGCCGGCTCTGGGGATGTCCGCCGATCTTGGCGAAACGTTGTCGACCCATTTGCAAGTGAAGACAGTAAAACAACGTTTCTAGACCTAGACGCCTTCCCAGACCCACCTCGCGATCAGAAAGAGACTCAAGAAGTGCAGCAAAAGCTTGGGGCGAAAGCAAGCGTACGGCTGGTGCCTAGCAGCAGCAGCCAGTCGGGGTCTCTTGTAGACCAGAGACAGAAGTGGGTACGGGATAGAGCAAGAGACCGGTTGGAGCGAGGAGCAAGATTCTCTAATGCATGGTCATCAAGAATTCATTCGAGGGCAAAAGACCTGGACTCAAGCGGATCATCAAATAGAGCCAAAACCGGTTCTTTTGACACTGACGACCTCCTACGTCGTCAAAGTATGGCTCGTTCATGGTCGCGATCGTCAAGCATTGGTGTTCCTGCTCGGCCAGTGACGAGAATGAAAAGTTCAGACTCGCACCTGGTGCGCCATCCTTCGAACCTGAGGAGAGCTTTAAGTACTGTCAGCAGCGGAAGGTTTGATTCGGCCGAATCCAAGTCCAACTCTAGCTGGATAGACGACCTGATCGAAGAAGAAGACAAGGATGGCCGTCGACGCTGGGTTGCAGTTGATAATCCTCATCAGGACGCGGCTGAAGCGGCAAGGACAGGACAGCAGGATGGAGGAGATTCTGAACAAGGCAGCTGGGGGAGAAATTCGAGGACAGGCGGACTAGGTGCACTGAAAGCCAACATACAAGGCGGAGGACCAGTGATACCGTCAGGCGAACGGAAGTGGAGATTAGGAGGGGAGCAGGCTAAGCGACCCATCAGTGTAGATGAAGGAGAGCTTCAGAGAACTCAAGGGAGTCACAGAGGCAACCTTGCCTTTGTATGAAGGTCACTTAGCAGAACCTATTATACATTGTTGGCTTTTGCAGATGGAACAGACCGCCAGTAATTCAACAAGCTTTCAAGGGCTTCGTTGACAATAATGATGACAGAGTACCTGTGCACCTCAAGTGTTCTGTATTAGAGGCAATGTCATATAGTAAGTAGTGTTGCATGGCCAGAGGGTGTTACATAGGGTGTCTTTGAGGCATTTGAGGCTAGTTAAAGTTCAAAGTTTCTAAGTTCACGCGCTGCAGGCGGCAGCCACTCCAACCTTGTGCCTCAAGCGAGAACCTGGCTTGGCCCCTAAAGCGTCATCCATCAGTGAAAACCACCCTCGACAGTTGCCATCCACTGCACGCGATCATTTTAATTCTCCCTTCAGACCTTCTTGTCGCCACGTCATAGCTTCAACAATATCCTAAGGATTTCGCGTGTGCGGTCTCCTGACTTTAACCCGCGGCGCCAGCACTTTCATATTTGAACCATCCCGGACGCCCCACAGTACTCGACAGAGATTTCCGCAGCACAAATACATACGGAGTGCATATGAGACTGAAAGGAGAGATACGCAGTTCCAGCCGTGACCAGTAGCCATCATGGGCCAGACCTTGTCAGAGCCCGTTGTGGAGAAGGTAATGCTTGATCTCATCAACACCCGTGCACCTGCGTAGACCATGCAACCGCTGCAGCGGCTGAAGCCTCAGCACACTTCTCCTATCTCGCTCCTTCTAAAGACAAAGTTTCTGGAATTCAGAGCCTTGCTAATCCATATATTCCAACTAGACATCCGCAAGCGGTACCGATGAGTGTGTCTTATTTGGGCTATCTGCTATGCAAGGATGGCGCATAAGTATGGAAGATGCCCACGCTGCAGTCCTAGACCTCCAGTCCGAGGAAGAAGGTGCCACACAACAGCCAACACCTCCTGACAAGCGTCTCGCCTATTTTGGTGTCTACGATGGTCACGGCGGGGATAAGGTTGCACATTTCGCTGGAGAGAACATACACAAGATCATTGCAAAACAAGATGCATTCAAAAGGGGGGATATAGAACAGGCCTTGAAAGATGGCTTCTTAGCCACTGATCGAGCAATACTTAATGGTGAGCTGGGCCAATCATGCTGAATCTCGCTTTGTGCTGACATAGGATAGATCCAAAATATGAGGAAGAGGTCTCTGGATGCACAGCTTCTGTTGGGATAGTGTCTAAGGACAAGATATGGGTAGTAAGTTCATGCTCAATACCCCCAATCAGTTTTATATGCGCTCACAAATGCAGGCCAACGCTGGAGACTCTCGTTCCGTCTTGGGGGTAAAAGGTCGGGCGAAGCCACTATCTTTTGACCATAAACCACAGAATGAAGGTCAGAAATCACGCCTCAGTCCTTGCGTAAGCGCAGCTGACATTTGGATTCACAGGCGAAAAGGCGCGCATAACAGCTGCTGGAGGGTTTGTGGACTTCGGCCGCGTGAACGGCAACCTTGCCTTGTCAAGAGCCATTGGAGACTTCGAGTTCAAGAAGAGTGCCGACCTCTCCCCTGAACAGCAAATCGTCACAGCATTTCCCGACGTCGTGATGCATGATGTCTCGTCAGACGATGAATTCTTAGTCATTGCTTGTGATGGTACGATAATGCTCAAGCATGCTTTGGCTGAACAGGCTGACTATCACCAGGCATATGGGATTGTCAATCATCTCAAGCTGTCATTGAATTCGTGCGAAGAGGCATTGCCGCAAAGCAAGAATTACAACTTATCTGTGAGAACATGATGGATAACTGCTTGGCTTCGAACAGCGAAACAGGAGGCGTGGGGTGCGACAACATGACTATGATTGTGGTTGGCCTCCTGGGTGGGAAGTCAAAAGAAGAATGGTATGAGATGATAGGGAAGAGGGTTGCCAATGGTGATGGTCCTTGTGCTCCACCCGAGTACGGCAAGTTCTAGTGTCCTCCATCAGACCAAGTATTCTCTAACGATTCCTGCAGCGGAATTTCGGGGACCAGGAGTCCGCCACCAGGCCGAGCGTGATAGTCCCGATGAATACGAACTTGATCTTGACAACCGAAGCAGAGGATACGGCGGCAAGAACGGACGGATCATTCTGCTTGGTGATGGCACTGAGGTTCTTACGGATTCTGATGACGCGGAAATGTTTGATCACAGCGAGGAGGATAAGGACACCGAAAACCAAGTTCAAAAAGGATTACAGGGTAGTAGTGACGAAGATGCCATGCGGAGCGAACGAGAAGGAACGCCAGCGCCTCAATGCCTGCAAAGGACAGAGTCTCCCTCATCTACTCAGACCGACGACTCAGAGAAAGCACCACCAGGTGTCAAGGAGTCTTTGAATGGACCTACGAAGCTTGACGAGGCGAATTGACCATACACGTAAGTGGGCACATTGGCAAACTCCAGTCACGATTCTGGCATGAGTCTACGAACCTAGAATACCCTCTGTTTCTCATCGCTTGGGTTCTACATATTCGTTATTCGAGGCCTAGACTTCGGGGTCACCGCATCATGCTCTATGGTGGCGACATGCATTGTTCTATTTTATTAGTCTGTCCGCGTTCCACAAGATACCATCTTGTATTTTGTTCTCATGTTGGGGAATCCTGACAGGGGGTTTTGGGTGCCCTTAGGCTGGGAGGGCGACGTCGGCACTTGTTACGAACTGACGCCAACGCTTTATGAATCGGCACCAATCCTCAAGACTCATCTTAGGAAGACCTGATAGATGGGAAGGCAGAGCATACACGATGTCACTTTGCAAGACGGCTTCACAGAACAGAACAGTAGCAAATTCCAAGTGATTGTCTCAAGATGATCACGGCATGGCACAGCCAGGCACTCCACACCAGAAGACGCTTCTCGCTTCTTCTCGCATAGATATTGGACCTCCGAAATATGTAGTACACACTCGTCCTGTTTCTGCCCTTGCAAGCTGGTCCAGGGTGGGCAGATTGGTTTGGGACGAATCTTGCTACGTAGTACGTAGTACATAGCTAGTCTGACCCCACTGGATCTGTGCTGAACTGGCACTGGAACGTCTGCATGTGTCCACTGCATGTGTCCATTGCGTGTGTAAAAGTGACGTTTCGTCTTGGCTCGGCCAATATGTAACTATCTTTTTCCCGTCCAAGGATCTGTAGCAAAATTCCCAGATTGCTGCTCTGCCAACTTCATGCCCAGTCGTTCTCCCTGCTCACCCACAATCATTCCCGTTATCCTTCGTGAAATTAAGCACCTTTGTCTTCTAGAGGATTTGGCAGTTGCGACGACGAACGCCGCTTCCTTTCCGCAGCAAGGTGTGGTACCTTCTCAATGTCGTCTCCTTCCTCAACCGGATCGTCGGCCAAGCGAAAGCGCATCATCCAGATGCCGTCTGAACGCGTCAAGCCCTCGACTGCCGAGCTGCTGCAACCTTCGTCGCGGGATGCCTCTGCTGAAGAAGCGGCCGAGTCACCCTCTCGCATGTCCAAGCACAAGAAGGCAGCCAATTCGATCGACTCGAAGGACGCACCGCCAAGTAAACGACCTCGGACACGCGCTACAGCTGCCCCTGCCACCACCAGCAAAAACAGTATGGACTCTACTAGTAGTGGCTTGAGGGTTGAAGCTTCGGCTATCAACAGTAAAGATCCTGGCGAGACGTCTTCGACCACCGAAGATAGCGAGGAGATCGAGAGGCACACGGATCAGAGGAGAGGGAGAACTAGCAGCAAGAGTAATGGAGCTGGCAACGAAAACGGCCATGTCGAGAAGGACCGGAGCATGAAGCCCATGCGCAGGGCTGGGTTAAGAGATCCGATCGGAGGATACAAGACCAATCCACCGCCAACCGGAAGATCGGTTAGGGTCTATGCTGACGGAGTGTTTGATCTGTTCCATCTTGGGTAGACCCTCTCTATTCGAAGGCGAGGTGCATCTGGGACACCCGCTAATTGTGACGTAGGCACATGCGCCAATTGGAACAAGCAAAGAATGCATTCCCCGACACCTATCTCCTTGTCGGCGTCACCGGCGACGCCGAAACTCACAAGCGTAAAGGTCTTACAGTGCTCACCGGGGCCGAGCGCGCGGAAACGGTCCGGCATTGCAAATGGGTGGATGAAGTCCTTCCCAACTGCCCATGGATTGTTACGCCAGAATTCCTGGAAAAGCATAACATCGACTACGTCGCACATGACGACGAGCCATACGGCGCCGACGAGGGTGACGACATCTACAAGCCCATCAAGGAGCAGGGGAAATTCCTCGTCACGGAACGGACTGAGGGTGTTAGCACCACTGGCATTATCACCAAGTAGGATCTTTTCCTTTGTTACCAGCTTGCACGCTTATTTGTGTCATCGTACTGACATTCTATTCTGCTGACAGAATCGTCCGGGACTATGAGAAATACATCGCCCGCCAATTCAAGCGCGGCGCCTCCCGCCAAGAGCTCAATGTCAGCTGGCTCAAGAAGAACGAGCTCGATCTCCGACGCCACGTCACCGAGCTTCGGGATAGCATTCGCAGCAACTGGACCAGCACGGGAAGTGAGGTCGGGAAAGAGCTGAGGCAGTTTTGGCAGACCAGTAGACCGGCCAGCCCGGCTCCTGGTATTGCCGGAAATGGTGGTAGGGCGGGTGTGGAAGGTCAGAAGACTGCTAATGCTGGGAGTGCTTTTGAGCATCTGAAACATCTGGAGGTTCCGGGCCAGCCCGCGGAAAGGGGGAGGCCAGAGAGTATTGGTGGAAGTATTAGGGGAAGGAATGAGGACTTTGCTGCTGGGTATAGTTTGGGCTTGATTGGTGGGGTGAGAAGTTGGGTGAGTACAACGCTATCTTCCCCATTCTGCTCGCATCCAATAAAGCCTGACGAGTGGTTGATGCCCAATGGGTGGTCTGAATATCTGCTGAAGCTGACATCTTACGCTCCTTCTAGATGATGCGTGGTAACAGATCCCTGCGTGGCTCTCAGCCTCCGAGTCCGAGTGGCAGCGAGGACGATAATGACTCGACAAAGAGCCCCATCATTGCTCCTACTACTGAGCTGGTGGACGATGACGAGAAGACGCCAAGTCGAGGGAGGAAGGACAAGATGACAAGCGATGGAATCGATAGTATGGATGTTGGGGCTTGATTTCTTAGATTTCTGTGGCGCACGCCACGAACCCCCGGGCGTTGATCCTTCAGCTCGGGTTTCTAAGCAGCTGAGGTGTCTGGCCGTCTCGGTTCACGCCTGAAGGTACTGCTCGACGCGGACGTGGTGCCAGCTGGTCGTTTGTCATGAAGTATATAGCTAGCTACCGGTTTCTAGAAAGCGTTGGCCGCTTCCGGCATGCGGAATAGTAATGAAAGAAAAAGTGTTTATTCAAAATTGATCTGACAATACTGAGGAGTCAAAGACTGCCTGCCTAGGTGAGGACAGCGCTGCCCTACGATGGGAACATGGGGGCAATGTGACTTGTGTTGCTTCACAAAAAGCGATCTGGATGTGTAGGTAACTAAGGTTAATGCTTCAGAAGTGCAGGATCGTTGTTGGTCTCATCTTGATGATGACGCTCAGATGCATAGACCTGGAACGAATCGTCCTTGAATAGCTACACCATGCCAGACCACAGTGTGCCATTACTCTCTCACCTGTACCAAAGCCAAGCCACCTGCATACAGCCCTTGCACCTTCGATCGATCTGCTGATCTCTTCCGTCTCCCATTCAACCACGCCGGGTGCCGCCCCATCACGTCTCCATCCTCACGATCTCGGCTTCTCCTTCTTCTCCTTCCACAGCGCACTCAGCCCGACACCGGACACCTTGACCACCTTGAATCGCACACCAGGAATATCACCCTTTGCTTTGCCCTTCCGACCGAAACCCGAGAGGAGGACCTCGTCATTCTCGTCCACGAAATTCAGACAGCCGTCGTTGGGTACTGCAAAAACACGACATCGCGCGGATTAGCCCTCAGCTCCAACTTGGGGCCGCCTTCTTTTCTCCCTAACCGCGTCTTCGAATACCAGACCAGAATAGAAAGGGTAGATAGATAGACAGATAGACAGATAGATAGCCGTCTCACGTACCAAAAGCCGTGACCTTCTTCCCGTTCTTGATCAGCTGCACCCGGACGCATTTCCTGATGGCGCTGTTGGGTTGTTTGGCCTCGACGCCCACCTTCTCCAGCACGATGCCCTTGGCGTGCGACGAGCCGCCGAAGGGCGACGATTTGAACGCCGTCCCCAGCAGCCGCTTCTTGTAGTGCAGATCCGCCCAGCGGCCTTCGCGGCGCGTGGTCTTGAGCTTGCGGGCGGCGTTGAGGCCGCGCGGTTTGCCTTTGGTCATTTTTGGGGTCTTCTTCCTCTTCTTCTGCGGATTTGGGACTTTGTTAGATGGGACGAGAGGGGGGAGGGATAGCAGAGAGTTGACTGACTGGGTGTAGATAGGTGTTGAGGCGAGAAGTGAAGGTGGGGGGTTGGTTGATGTCGTCGTAGATGTCGATTTTGATATTGGAAATTTCGGTGTGCGGAGACAGTTTAGGCTTAGCGTTCCTTTTTATGTAAGTGCGTCCAGGCTTGGCATTATTTGTGTGCTACTTTCTACTAACTTAGTACTTACTACTTACTATGGAACTACTCTTACATGGTATGTGTACCACCGAGTTTGCAGGTCACTTCCATCTCTGTTGCGACTCGACCTTGCACTGGAGCCCATCTCTGGACAGCATGGTGCTCGCGCCACTCTCTCCATCTCTACGCGCAACAAACAATCCACCAGAGCGAAAAGTATCCCCCACATCGCCAGTGTCGCCCTCCGGAAAATCAAAATCAAAATCCAAACCAGAATTTACCAAGTCACCTCCTCTAGCCCGCCTCCCACCTCCAGCACTCTTCCAAGGCCCACCCTCCCGCAACGCCTCCAATATCTCCCTCCACCTCCCGGGCGCCAATGCAGCCGCAATCGGTCTTCCTGCCTCCGCCTCCATATCTAACATCTCCCCTACAACAACGTCGCCAGACAACCTCTCACGAATCTCCTCCCGCCGCCCTGTTGCCGACTCAAGGACCAACGACTTCTCCCCAGCCTCTGCGGGCCCCAGGGTGAGAGAAGCGCCCAGCAGCACACCCATCCGTCCACACCAGCACACCAGTAAGATAGACGCCGCCGCTGCCACGAAACGCGAAAATGACCGCGCCGACGCCCTCTGGGCTGAGATGCAGAATACGCTGGCGGAAGTGGAGCTCAGCGCCGCGGCCGGATCGCATATCTTTGGCGCGGGCCATGCGAAGGCGTTGGAGGAGTTGAGAGCGGCGCAGTTGGAGCTGGCGAAGGCTTGGGCGAGGAGTGAGAAGGATGAGGTGGAGAGTCATGGCGCGGGGGATGAGGAGGAGGAAGAGGAAGAGGAGAAGAAGAAGGAAGGGGGTGGGGTGGGCAGTGCTGGATTTGGGCTGGGCGTGTTGGGTGGGAAGGATGGTGTAAAGCAGCAGCAGCAGCAGCAGCAGCGACCTGGGTCGGCTGGGAAGAACGGCGCGGTGACAATGAAAGAAAAAAGACGCTGGAGAAGGAGACGGAGAATGATATCTTGTTGGCCAAGACGAGGAGAGAGGCCAATGATCGCTATTTCGAACAGGTGAATAATTCGGTGTTGGATGCGGTCAAGAAGCTTGACGAGGTGGCTGCGGCGATGAGGAAGGTGGAGAAGGAGAGCAGTGATATCTGGAGTGAGGATGGGGATGGGACTGAGAGTGTTACTGGGAGTACGACGGGCGGGTGAAGAGGAGCTAGGGATATCGGTATGTTAATCAATTGGCCTAAAATAGGCTGCACTTGGAACACTTGAAGACCGGGACAGCTGGCAAGAGTACCGCGCCTGCTGACAGAGCCGTCGTGACGCAGGCCCACTGCCATTTCTGGCATGCTGGTGGATCTACAGGGCTGTTCGAGGTCCATGGTAAAAATCCCGTCCAAGGGTCCGCATAAGCCTTTGTCTCTTACACACACACAACTTCTCTGCCTCTTACAGCTCGGAACACCAGCCACGGCACTTCCAGCTACTCTCCACCACAGCAATATCTCCTCTGTTGCGTCTAGATTGCATGAAATCTACACCTACAACAGCATACCGAACACGACACCAACACCTCTCACAAGTTCACTCTTTCTAGAACTCCACCTCCGATGAGAATCAGGATCCGCCCCGTACCTCCGCCTCGCCTCTTCTCAGCGCCAGCAAAGCCCGCACATCGGTGACATACTGCAGCGCCTCCAGCAACGGGATGAGATGCAGGAGATCATTATCCGTGGGATCATTAATCCAGCCTTCGATTGGAATGGCATTATCTGCGTTTCCGGTGTCAGACTCCATGCCACAGCCATAGTCTATCAGCCCGCCCAATTCATCAATATCGATCGTGGACGTACCTTCATGAAAAATATAGCTCATAGGACTATTATCCAGAATCGCCACGCGGCTCAGGTCCGGTTCAATACTGCTCAAATCCTTGATATACGCCCCATTCCGAAACGTACAATGCTGTCGGTAGTACCGGCCCTGGAAAAACTTCCTCTCCTGCTCCAGCCAATCCACTACCGGATCAGCGTACTCCTGCACGCTGGCGGTGAACACGACGAGCTTGTACCACTGGCAGACCTTACGCAGGAACTCGTCGCAGTGCGGCCGTTTGTGCACATAGTAGAGGATCGGGTGTTGCGGGCCGATGATGGGCGTGTTGGGGGAGGAGGTCAGGCCGATCGGCGCGTTGAGTTTGACTTCGACCATGTGGCCAGAGGACATGCGGCCGCCTTTGGCGAGGGAGTGGATTAGGGTTTCGTCGAGATCGAGAATCAGGGTCTTTTGGTAGCGGGGGTAGCGGGTGTTGAGGGCTCGGGGGATTATATTAGAATAGGAGGGCTGGCGGCGGGGGATTAGAGGGCGGGGAGGTGCTGGGGCGTGGGGATATTTGTGGATCTTGAGAGACTGTGATGCCGACAGTGGTGATTTGATCGTGTCAAGCGTCAATGGCTCTTCGTTGATGATGGATTTTCGCCTTTGTTTGCGGTTATCAAATGATTCCGTTTTGGACTCCTGGATGCGTATGGATCGTCTGGCGGGTACATTATCGTCATGCTTGGACTTGGGGTGTCTGATCTCCGAGCTCCGGGGTCGTGTCTTCTTCTTTTCTGCTTCTGACTCTGAAGTATTCGACGTCAACGATTCGTTGGATGCTGAGCTTCGCAGCTTTGCGGTATATGTGCTGCGCTTGCCCGTGATTGTTTTGGCTTCGCTGACTTTTGCCTTGAAGTTTGACAGCCCGACAGCTGTGGCGGTCGAAGTCGTGGCCTTTCGGCCGCCGAACAAAGGACGGACGCTCTTCAATGGAAGAAAGGGAGAATAGCGTCCGCCTTCATCCTTGAAGCAACTGACTGCATAAACCACAGGAGCTCCGATTGTCGTCAGCAGCGCCGTCAGTGCAGCGGCGATCTTCTTCACCAGGCTCTGTAGCCTACTCTTGTAGAAGGAGACGTCAGGCTTGGATGGCTTTTCCAACAATGGAGTCTTTTCGCTCAAGGACTTCACATGATCTTCCTTGTCATCCCGGTCTGGCTCCTCGGAACTGGTATTTGCTCCATCGGCAAATCCCAGTAAGCTCTTCACCCCGTCCACGCCCTGCGCGCTGAGTGATCGGCCTCGTGAGTAATCTTCCGTTTGGCTGGAGCCAAAGATCTCGCCTTGCGATCGGGAGCGTGGTCTTGTAGCGCCGGGTATCGACTGGCCGATGACTCGTGACGAGAGGATGTTCAAGGAGTTCATCTTCCAGCGAAAGTCGGCCAATATCAGGGGTTTCGATCAGTTGGCAATGCCTCGGCCGTCACGATGGTCCAAAAGGAAACCCGTAAACAACCTGTAGGTGTAGGATTCCAGGCAGCCCGGCCACGAACAGACGGACCAGGACTCCGGCGCTGGCTCTACTTCATCGTACCAATCGCATACTGTAGGTGGCGTAGAGTAAAGACCGGCAACAATCAGCGACAGATCTACGTCGTGAGGGTTGGAGGGATGCGTATTGCGATGATCGGACGTGTAATTGGGGAGACGACGACGGTGGTGAGGGTGCGGGTGCGGGTGAGGGTGAGGGGAGGGGAGGTTGGAGAGAAACATCGGACAATCTGTCTACGAACTACGTACAGTATTCCTCGCTGCGGCACAACCTCTGTGGCTGCCCGTGTCCAAGTTGCCGATTCGATGGGGGGTACTCCTTATTAAGAAGTGGAATCTCTTTACCTTTACATATATACCCAGTTCTCTAGAGATACTCCGAGTTTCATGCTCTCACACAACCGCCTCCAAATCATTCAGATCCTCCCCCTGCTGCATGTGCTTGAGCTCCTCTCCCCCGGAGCCTGTTAAATACACAATATGGCGCCTGATTCAGGCTCAAGAACGCCTGGCCTGACCTCTTTCCTGCGCTCCCTCTCCTCCGAACCAGACGAAACCTGCATAGAGCAGTTTATTGCGTGAGTTGTTGCGAAACGCACAGGTCTGGAGCCGTACGCTGAACTTTGCTCCAGCCTTCTTAGACGACGTCAAATACGGCATTCACGCCCTTGCGCTGTTGCAACTGCATATCTCTTGCGGCGCGTTGTCGCACAAGCCAAAGCAGAACCCGGAAAGCCGATCGAGGCCGCGCGCTTGCTACAACGAGTACAAGAGGTCGGCAGGAGGTTGGTAGCGGCACAACCGAGAGAGCTGGTGGTGGGCAATGTTGTCAGAAGGGTGTTGGGGCTAATTAGAGAAGAGCAAGACAATGAACGGGGAGAAGGAGATATCAGTGGCCTGTCGAGTGAGGTGGGTATTGACAGTGGACAGCAAACGCCACAGATACCAAGTCTAGGAAAAGGAGACCCTCTCTCAAGTTTGAATGGTACTACTCGAGCCACTGCAGACATGCAAGCATTGCACACCTCGCAATCACCAGCGGGTGTCAACACACGCAGAACCACTCAACCAGCCAGTCGACCGGCCCTGCAACCTTCATACACCACATTTGCAGGCGCCCCACCAGTGACTTCTATGTTCAGTCTGCTTTCACATCCTACCATGAGCTCGCCTCGAAGCTCTCCTGCACCGGGATCACCCAGTGGTACTGCAACTCCACATCCAACTGGTTCAAATGACATCCGGCAAGAGGTAATCGAAGGCATTGGCGAGATCATCGACGAACTTGAGCAATCAGACGAGCAGATTGCCAGCTATGCCTTAGAGCACATACATGCCAACGAGGTAATTCTGACCTATTCCTCCTCCACCACAGTCCAACGCTTCCTCCTGAAGGCCGCCTCAAAACGAAAATTCACCGTCGTCCATGCCGAGTCCTATCCGAACAACCACCGAAAGGTCCATGCTCTCGTCACCGGCAACACCAACTCAGACCATTCTGACGCCCTCACCACCGAAGCATTTCACAAAACTCTCACCTCCGCCGGCATAACCGTAATTCTCATCCCTGACTCTGCCATCTTCGCCCTAATGTCACGCGTCAACAAAGTCATCCTCGGCACGCACGCTATCCTATCCAATGGTGCGCTCGTCGCTACGTCAGGAACCAAACTCGTCACCAAAGCGGCAAAAGCGCATCATGTCCCTGTCGTCGTGCTGAGCGGGACGTATAAACTCAGTCCCAAGTACCCTTATGATCCAGATATGTACATTGAGTATGGGGACGTAAGTAAGGTGTTTCCGTACCAAGATGGGGAGTTGGTGGAGAGTGTGCAGGTGGAGAATCCGCTCCTGGAATTCGTCGGGCCGGAGTGTGTGGATATGTATGTGACGAACCTGGGGGGCCATGCGCCGAGTTATCTGTATAGGATTGTCAGGGATCAGTATCGGGACGAGGATGTGGATATTTGAGATAAGCGCAACAATTCGGTGATACCCAAAAAGAGCATGAAACTAGCAACGATGCACAGCGTGGAGCTTGGAACAAAGAATTCTTCGACGAATGTGCATCTACATGCTACCACAATGCACGAACGGATGCAGCCAGTCAAAAGTCTCTGTTGAAAAGGCATGAGATTGGGTCATTCCAAATCACCGTCGCCTCCTCATCAGATCGTAGCCTTGAGGCGTCCTCTCCACCACGTTTCTATTCATGTCCTCATACCCTCTCCCTTCCTCTCTCTCTTCGTCTCTCTCCTCCATCTCCTCTCTCCTCCCAGCGCCCCTCACCCTCCCCTCCCTCTCCAACCTCCTAACCTCCCGCTCCAAGTCCTCTTCCCCTCCCTCGCGAAACCTAGTGACCTTGCGAACATTCGCCGCCATGATCTCCGTCATCCCGTTTCCCGCTCCCTCACTCTCTTCCCTCTCCCTCTGTCTCACCAGCGCCCGCGCCGTGAGGGCAAACCTCATATCCTTTGGTCCGTCGACGAGTTCGAGGATCGCGGACTCGGATTGGCCCGGGTTGTACTCGCGCTCGTCACGTCTGTGTTTCTTGTCGCGGTCTAGGGGTTCGGTGCGCAGGACGCGCGTGTAGCCTCCTGGTCGGTTGGCGTAGCGCTCGCGGAGGGGGCCGAAGAGTTTGGGCAGGAATTCGTCGGGTCTCTGTGCCAGACGAAAGAAGGGGAGGGAGTGTTAGTCTGGACTCGTTTGGGGGGGAGGAAGAAGAAAGGTAAAGAGGAGAAGCGCGTGCGAGATGGGACGGTGTGTAGATCGACATACGAATAGGATGGCCTGTGCTTGCTGCCTAGCTGCATTGTTGTTTCTCTTTCCCAACGTTATGAGCTTTTCCGCCATGCGCTGGGCTTCTTTTGCTCGCGGCCATGTCGTTCGTATCGATTCTGTCTCGATGAGGGAGGTGACGAGGTTGCGGAGGAGGGCGGAGCGATGCGAGGATTTGACACCGAGATGACGGTGTTTTATGGACGACATTTACGGTTGGTCTGGAGAGGGCTGGAAGGATGGAAAGGACGGGTCTGAAATATGAGGGGAGATATTGGCTGATGGTTGTAGAAGATGCATTTGATATTGATCTTCAATTGCTCGCCATTTCTGGGAAGCTTTAGGTCCTTCGGTCTTGGCGCTCCAGGGGCTGCCTGAGCCGGCAATCCTCCTAAGTTACAGTACTCCGTACTCAATTGACGATTTACATACTCCCTACTGTATCATCTCCGCAATACCCTTAGAAGAAAAATCGCAGAGCCTACGAAGCTTGCGAAAACTATTATTCCGCAACAGCTCTACCTCACTTCAAAGCCACGCGTCGTGACCCCCAAAGACTTGCCTCTACCGTGGTTCTCCGACCTTTTTTCTCAGGGAAACTACATCATTTATTCCGGCATTCAAATGAATTGAAGGCCACAACAATGGGTTTTACAACCGGCTTCGTACGTCACCTAAGTCCTCACCATGATACCATTCCTGCGAGCCTCTTATGCCGTCCTTGTTCTAACCAGAAATTCTCTTCACAGCTCGGCGGCCTAACCCTAACCTACTCCCTCCTCTACCTCTCCCTGTACCTGCACCGCACCAACCGAACACAGCAACATACGCTCCTATCCCAACAGTCGCTGCTACTGAACTCTCTCCTCGAACGCCCCACATCCAGTTTATCCTCAACCTCGAGAACGAGAAGGACAAGGATAGATCCCGAGACGCTGGAGGTGGAAGAACGGTGGAAGAAGGATTCCCTGACAGAGAGATTGAAGGATAGGTGGAATGGGGAGGTGGAGGGCATGGTTAGGAGGGTGGCGGAGACGGATTGGAGGGCGGTGAGGGAACGTTGGGAGAGGAGGGGGTTGAATCTGTGGAGGAATATGACTACCACTAAGGACTAAATGGGGTCTTCCTTGCCAACCGTGATTTTGCAAGGAAGAAGCTAAATCCATTACCACCATATCACCATGCCACCACTTGTTTTTGCAAGCAGAAGACACAGCTCGCACTTTGGCTGTTTCAGCTTGTCCTTGTCATTTTCGCTCCATCCCATCGCCGCTGGGTCGACGTGACTCTGGGTCTCAGGCTCCAGGAAAGAGCAGAATCAGACTGGTTGACAAATGGATGTACCCACTAATGCTAGATAACATCACATCCACCAGTGGATGCCAACCCCAGAATCTTCGACGGCCGCTGGCCTTCGGAACCAACAAGGCGGTACCCGAAGATCCCGTCATTGTTATCGGTATAGTCATTTTTGTTGGTGTGTTGTATCCACTATATTGAAACGGAAGTCGATTATTGCTTTCCTCAGTGATTGCAACGCCGTCTTCTTTTAATTGATGGCCACGGGAAGCCATTTTACCTTTGAGTCTATGTGGAAATGCTACATCAATAACATCCGCTTGAATTCGGGGCGAGAAGAACGCATGAAATGATTCGAGGTCCCAAGCTTTCCCAATCAATTACGGCTCTGTGGTCATAACAACATCCACTTGTTCGAAAGACCTCAAACCTTCTTCAGCTAATCAGGGACCTCAATCCCCATCTTGACCTTCCAAGCAACTGGCAGAACCCTGCCTACCATTCACCGGCCGGGCTGGAGTCTGGATCGATGTGGGCAAAACCATCAAGTGGAATCAATTTGGTACATTCTTTTGAGGAAGTACCTGGGAACATTTGCGTTCAAAGAGGACAATATATGGAGTTCGATGGAACACAAAGAACTGGATCAGCTGGGTGGATAAGCCAAGTCGTTGATATAATAATATCTCAAAGTACTAGATAGAAATGGCTGTGGAGATAATGTAAACGGGTTTTCCCAGATGTATCATGGAGGGAGCCGCAGCCTTTTGGTGGATTGGGTGGCCGTCTTAGGATCCTGACTGGGCAGCTGGGAAGCAACGTTAAGACAGCCATTAATCAACCTTACCCGCCCCTCAAGTCATGCTGTTCCATTCACTGTAGAGCAATACACCTGAACGTAGGTAAAGTTATTCAAGCTCTGTGATAAGCCCGCAAATGCAGATAGTAAGCTTCTTGGATTCTCCCCAACCTTCATTAAATAATAACGTATCATTGTAATGGTAACAAAGTCTTAAGAGTTTCATCCACTCTTCAAGTGAGGTGAACAGATCTCTTGATGAGTTCCTCTCGCAGGCACCCCTGACGCTTGTTTAACGCACACAACTCTCGTTATCTCCATATCGCGTACATGAGTGCGACGTTCAGATCGATCGTGAGATAGCAAATGGTGATAACTTCTAGGCTGCTCTCTGGTATGGTTCATTCTACACTTGCTTGACGAATTCCATCCTACTGACCGCCAGACCGGCCTGCCAATGTACTTAAGCCGAGAGAAGGATCGAACCTCCAGGCGCATGTCGTGACCTCTAATGGAAGGTCGTTAAAGAGATCCTGCGTCTCGACGCGACTTCTCGAGGACCACGATTTTCGTTCGAGTATGTAGTAAGTATGTAGGTGCGTCCGCAGCTGATGTCCTCATGGTGTACACTCAGCTAATCGTCCCGGAGATAGTGGCGGCGGCTATAGTACCGGTCAGAGACTTTCAAATCGACTCTACTTCTTCCTTCGAATGTCCAGCGATATTTATAGCCTGGTTGTCTCCACAGATTGAAGATGCTCAATTCTTCTCAAGCTGTCAGAATGATGAGATATCTTCCGCCTCGGTTTCTTCCAAAGCACGGAGAGTTGGTTCCACTTCTCGAGGATCGGAAATAGCCCACACACCACCTCCCTTGGCGAAGCTACGGCCAACCTCCTTGCCCACAAGATTTCTGCCGACCTTGCCGGGTCCAACACCGAGCCAACGTTTAACTTTCGCAGTTTGATCTAGGTATTTGATGCTGTCCCACCATCTGACTGTCTCTACCGCTTGTCGAGAGAGCAGATCCTTGAGATCGTCCTTGGACCTGAAAGGTAGACCAGATACATTTGATATACATGGCATGTTTGCTGGGAACTTGACCGGACCATCACGTAAAATCTTTCTCATGTACGCCATAGCGGGGATCATGATAGGGCTGTGGAAAGGACTGTTGCTCTTAATCTCGACGGCACGAGGATCATGACCACCAAATTCCCGGATCTGGACAAGTAGTTGCTTGATACGTTCGAAGCTGCCGCTAAGCACAATTTGATTCTTCGAGTTGATGTTTGCAATGAGCACCTGATCAATTGCTGGCACCTCGTGTGAGTCAACTTTCGAGCCCGCCCCAGGTTGGAGAAACTGGTGAATGGTTGCAATGAGAGATTCCAGGCGTTCTGGTTCACAGACAAGTGCCATCATGCCGTAGGTGCTGCCGGACTCTTGTGCTGCCTGCCGAGTACATTCAGCCATGATTTCAGCCCGACGGCGCACCATCCGTAGAGCGAAAGGATATTCCAAATAGCCAGCCACAACCAAAGCTGCATATTCGCCCAAGCTGTGTCCCAGTGTGACATCAATCTTCTCGTCTGTTCTGAGGCCGTACTCCTTTTCCAGCACGCGCAATATCATGATCGAAGTGGCCATGATTCCCGGCTGAGCATTTTCAGTTTCATTAAGCTTGTTGACTGGGCCATCGGCAATGACCTTTGACAACGGGTAACTCAGTATTTCATCGGTCTCTTCGAGAAATGGGCGGACGGTGGACGGGTATGCTTCGAGCCATGCCCTGGTCATGCCCACGCGTTGGACGCCATGGCCGGGAAAGAAAAGAGCGGTCCGTAGACTCGACTCGGCTGCAGTAGCATAGCATCTTTGACGAGCATTCGCGATTCTGAGGAGGGAGGTTCTGGTGGGAAATGTAGACAGGACGCGTGTCATGGTACTGGTTAGACTACCGCCTTACTTTCGACATGGTTGCACTCTCTAGCTTTGACTCGAGATAAAGTGTCTTGTGTAGTTTTGATAGAATATCTGTGCATTAGCGATGGACCAACCATGTACACACTCCTTAAAAGGTTGCAAGTCGAAGTCAGTGGGCTTGGGAGAGCCAGCTCGGCACTCGGAAGGGGAGGAAATCCCAACGACAAATTGAAGGGCGGGCAGAGAATTTCTTGGCAGTAAGGCAGTACGCCTCAGCTCCGGGCTATTAGTAGTAGGTAGTTATATTGCAGACGTGCAAGTATGGATAGGTAAGCGATTAGCCCTTTTTCACCCTGGATTTGCTAGCTAACCTGGAAGTTTTACACCCTTAGGAACAGTTACAGAGCTAGAATCCTCTCACAGTACCTGGAGAATGGGCCGGAGGGCTTGCAAGAATGTCATGGATGAGCTGATTAATTGATTGATTGATTGGTACAAGTATAACCGCCATGTGACAAAGAATCCAACCCTCCGATCGACGACCACCGGACCAATCCCTTGGTACTGCCGGGATCGAAGGTACGGATAACGTTTGCACATGTCAGCAACTCACGTTCCACGCAAAGAATAGTTTCTATGCCTTCTCTTTCGCAGATTCAACTCAAGAGGGGCGTGTTAAAGGAATAGAGCGGTAGACCACACTACCCAGCACAACCACTAAGAACTCCAATTCCTGACATTCTACCAAGCCTTCAAGTAATATTGTGCATACTGGGCATACTTCTCAGCCAGTTTTAGTGGGCGTGCTTGTGTGCTAGATCTCTTTCTGCCATTCGTGGCATTTTCAGTATAAAGATGCGGCGTTGTATAAATTAGATGAAACAATCCAATCTTTCATCGTTCTGCTCAAACAGAGAGTGCACAACAATGTTTTTTGTGATGTGCGTATTCAACAATAAACAGGAAGTAAAAAATTGTGGTCATTGGTCCTTGTGCACCAAGGACGCTGACTAGTAGTTGATGTGACACAACCCACCAGCGCCGCCGGGCCTCCGGGCCCCCGGGCCTTCGGGCCGAGAGTTCCAGGGGGCAGGCCCCAAGCGGATTTCATACTTGGTAGTTACACCAAATGTGACAGCGACATCTGACAGTGCCAGCATCTGTACCTACTGTGTGGTAACAGCCACTTCACGAGTTCGCTTGCAGCAAGCTCGTATCTCTACGTACATACTGTGTAGAAACCAGTTACTACAAATTCAGGCTATGTTTCATAGGTAGGTGTTGGTCTACCCCACCGAGGAATACCAAGTTGGCCGTTAGCTCCACGGTACCGGAGCTTGTTCGGGCACCTGCCTAATGAGGGATCCCTAAGTCTCCGGTCAATAGCGTCCGCTCGTCTGTCTTGAAACAGGTAGGTAGAACGGTAGGCTATTTCGAGTCAGGTTTCAGCCGTTAAAGGTCTTTTGTTACAGCGAGTTTTCGAATAGATCTAGATCTTCTACTTAGGAACGCGCTTGGCGGAGAGTCTCCCTTCGCAGGGAACAAATGTTCATTGTTAAGATAATCACCTCCGCCGGCAGAGGGAGAGATACCGTGAGAATTTTCAGGCAGAAAAGTTCTAACCAGTTGACTACCCAGATTCGTACTACTACTAGCACCTAAACCGTTGTGTAATTGAAAGAGACAGAAAAGCGCACAAGGTACGGCTAGTTACTCTGTTGTTATCCGCCCACTCAGAGAGAGATGTCATTTCTCCCTTCGGAACGTGAGTTCTCAGTTTCAAGACCCGTCATGAAATTAGTGCTGGGACACTACAGTATCAAGCAGACCTCCTTCGCCTGTACATACATGAGGTTGAAGATGCATACACTGTACTTCGTAACTGCCTCCTGCTTTCATGACTGAGAAGTCCCTTCCTGACTTCGCAAACCCTGCGCTGGGTGAGGGGCGGCTACGGATGCTACTCAGATCAAGAGAAGAGATGATTACGCCGGCTACAACGACGCATTCAGCGCTATCCCGCTGTGAGCTCAGTTCTCCAGGGGAGCAGCGCCGCGCAGAGAGTGCCTAAACACAGATAAGTTGGGTGGACCAGCAGATTGACATGCGGAGTCGCTGCTTGTTAGATGACTGGGGTTTCCTGTTTGCAGGCTGCCTTTTTTTGAAGAGCAGCACATAATAAAGTATAGAGAGACCGAATTTTAGGAAGCGAGGGCTGCGAAGCAGTTGAGGTTGTCTCCCATATCCACGTCGGCAATTCAATTTCTTCACTTGTCAGTACTCGTCTATTGATTAGCGAGCTTCCTTAAGTATTGAATGTTGTGGGTAAAGATCTTCGGAGGTTGTGAAGCTAGAGCTTCCATCAACTCTGTTCCATGTGGGCTCGGCTCCAAAAGCAGAGATCTCAAAATTTATACTACAGCACATGATGCCGGATACCTGAGATATGTTGCTTGCAACGGAGCGACAAAATTATTGTAAAAATGCCGTCTGAACGTTGAGAAGTCAAGACTCTTGGTAACATCACGTCCCGGAAACTCGCACCTGAGGCAACGCTGGACGGCGTAGCCATATGAATCTCCTGCCTGATTGTAAACCTCGTCTATCTTGCTCTCCGCGATTCTGAAATCATCGGGTATACTGGTCGTTGTACTTCCTGCAGGGTTTGGGGGTCGAAACTCTTCAAATGATTTGTTGAGGCAAAGTTCAATCAGAAGAATTCCAAGAGAAAAGAGTGTCTTATTTCGAATGTGATGGCTGTTGAAGCGACCGGCTGTATCCAGATGTGACGCTGTGACGGGCGTCTCAAACAGGTAAGAAATGCACGGAGTTCGAGAAACTGTAACCGGGCTAGCGGCGGTGCTCTCAAGAAAAACTTTGATTTGCTCTCTATCCCAAGTGTCGCATAGCCACGGTGTACAGCTGAGATGGAGAACTGCCCATGCTACGGCAGCAGCGAAACCATATCGCTGTTTTGCCGACAGAGCTAGATGCGGCGGAAGTTGATACTCTGGGTTCGATTGCTGCTCTGGCAAAAGCGACTTCAGTGGCATGGGTCTTAAAATGTGCGGCTTAGTGTCAGATGCGTGACTGAGACAAAACTTTCTTTCCTCCTGTTGGTCTGGGTCTGGCAAAACCCCCAAGGCCGCAGATGATTTGGAAGGTTTTCGGACCTCAGCACAAAGACAAGAGATCTTGTCATTCGTCGAGTGCTGATATAGAATGCCGGATTCAGCTATTTCAATGCAACAGTTCAATTAGCCACGCCCGACTATAATCAGAAAGGCTAGAATTGACCTACCAGTATCAACACAAGACGCAACTGGAATCTTGATGGAGTTCGGCTCATTCTGTTGTTGCCAGAGAGAATGCCAGGCTTTGCTCATCCTAGAAATCGGTGACGGCGTTCGTGGTGTTGCTTCGGGCGATTGTTGAGACGGGACCGGAAGCGTGACAGGAACGATGTTTCTCGAATCCGTGCTTGCTATCTTCACCTGAAATTTTCGCCAGCTATGCTCAGCACTAGCTTCTTGAATAGGACTATCGCGGAAAGAAAGAGCAATGTCAAACACTGAGTTAAGATTTGGCTCTACGGACTGCCAGTCTAGACCAATAGTAGCATGATGGGAGCATTGGCAGGGGCAGTTCCAGCTTTCTTTGAGAGCTCCATGGATGGCTTGGACATTGACACGGATTGAGTGACAGTATTTAGGGTTGAAAGAAGCTTGCAATTCTTGGACTTTGGTGTCCTCATCTTGGGCTGGCACTTCCGGCTTCTCAAAGCAGTTTTTTAATGCTGTGTTCCAGTATTGCAGTTCGTCAATGAGAGCCTTGCGTTCTTTGACATTAAAGCTGCGTTTTATGCGACGCCACTCCCATTGAACTCGACCCGGAGCTTCGTCTGTCCACAATGGCTGCACAAAAAGTCAGATACCATTCCAAGTCTTGAATCAACTTGGACACATGGAAGCGGCAAGTGAGATAAGGCGTCATTTTGAACCGTGGAGAAATTACTTAGCGTCAGTTTGAAATAAGTATCATACTTTGCCATTGATATCAACTTCCAATTTGTGCAGAAGGCTACTGGTGATTTTGTCCATAGCTCCGATAATTGATAGGAATTCTTCCTGCTGATGGGGATACTTTTCTTCGAGACGTTCTCGTACTTCATCTATGCTTGCTTGTTCGAGTCCAATCAAGCTAAGAGTGACACGAAGCTGCTGTTGTTATACAAATATGTTATTCCGGAGGGTTGACAATGTTGTATCATACTTCCAGTAAGTCTTCACCGGGCCATGGTATTTCTCAAGTGCTAGTAGGGCGATCGGAATCCCTCCTAACACGACACCAGCAACTTCGGCCATGGTCTCGATGCTCTGTGCCTGACAGTATAAGAAGATTTTTCTTGGAATCAGAACGAAGTTTCCGCCAGACGAAGCTCTTGACGAGGCTGGGAAAAGCCAACAAAATAGCCTTGTTCACCACGGAATCTGCTAGTAAATATGTATAGGGCAAACAGCCTTATTGTGCCTAGTGAAGGAGTAAACCTACCACCCTTCAAAACCCTTTATCAGCTTCTCAGCGCTTTGGTTCCGCTATCCAAGAACTGCTTTCCTCCATGGTTAGTTTCATGTCTGTTCACCAAGCTCTACAGAAAGATTTAATTGCTTTAGTCAGGTCACGTCAAATCCACAATTGGAACTGATGTGCCGATTACCAGTCGAACCATAGCATGAACTCCTTGACTTAAGGCTGATCAATTCGGACAAAGTTACTGTCAACTGGACAATAGCATTTAGAGGCCGTTTCAACTTGAGAGCAGTACCCTTACGTCAGTGAAGCTATCCTGCAAGCCAGGTTCAACTTTGGCTACGTTTTCTTGCGATGGCTGAGACGTCACCCATTTCGTCGGAACAGTCCCTTTATGAAATCTTCGCAGACTGCCTTGTATCTTACAGGAAACTTCTTCTTGCTCTTAACGCAGAGAACTGTGGGGTGGTGCGTCTAGAACAGGTTGATGTGAACCGAACTCTAGAAGAATTTGGAAGAGTCAAGACTTGGGGCTACCAGACGAAAGCCACCCTTACATCAGGAGCTCGCGGTTCTTTAGATGACACGCTGAGAAACTGTTTTGAACTGCAAAGTACCGTCCGAAGTATTCTTCATCGTCTTTGCTGGTGTCTCGATCAAGGCAGGTAGTTCTGCATAAGAAATTGCCATCTCTCCACTGCTGACTCAATGACAGCAATCCCTATCGCGGAGAGAGGATACGATGGAACAAGTGAGTATGACCTAATCTCCAATAGCAGCATGGGCAGCGATTCGGATTGCGATACTGAGGAAGGACACCATGGACGTCCTAAAATCTCGAAGATCGCTTGGCTAGTGCAACAGAAATTTGAGCAGATTCAGTCACTGTTCTATCTATCATCTCTTCTTCGCCGTCCTACCTTTACAGGCAGGTATCTTCGCTCCGTGAAGTCGAAAGCTAGAGCGGAACTCCTGAGGGATGAGTCCCCATTAATCTTCCGTTTGGGCAGATATGATAGCGAGCACGTCTTCGAAAAGGTACGACAATGGCATGGGCTTAGTAAAAGCGCTATTAATGTGTCACACGAGGATGAAAAGCCCGCATCTTTGGATTGTATTCAGGCTCGCAGAGCTGTCAACTCCGAGCTTGGTGAAGATGTTACGGTCCTCTGTCACAGGCTCGCAAAGGCAAACAACAGGCGTCGTGAGCAGCTTCAGTATTGGGCCGAGCACTCAGATGTCCTGATGAAAGAGGGTTCAAGTGTCTCAATGGCAGAAACTCCCGTACTGGAGGTGAAGCAAGGCAGCGAGTCGCAAAGCCAAGTTTCCACTATCAAAAGATCCAACCAAACTGAACTGAAGCAGAGCAAAGACACAAGGTCGTCTTTTTCGAAGCAGAGTTTCTCTACGGCTGCGAGGTCGGCCGTGTATGAGACAAAAACACAGTCCGGGCGGACCCGTACAGTGTACGCGCAATCAGCTGCGGCCAACGGGCGATCAAATCGCGTACCTGACATGCCGGTTCCAGCGAATGACACCTCATCTTTCCATTGCCCCTATTGTGGCATGGACCTCAAGAGCCACGACATGGAGGACAGACAAGCGTGGAAGTAAGTCTTGTATCGGATCTTCCCTGTTCCACCGCGGTAACAAAGTGTTCTAGGCGCCACGTCTTCCGAGATCTCAGGCCGTACATCTGCACCTACCCAACATGCCAAACACCTGAAAAGCTGTATGTTACCCGTCACGACTGGTTGTATCACGAAATGCAGATGCATCGGCGCCAATTTCTCTGCGGCAACTGCCATGTGAAGTATCCAACACAGGAAATGATGGTAGCACATCTCAGGGCGCATCATGAGGGCTCGTTCTCCGAGTCTCAACTACCTACCATCCTTGATATGTGCGATCGGCCTATCGATGATAACGAGCAGTCAACTTGCCTCCTTTGTGGCCAAAAGATGTACCTACTACAGCTATGGGAACACCTCGCCATGCACATGGAGGATATTGCTTTGTTCGTCTTACCCAGCAAGGTTGCGGAAGAGACCGGAGATGTGGACGGTGGCTCCATATCCAACCAAGCCCCGAGACTGGAATTTGGTAATGGGAGTCATGGCGACGGAGCCTCTTCCCTTGACAGTCTCCATTTTTCTAATGCTGGGAGTGAATATGCTCACAAACAGACCTCTGCCGATTTTGAAAACTTACAAAGCACTGCACGGCCGGAAGCCGACTCCAAAATTGCCTTCTGGGAGGTATTCAACTCGGATTTGGAGTACCATTCTTCCACGTTGACGCCGCTCGTAGGGGAGGGCAATAATAAGCTTGAGGAGCATTTTCCCTATACAATCGCGGGGCGCCATTCCGTCGAGAGTGTGAGCTTCCAGTTTAAGATCGATACTATAGTGTCGAACGTTGCTGACTAATCAGGAGAATAGAATCTGAATAGCAAGTTGTTCTATCTAATTGACCGCGCAAGGAGAGCCTATTTATACATACCAAATTGCTATATCAAACTGCCAATCCATGCGAAATAGCGCGAAACGTCAATACTAAAAATACATGTTAATTCGAGGCGAAACGCGTAACAAATCTGTGATAAAACGCATTCAAAACGTCGCACAATACGCCACCGTTTGATAACCAGCAAATTCATCGAAGACGCGCAGAATCCAGTAGCGTTTGTTGCAGCGCTATATATCACGTGACATCCGGTCCACATATAGAACTGAAGCCAGGAGCACCTCCACAGTGTTTCGCCAATGGTTCCTACAAGCCGCCTACCGAATGTTGCGACCTTAGAACCTTTTCGTCAACCGGTTGGTATCGCTGGACTGCCAAGGGCGTGTCGGCGGTGGGATATAATCCTGCGCCTGCATGCCACGCTTATTCTACCTCTATCTTCTATGACGGGGATACGAAGGGCTTCCTCTTTCATCCGGCAGACTGTCGGACTGTCAATATCTCAGCCATCGAGAGGGAAGCTGCTGGTGAAGCATGGGGTTGGCGGCATTTATGCTTTACGGAAATAAACTCACAACACAGCGTTCTGGATCTTGATGGCGAATATGATACTTTGTGTGGTAGGGGAGGATCCTACGTTCCGCATTTCATACCATCACAATATCAGTCACGCATTAACTCCAACCTATGTGGACTGTCAGGAAAGATGAGTCTTTTGTTAGGGCTTACCGCCTTTTCATGTGCGCAAAACTGCATGTTGTTCGCCATTACCAAGAGCCTAAACATCAGGGAAAGAAGATGGGATGAGAAATTTTCTGGTATGTGGGGTAATGGCCGTAAGACATCCTCTGCGAAGCAAATCACGAGTGAGATACTAACACCCATTAGGCCTCCATGGTCGTGGTCTCGTAGTGCACATCATGGGCGATGAAAATCTTACAAATTTGGAAAATGGTGATTTCGGTCCTTTGCTGATGTGAGAAGTCGTCAGCAACCCTCGAAGCCTCATAGTTCATGAATCCAATTCTCGGCCCGTGCCTTTGTAAACGTGGTTGATATTGCACCCAGCGTCCAGCTGTAAATAGAGGGTGAAACAACGATTGTCCTCCTACTTAGTTCAGAGATAGAATGACCTTGGTATATTGAACATTGAAGCCCGAGATCTGAGAGCCAATCAGCTGCCGCTCGAGTCTGTGGTCATGAACTCAAACCCCAAGCTAGCTATCATGAGCCCCTTGGACATATATCATGCTCACGGACCAGCAAGCACATATGGGCAACCCTCCGAATGCTGGCCACATACCCTTGTGGCTATTTGGGAACTATAATCGGAGAGCCGATGTCTACTTAACAGTATTAATTAACGAACCACGAATACATCAAAGCTGATGGTACCTTCTTTTTAATTATACACTTATATCCACGACCCTATGCTAAGCGAGCTATCACCAGTCGCACTTGTTCGCTTTCATAGTCCATCTCAAGTAGATCCCCCAGGCCGTCATCAGGTGATGATAGGGGATACCTAGATTCAAAGCATCATTCTTGATGTCGTATGCATGAGTTAAAGGACAACTTCTCCTTTCGCACCCGAAACTGGTACTTTTGATGCAAACAGACTTGCATCCGTAAACAGCGCCATTATTATGTTCTCTCTATTGCCACATTGGTCCTTGTCATCACGTACAAATAATTCACGATTTCGGGCCTATGAACTACGTGGTCCCCATCCGTCTCGCTCTGCGGGGCCTGAAGCATCTCTTGCGACTCTAGTCGCCACAAACGTCCCGGGTGCACGAATCCTCCATCAACAATCTCTTGCTGCAATAGTCCTTCATCGACGGAGCTCGGGTAGGGCGGCCAGTATGGAAACCGAGAGCCTGAGTAGCTTAATGCAATCCAACGGCCTCCAGGGGAGGTGAGATACGCCAAGTGTACGGCTAGAAGGTGAAGAGGGTGAACTTTTGAACGGAAATGGGGAGGCAGGGGTGGGTATGCTCGCTTGGAGTCTGTGGCTCGGAGAGGATAGGGGAGGACGATGGTGGGGTCCTCAGCGCAGGATATGGAGTCACTGGTGGATTTATCGATAGTGATGTCGTAGCGTCGGGGAAGCAAGAGGATCTGGTCCAACGAAAGGAGGTCGAGCGCGCTCCAACACATGCGGCGCGGAGGCTGCTCATGAGGGACTCCGTCGTCCTGCCGTCTTTGAGCTTCGGGTGCTGTACCATCCGCAAGACTTCCGCTTAGTGAGGTGTTGATTGGCTTCGGTGTTGTTCCATTCCCTGATTTGGAGCCTTCAGCTTCATTGAAAACCTGCCGCTCCCATTTCTCGCCAATCTCGACGGCGACTTTAGAGAAATCGGTGTTGTGGATTTGTTGCGGATTTTCCACGAGTTTCCGAAGGTGGAGAGAAACAGATGATGTCCCACAACCAATGTGGTGAATCTGGGGATGCGTGGGAAGAGTCCCCATTGCTTCCAGAATGGGTCTATCTAAAGCTTGAGGTGGAAGCAGCCAGTCAAACGGGGACTCATTCCTGGTGAACCGCTCGTCCCAGTACTCCACCTTGCCAAACGGAACTCCAGACATCGTTAAAGTCTGTAAGCCCAGAAGCGTTTACGAATCGCGTATCATTTAGTACAGCTGAGGCTATGGAGGTGGCATTCGAGAGCAAGGAGTTTCTCGGCTCTTGCGCCAAAAGTGTTGAAACAACAAAAGGGGTTGACGATAGGTACCAGAGGTACAGAGTCGGGCATCAAAAGTCATCAATAAACGCTAAAATTAGAGCCTGAGCTTGAGCGCCGCGTAAGAAATGCGCTATAGGAGTGGAGCCCTAGAGCTGCTGCTGAGAACCCCTTATTTTAGAGAGCCCTAGGGCCCTCTTTAGGTCATAGCTCACAAGTCTGTGTCAGTCAAGCTCCAGCCATCCCCCCTCCTGACCATCTCTACGTCCTTAGCGTCTGCTATTGAAAATACATCTACCAGTTAGGTTCGAAACCTCAAAGCGCTGTCCATTTGGTGGAGTGGTAGATGTATTGTTCTTCTCTTAGCACCTACGAACAATAAGCTAGTATAAGAAGGGCTAGATCTTCCTCATCCTAGTTAGCATATATCGATACCTTTTGATGCATGCCTCCGTAGTCAAGTCTTGAAATCTCATGGAACTGTGGGATGGAAATGGGCTGGACTGGGATGAATCACCGACCTCCAATTTATGTCTTTATCCGTCATCCGAAGTAGGCTTAACGTACCCAACTAATACGCACCACACCCCCAATCACACAATGTTTAGGGCCGATATCTCTGTTGCTCCCAAGGTTCTCATGCCACCAGTTTCGAAATATTTATCGAAATCAGTACAGAGATGGTCGAATGGGCAGAATCAAGCAACGCTTACTATATAATAGCTGTCTGAGCTACTCCAGTTAATCCTATCTCCAAAACAGGATCAGCAATGCTTGAATGATTAAATCATGCACTGAGACCCTCAGAAGCGTCCAGAGCGCGTTCCTGTCTCTCCATGCTTTAGTCACTCCCGTGGCTCTTTGGCTTGATATCTCACCAAGGAGGCATGCGTGCCAGTAATTCCACCAATCTTCTTCTCGCAAGCAGAGGGGACGCGTTGCTGTGAGACACGCATTCTTATTACGCTACGATGTTTCGGAGCATAGCCTCAAGTGCCTCCTTGACCAGCTGCGTGCATCCAGCAGCTACAGATGCACTATTGCTGCTGAACATAGCACGAAGCACCTACCATTCTTTGTTTCTGGGAGTTTGAAAATATGCATACCTCCCAAAGTCGCAAAGTCTGGTTGGCCAAGGTACCCTCTAACCCGGCGCTACAGATTGTCAAGATATCTAATTGGATAGGGGCTCATCTTCAGGAACATTCGCTTCTCTCTCCCATCATCCTCTAATGATCCAGCACCCGTCGTCGTTCTTTCAGCAATCCCTTCCGAGTTCCTCCATCCTTCAGAGCGCACCTTCAAGGCCGGTCCTTTGTTCCCGTCGATTTCAAACGTTCAATCAACTGACAATTGTTTCTCCCTTGCTTGCCCAATCAGGGTTTTATTCTCGACGTAATGCTGCTCCATGAGGAACAGGAGACAAAAAAGGTAGTCGGTATCGTAAATGAGGGCATGAGAGCCCTTTTTTGGCTGACGACATCCTCGCAGTATGGAATTAAGCGATTGTTCAGACGTTGCCATCGATCGAATAAACCAGAACCTCAAGGATCTCGTAGTACACACTTGACCAACAGGTTCGCCCCTATCAGCTTACTCCGTCCTGTCGTTTGTCTAAGCACGTTCAGATTGGCCGAGAGCACCAGCTGCGCAAAGGCAGAGCCAGCCGTAGGTGACCACCTCTCCTCATCACGAAATGTCCTGCACCGGATGCATCGCGCCCTTTGGAAACCAGGTGGCTTGAGTCTCTAATCGGGTTACTGACAACGCAGAAGCATTCTGCCGGCACCTCGATTGATGAGAAATATGCGGGAGATATTGGAGATGTTGGAGATGACATTTTGCGAAAAGGGGATGAGAAGGTAAAATGCGAGCCGTCCTCTGGATACAGGATGAGATATCTTACAAGCAGACGACAGGATACCTCCAAATCTCCAGCTAACATGGATCAGTCCTGGCCGTCCGATGCCAACTTCCGCACGGGCACATCTTCAGAAATTCTGTTAGAGAGGCGTCCTGCATACTCTATCAACGTTCGGGAGTCCGCATTTCGCCAAGCTTTTTCGAAACTCGATAATCGGAAGCAGGAAGAATTGACTTCGGTCTATGCCTTTGACTATATGAAGGATAGAGCTAGGCCAGAAGCAGATAGATGGGATCTAGAGCTGGAGGATTTGTTCGATGAGCTCAGCCGTGCAGATCAGAAACATCGCAGCGAAAGCTGGTTTCGGAGAGGACTTGGAAAGATGAGACCTTTCCTCGATGGCCTTTCCATCGGTGTAGATGCAATGAGTTCAGTAACTGGACTTGATCCTATTGCGTCAGCCGCTTTCGGGATTGTCAAATCCGTGACCTCGGTAAGTCCTCCTACATGGGCTCTGGCATGGAAGCATCATGGTCAGATCCTCTTTCGATCATGAGTATGTTTGTCTCACTGAACCGGTTGCTCCATCTAGCTTTCTCTTGGTTTGTGCGGCGCTTCTGAAGACATTGAGGGGCGAATCAGACTATTCATCGAGTGCATCCCAGCCATCAACAGGTGCAACGATATCCTTGAGACGCACCCTTCATTTCACACAATCCACAAAGTACGCAAACGCTGGCCCTTTTAGGGTATAGCTTAAATGTTTCATGCGTGTACTGATATTAGTCAACTAGGCACTCGTCCGGGTCTACAACGACATCATTGACTTCTACTTTACCGCGTTAGGAATACTCAGAAGTTCAAATGTTGTTTGGGCTCTGGGTCAGAGTGAATTCAAGCAATGTTTTCCTGAAGTTATCTCATCGTTTGCCATTCACACAGACCAGCTCTCTCTGGCCATTGGGATTGAAACCATTGGTAAAGTTATTGAGATAGACAGATATGTACAAAAAATAAGCGAGCAGCAAATCAAGGAATACAGTAAGTATGATTTGAATCAAGTGAACCGTCGGCACACAACTCTGACCTTCATAGTCGAGGAACATCTGGACAATGGTCGGGAGAAAGAGATTAATATCATTCTTGATAAACGGGCCGAAGGTAGCTGTCGATGGCTCCAATATCACCCCGATTTCTGTCGTTGGCAAAGGCTGACACCTCCTTCCGTCAACTGTTTTATGATGTTTGGAGGAATGGGCTGTGGGAAAACAATGATTGCAAGTTTCATCACCGACCATTTGCGAGAGAAATTTGAATCTGCCGACTCTAATGAGGCCATTGTCTGCCACTACTACTGCAAGGAAGATGGCGAAAGAAACGATCCGTCAAACATTTACCGCAGCCTGATATCCCAACTTCTTGACTTCAGACCAGATCTGAAAGGCAGATTCATGACTTGGTTTGACAAGACCAAACCCAAAACAACTCCCAAAAAACCTACGCAGAGCCCGGAAAGACTGCGCGATTTTTTGGTAGACCTGATTCGCGCATCCGGACAATGGGTATTTATCGTCGTGGACGCTCTTGATGAATGCCAGAGATATTTCCAGCAGGATCTTCCTCGACTGTGCCACGAACTCTCCGGCGCCGCGTTTAAAGTATTTATTTCGTCTCGTCCGGATAAAAATTTGAAAAACTCCATGCCACCGTCAACCTCGTACTTAGATTTCAAACCTACATATGAGCAGGATCGTTTGATTACTGCTTACTTGACTTCGGAATACCTTTCCGATATGGTCCAAACAGCAGAAGAAACCGTGGTTGACAAGATCGCTCGGAACGCTAAAGGATGCGCTATCTGGATCAAGTTGGTTCTTGAATATCTCCGAGAAGAATCTTTCCATGACGGAGAGACTCTGCTGACGGCCATAGACAAGATCCCGCCTAGTGTAGCTGGACTTTATGCGCAGCTGTTCAATCAGGCCGTGAAAAGAGCAGGATCCGGGCCGCGGGCTGGACAGGTTCTTGAGAAGACCCTGGAAGTGTTGGCAGTGGCACACCGACCACTTCAGTTGCGAGAGCTCTCCTGCGCCGCAGCCAGCGCAGTTGTGGAGGACCGAGCATGTCTTTCTCAGATTGAGCATTCCTTCGGTTATCGCAGGAAACTTCTGGAACTTGCTCGACCTTTCGTTATCGCAGAGGGATCGGCGGATTCCTCCATCGTGAGACTAATTCATCATTCGCTCAAGGAAAGCATTCTGGAAGACGCTCCAGGAAATTGGTGGTCGACGCATCAGCGGGCAAATACCCTCGATAGTTCACCTAACCTTCAACGAATGCATGGAAGTGTGGCTCGCGCATGTATCACATACCTTACATGTACTGATTTCGGACAAGACATGTTTGATCCGGCATACAAACTTGAAGACTCGGCCTCATCACCTATGGCTGCCACTGAAGATAGCCAGGACGGTGATGCGGACTTTCTGCCACTCTGGTTCGCCATGGTGACTAGAAACAAAAATGACTACTGGGACAAGCGAGCGGCCATTCAAAAAATCCATCCATTTTTTGACTATGCCGCATTGTATTGGGGTGGCCATCTCTCTGAGACCGCCGATCAGGATGCACTTGAGCTACACGACCCTGCCGCCATCATTTGTCACCCTGGCTCTAATTACCTGAAGAATTGGCTGGGCTATTCCCAGGAGTTGACTTGCACAGAACTGGGGATTACGGTCTGGGAACAATTACCGGAAGTTGATCAACTAGTCATCGCCTCGTATTTTGGCCACCGACTTAGTGTCCGCAGGCTTCTTGATTGCTCCGACGCCGATTTAGAAGGCTTATCTATCCACACAGCACTATTTTGGGCTGCATATAGAGGGCACGACAGCTGTCTCGAGCTCATCCTTGAAAAGAAAAATCATATTAGCCGGTCAATCTACCATGCCAGTGACTCTTCAGCTCTGGCCACCGCTGCAATAAGTGGATCCATAGGCTGCTTGAAGATGCTGATCAAGAGCGATCTTTTTGATATCAACCTTCCGGACCAGTCTGGCTGGTCTCCACTGTTCTATGCGATAGCCTCGGATCATGCTGAAATAGTCGACCTCCTGTTAGGGTCACCAAACGTTCATCTACGGGTTCAGTCAGTTCGAGAAGCCGGGGCCAATGCCCTAACTATAGCCGCCTCAGGGGCACACTTCAACATTCTTGGAAAGCTCCTTGACTATCCATTGGTCGGTCCCGATGATGTCAATGCAGCCGACAATCTCGGGATGACGCCTCTCATACACACAATACGTCATGGAAACTTGGGCATGGTGCGATGCCTTCTCCGTCACGATGCTTCCGTGACGCTAGTGGACAAGAAGAAACGCAGCCCTATCTACTGGGCTGCCCAAAAGGAGGATGCTGCGATCCTTCGAGAACTTCTAGCTCTTGACCCAGCTGGCGCTAACGCCACTGACGACGATCAATATACTGTATTGCATGCTGCCCTGGAGTCTCCTAGTTCCCAGACATTTGCGGAGCTACTCGCTACGCAAGGCATCGATGTTAATCAACAAGACAGTCTAGGAAGCAGCGTCCTTTGGTGCGCAGCCAAACGCGGCCGAATTGACGTTGTGCAGCTACTTTGCAAGCACGCGGATCATCTACACCTGGATTTGGAGCGCTGCGATGCGTGGGGCGTATCACCATTAAACGGAGCTTGCAGTACCACCTGTCGGACCGCACCCTCTATTCTGAAAACACTCATCGCGCATGGTGCGAATCTAGGTTCTACGGACCTCAGAGGGTGTGGGCTACTGGCGTCTGCAGCCGTCAGTGGATCATTGGAGAATATGAAAGTGCTACTGGATGTGCCAGATATTGAGATAGATGTACGAAATCGAGCCGGGCAGACGGCCCTCTCTTTAGCAGCGGCAAGTCTGGATCCCGGAACTTTAGATGCAATGGTGCTTTTGTTGGGAACGGGAGTGGTGGATATAGATTCGACCGACGAGGCCGGGCGCACACCATTGTCGTATGCAGCGGGGAGCGGGCAGCTTGAGAAGGTTAAGCTGCTTGTGAACTCCCCAGGTGTGAGAATCGATTTATTTGATACGAGTGGGGCAACTCCATTGGACCACGCCGAGCGTTACCGCTGGAAGGATGATAGGTCGAAGGAACAGGTACTGGCGCTTCTCAATCCCGAGGAGCATCTATAGAAAAATCTGACAAGGAATATCGTTCACGTCAGGATATGAATCGTTTTGAAAGCCAGGGCTGATGGACAGATGTTGGGAAATGGTGATCACAGTCCTTTGCTGGTATGAAAAGTCGCTTATAGTCTTGATTTATCAGAGAAATTATGATTGTCCTCTTATTTAGTCCACTAAGGTCAACCACATTGATGCAGTGAACGTCGAGTTTGAAGATCTAAGAGCCAACCTAGATGCTCAATGTTTAAGCCACGAACCCAAGTCCAAGGTCAGTCCTCATGAGCATCTTGGACATCAATCTTCTCCCCAAGCAAACGTGCGTATAGAGCAATCTCACAAAATGCTGGCCACAGGCTTTTGCATTTGGGTAACGGAATCGGATATGCAAAGACCCGTTTGCAGCACCGATCAAACGGTTCACAAACACACAAACAAAATCGTCACTTCTGAGACATAGCTGGTAAAGGGTAAATCAGAAATGTTCGTGTTGGCACCGAGAGCCTCGATCACTGGACCCTGCATTGCGAGGCCTGGGTCAGTAAATACATCAGTGCTCTCCCGGTTAAGTGCACCGTCAATCCCGTGCACGACTCTGCCTGGGATAGGGAGTTCGGTTGTCAGGATTCTGGCCAAGTTTGCGAAGAGGGAGTTTGAGGCGAATGAGGTTGTTGGAACTTTACCATCGGTAGTCAGGGCTGCTGCCACCTTCGCTGACGACGATGTGGTTCGGAGAGTGATTTCTCAGGTTCGTCCTCGGTTGTTAATACGATCGCCCCCACTGATGGTGTCTACTGCCGCGTTGTTAGCGGCGAAGATGATGAAACCTTTGACTTCATTGATGAGAGCGATCAGGGAGGCATTTTTGCTACCATAGGGCGGCGCGGGGGGATGAATTTATCGTGCTCGTTCGGAGGCAGTGCTGAGTTTGGCGAAATTGGATGCAGAGGACTGGGGTGAGATGAGAAAGGAACCGAGGGTGTGAAGAGTGCTATGAAATCGGTTCGGCTCGTTGCTATGGCGCTACTGAAAAGGGTGGAGAGAGAGAAGTAGAGTTTGCAAAGCTGCTAGCAAATTTAAGATCTGTGATAGAAAGTGGTAAATGAATAATCGCCTTAGGTTACGGAAAGAGGCAGTTTTCAGCGTGCATCGTAGCGTGGACTCTCTGTCTATTCATGACATTCGCAATGCACTATTAATAAGCCAGGTAGGGAGGTATGGGAATGTGGGTATCAATACATCTATCACCATGTCGTCCAGCCAAATGATATTTTCCATGATTTCACGTTACGCACCCAAATTGCCGCTACCTCATACCTGACTTATCACAAAGTGATACGGAAATTTATCAAGCGCCGCATCCGAAAAGGTGCAAGGATGATGATGGTTTGCCCCAATGCTGCTTGTGCTGCAAGCTCTGACAAGAGATCCGGAAAGGAGTTTGTCTCGAAGTCGCTAAAGGAGGGCAAAGCTATTCTCGTCGGCCCAACAGACCTCCCAATTTAGGGGCGACGTTCTTTCGGAATGGACGGGGTGATCGTATAGAGATATAGGTTGATGAGGAGAAAGGGATATATGGTGAGATCCGGGCTGGCGCGTAGGCTGCCAAAGCACTTTGAGATGCCAGGCACGAAACATTGGGTCTTGTTGTATTTCCGGCGCCAGTTCGCAAGAGGTACGAGACACCAGCATTTTGAAGTCCCTTTCACTAAGCTTTCTTGACAGGGAATTGATAGTTCTTGAGTATCTGCGTAACAATCTGCAGGAGGTCCGTAGAAAGCAGGTTGTTCCATCTAATTAAGGGGCAGCGTGCGTCCATATACGTACGAATTGGCTGTAACTTACCGTACGGCGAAATTGGAAGCGAAGTTGCAGGAGAAAATGGACCAATCAAAAGCAGGCCAAATACAGGGGTGATGCGTATAAAATCCAACCAATGAGCATGAGTGCTCATACGATCTGACAGTTTCTTTCCGGTTGATGACACTGGATAGCCGAAGCGGTTCCCCATCTTCAAAAGACAGGTTGAATATTTATGTGCAGCTAGAATCACCACTTGGTCCAGTCCTATAACGAACCACAGGAGCAGCCAGAAACCTAGGCCTTGCTAGTGAAGGACCGGATGCAAGGTTACAGAATTTTTGGACCAAAAGGACCGCGGCCCTCAGAGGACGGTAAGCCCGCTATTGTCTGACAAGAATCAACTTAACTTCACAGTACAACACTAGCGTGAAGACCCAACGATGGGGAACTTGGGAAGGTTCTGACAACTGGCAACCCCCATCAAACACCTCCAGCTGCCACCGAGCCTGTCTTTACATGTTCTGCAGTTCAATAATTCACCTCACAAAGGACAAGCAGTGAAGAGATCAGCAGGCTGGCGGGTTTGAGATCTCCTCCGTTTGTAGCAGGCTTGTCTAAATAAGCAATCAACATGAATAGCGCCGCTTCTACCATCTTTCCGCTGACCTGCTGACCTGCCGACCTACTGGCCTGTCGCTCTTTGTTCCTCGTCCAATCGCAGGGAGATTGTTACCGGTTCCTTGCTTAAGCTGCAGGGGAGGCCGAAGAATGATGCTTACAGCCATCATGTCTTTCTAGGTGAGTCTTCAAGACAAGGAGTTTCCAAGCTTGCAAGAGCTGATGCGCATTCTACTAAATACCCTAAAACTCTCATAGTTTCGTTCTCTGTGACTAATCAAATTTCCTTTCGAACACCCAGGGATCTTCGCGTATTGTTCGTATCGGTATACCCCAGGAGAGCACCTGCAAGACTACTACGCTTTGCGCTTTGCGTGAAACCTACTTTTTACATCTACCCTTCTTAGCCTTTTTCGGATTTGTTGAACATGAGGCCTTGGGCTGTCCTCTCGAGCCCTTGGCCCGCGTACCCTCCCGCGCGCCTTGTTGTTGGTCATTTAGCCTTGTCCGCTCAAGTGTGTCTGCAAGCCCCGCTGGGAGCCTTTGGGCGTCTGCTGCTTCGCGGATAGAAGCCCGTCTGCGCAGTTCTCGGACGAATGCATCTTCTGATCTTTGCGAAGCCGCTCCGGGCTGCAGCGGTACTGATGTTTGTGCTCTTTTGCTTAGTGTGCTGGTCTGTCTTGGGGCTGAGGCTTCTTCTCTTGCCGGATTTTCCTCGAATTGTTCACTCCCATCAGCATCCGCGCTGCCTCTCGAAGCACCAGCCGCACCCCCTCCAGAGAGACTGCTACCCAGCAATCCTGGACCACTAGCCATGTCCGTGGCAGCAGCAGCATCCTGGTGCATCTTAAGCAACCTCTCGTTGCAGCTATGCAGTACCTGCGCCAGTCGCTTTGCCTTGTCTTGGTCGGTCTTTGTAGCCTCTTGTGCAAGCAAGTTCTGCACTCTGCTTACCCGCTCGAAGAGGTCCTCGCTTATCAGGAGGTCGTAGACAAACGCTCTCTTTTGAGCTTTCGAGGCCGTGCCGTAAGCGACTCGTTCGATCGTCTCTGCCATCGCTCGGGCTAATGCCACTGCCTCTGTCTCGTCTTTGCTAGCTTCGGGCTTCTGTGGTGTTTGGTTAGGATAGTCCGTGCCTCGTTCTTTTGGGAGAAAATCAGAGGGTTGTGAGCGACTATGAAGGACGACGCGGGCAACTAAGCCGCGTAGGCGGTCAGCCTTTTCGACTTGGCCTCCTTCACGATATTGCACTTCCCACCGCCGAAGCTCTTGGTAGATTTCAAGCTCACGACTTAGTAGCTTATGGTTGAACAAATCCATGTCAGCGGGGGTGGCTATGTTACTGGCCACTCGATGAATGAGCTCAGCATACTCGTCGATCCATGTCCCGCTCGATCGAGCACTTCCTCCGGATACGGCATCTCCTCTGGCTGCAAGGGCTGCTGGCGGTTGTCCAGTGCTTCCGTTTGCGCCCCGGGCAGATAAGTGTTCGCTGGCTGGGTTCGCAGAGGGGGTTTCTCTAGCTCCTCCCGCTTGCCTGCTGCTTTCGGGTGCGCCACCTACGGGTGGAAGCCCAGTAGGTGGAGGTAGAAAGGTGTTTCTTCCGACTTCTCTTGCCTGCCCGCTGCTGCTCTCAAGTGTAGTCCTTTCAGGTAAGAGGCTTTTAACCCGAGCAGCGGAAGGGGCCTCTGCGACCGGATCTTGTCTTGCTTGTCTAACTCTCTGGCGTGCAATCCTATCAGGTAAGCGAAGCTCAGGTAACCCAGTAGAAGAACTTTCTCTTGGTGTATCATTTCCTTGTCCTCGATTGCTCTTCCCGGACATGACTGACAACGAGCCGAGCGTGCACTAAATCCGAATTGCACAGGAGGGCTTCTTCGGAGCAGAAGGAAATCTAGTAGTATACTGGAGATTTACTAACGACTCCAAGACAAGTAAGAGTCGCTTTATAGGGAGTATGTTGAAGGGTAAATGTCTCCCAATTGTCTAAAACATTCCCCTTTTAACCGTCTTGGAGTTCCTCGCTCGTCGAGAAATGCCGGAAAGTGTCACACCTGTGTTTTAGTGCGTGTGGTTTCCAAACAAAGACCATTTCTGCGTCCGATGTTGTGTTTGACTAAGGTCAGGTCAGGACTCGTTCAGTGTCAGGCGGTATGAATTCCTATTGGCCAGTCTTTCTCACAATTGATCCCTGTTATCTGCCCGCGGTTGATTGGCTAATTGCTAGAGAGATTTCATGGCAAATTTTGCTGTACCGTACAGCCTATTTTATATCCACGCTCTCAACTCCTTACTAGATGTTACAACTTGCTTTCTACCCTATCTTTCGAAGGCAGACTCGGTGGTACAATTTCAGTTGTCTGGGTGTACGTTCGTTCTCGACCAACCAGGCCTTGGAACAGCAATTGGCCTTTTGGGACACCTGTGGGAGGTTGATATCTGAGATTGGTTTCTTGTTTTGCTCCATTCCAGATTCCGGTAGGATTCACAATAAGAATTTTCCCTTGCAAGCGCCAGACTGCTGCAGGACTTGGTGGTCTTTGAACTAGGCAATGCTCGGTAGCAGGAGGAATATTGGTAGCAGTGTGGAGAAAGGCGCAGTCAGATGGCATGCATATTTCGTACTATGTGTGTAGGTGCCTCAAGCGGTCTTAATGTTCACTTGATTGGTCTGGGCTAAGTATTCGTTGGTTGCGCAGTGTCTGGTCATCAATATGTGTAGAGTAGGCTTGCGTGAAAGTCGGGGCTCAGGTTTTCTGTCCTCGGAGCTCGGTCAAGCTGTACGTTTAGACGCCGCGTCAGCTATAGCTGCTTGTAGTGCGAGGTGAAGTACCTCGGCCTTCCCTTTTGGCTGTAGCCCTTCCAGGTGTGGCTGCGGCTCTGCCTCGTCCTTGTCCTAGTCCTTCTGATTCTCCTGCTGCTGCTGCTCCTTCTGCTGCTGCTCCTCCTGCTGCTCCTCCTGCTGCTCCTCTGCTGGCAACATTTTTTGCTGCACTCCCCATCCTGGTGGGAATATCTTCCTTAGCTATAGCACCTCCAGTCCCGGCTGCTTCAGCCCCTCGGGCCTGACTTCTTCCAGCCTGACCACCTCCTTCATGTGGATGCCAAGCGGCCTCAACCGCAACAGCTTCAGGAGTTTGACCCCATCGAGACATGCTTGCTGTTTGGCACTCGGCCAACGTCACCGCGTCACAGTGGAGCAGGAGAAGCTCCTTGGGCTTCCATATCAAATCTGTCAACAAGGAAAGCCGGAACATGGTAATCCTCAACTGGATCGACCGATCATACCGTGATCGTGCAAAATACAGCTGCAGCCGGCCATTGACCATTTCCTTGAATCCCCTCTCAAGATCCATTCTGGACGCAAATTCACGAACTTCGTTTTCATCAGCTGTATTGTCAGCTACGCGGTCGACGATATCAACTTGTATAGGGGAGTCCTCGGGAGAGTTATGTCGAAGTTCCAAAAATTGGTGCGCAAAATCTTCTTCCGCAAGAGCATTCTCCACTCTGGCTCCTTCAGCTACTTCTGATCGTTCAATGAGTCTGTCTTACTGTTAGCAATAGAAGACTATGCAAAGATTTTTTAGATTTGAGAGTGAATTTGTAGAACTAACTTTGAGAGGCGAAGAGCAGTAAGCGCTCTCATGAGTTGCAACTGCGCTACCTCGGCTGTTGACAAGAATCTCTGATAGATTTGCTGGGCTTCATCAATCAGACGATGAAACGTTGGACCTAGAATAACGACGTTTTCTTCGAACTGCTGGAGTTGATCCTTTGTTGCCTTGTTGGTGGCTATTAGCCTGATGAGCTTAATACTTTCGGATTTGGTTTTTCTATCAGCTACAGATCTCACTGATTGATTTGCAGATGCCTCTGGCTGTTGTTCTCCTCTAGCTTGCGCCGCTCGGTCTGCTCGTCTGGGTTGAGGGGGTGCTGGATGTTTTCCTGTGAGTGGGTCTGGTTGGGCTTGGGATACATCCATGGGTGCGAATGGGCTTGATGGAGTTCGGGCAGGACCATCTGAAGCTTGTCCTCGTTCGGGTAGACCACTGTCGCTAGGAGCAGCGTTTTGGGAAGGATTCCTGCTAGCTTGGGCTCCACTGATGTGTCTCATGCCCTTTAGTTGTTCCCCAATCCGCGTCGGTCTGTCATGAGGGTCCACCTGGTCCCTTAAATACCTCGGGATGCTCTCATAGTGTTTTCTCAGCTCTCGAGCCTTCTTCTGTTTTCGTGGTAATTCTTTCAACTGATCAAGCACTTGCTGGTGAAAAACTGGATCGCGTAAAGTTCTGTCCTGAAACCACTGCCTATCGAACATCGTGAACTTGCCACTGGTCATGGCCTCAGTGAAGCGATCAAGGTCTAGAGTGTCTGCTCAGCACACAGAAATGATTTAGACTCCGCAGGAGCTAGCTTTGCCACCGAGCGACATACCTGATTCTTCGCTCGAAGGCCCAGTGCCTTCATTCAAAGGCCGAAAATTAGAACTTGAAGGCCCAGTTTGCCTGCGTGAAGGACTGGGATGTCTACCTGAGGGTCCAGCATCGTCACTCAAACGCCTGGCACCCCTACTTGATGGAGTGATACCAGAGTGACGCCTGGACATAGCTAGGAAAATCTTACAAGAATATCAAGATGTGGAGGGTCCGAAATCTTGGAATTCGGAGAAGTTATCAAGATTTAAATCAAGAAGGAAGAATGATGCTGGGGTAATCTACGTACTCATGGATCCAGGTATTGATAACGAGTCTCGCATGCGATGCTTGCAGCAACTCTTTGAGGCCATAGCCACTATTGGAGGCTGCAGTCCTCAAGTACTCCAGACAGATGGCATATAGCAGGTTTCATCACTATTCAACGTCATTTCTGAGACATTTGCAGCCTTGAAGTAGGATAGAATGTTGCAAGAACTGCAGGAGGTCTTTATAGTAAGTTACGGCGTTGTGTCTCAAAAGTAGCTGTCAAAAGTATGCTAACATCGAGGGAAGAGCTAGAAGCTGTAGTGCAAGCTAAGCCCTCAGCCTCCTACGTAGTAAGCACTAGTCGGTAACCTGTCAGAGAGCGCTGATGATGGGGATCCACTGTGAATAGAGTAGAGTACAAGTTTGGGGTGAATCTGTGAATGATAGGGGGTCGTATGCCTGGGATGTACTACATAGGTTATGTACACGAGGTGTGCTAGCTAAATTTGTGACAGACGTCAGTACGGAGTCGTGCCCCCAAAGTAGTCAAACTACGCTATATATACACTCTTGGCAATCATGCAGTGACATTTGACATCTCTTTCTCTATAAGCTTTAGGCCTGCGGACACCTTAAGCAGTGAGGCTTTAGATAACCCTTGGCCCCTAGCTGTCTCATTTTAGGGTCAATATGCCCTAGGATAAAGGTTACTTAGGGGATAGAGCAATAGCATTTCTTGTAGTGCTTTAGGCTGGCTAAGGGTTTTAGCCCCTGGAATGTTTAGAATAACATTCCATGAATCGGTTTCAGGACAAATTGATTTCTTTATCTTGGCAAACTATCTCTTAGCGTATTTTGACTACTTTTGGGGCACGACTCCATAAATATTGCAAGTTTCAGAACTTGAAGCTTGGAACCGTAGTTATTCAGCAATCTTGGCACAACAGGAGTCGGGACGCTTAAGTACTAGTAGTAGACCAGCATTTTCCTGATTGGGTCCGAGCAGGGTGGTTATCATGCCGTACATTTTCACATCTGATCTCTGAATTCCTCGAATGCATTGCCAGAAGCCTTTGGTCCTCGGCATGTCGGAGCCTCAATCGCTCTGCCTTGCCATCCTTCTTCTTGTGGTGCTCTGGATCTAGAGATCTTGTAAGTTAAGGAACTAATTAGAGTCTTTGCCACTGAAGATCCGTGATCCGGCAGTCGTCTGTGGCTGCCCCAGCTCCCTGCGGAGTATGGGTTACTGCAATTCCCCGCACTCATAGTTCATGTTGAGGATGACTGCTACGCTGGGCTAAGCGCAGTTCTCGCTTCTTCTGAGCGGATGCAAAATCTACTTGCCAGCTCAGTGACACCCTTCACCTAGACCACGGCACTTTTGATACTGCATCAATAAGCCCTTTAGTTCGAAGGTGACCAGCGATGAGCATTAAAAATATTTTCAACTCTTAGTGGCTGGCTCTATTGTTAGGGGAGCTCCTTAGATCTTTTATGTTAACCAAGACAGAATCTAAGCCAGTGGGCAAGAGTTATGATTGATGGTCTTCGTCAATCACATACAGGGCCAACTATCCATACGTAGGTATTTTGAGCTGTCCCTTAACCCTTGTGGTTGGTGCTCTGCAAGGCATTTGTGATTTAGCAGCTCAGAAACATGGTACCAGTTCTTGCCGTCTTTAAAACGCTTCACTCTCACATTGATCTTACCTCATTTTCATCAGCCTCAGCACCTCTACAAACAAGAATCCCCCCCAGTCTGTCAACTCAAATGAGGGCACAGTATGCAGTGAACGCCTACCGGTCATCCCTTCATTGCATCAAGCAGCCTCTCCATCCTCTGAGCCAATCGTCGCCGTCCCATGCACGATGTCAAATCCTTACCCATTCTTGGGAGATCCGCAAGAAGTGGACATCCTTGGCTTCACTCCAGAAAGCAAAAAAGCCATGTACAGTTTCACAACAAATGGTACCGTCTCAACAATGATATCGGCACCATCAACAGACGACCTGTTCCATTCGAGTAATGCTGAGGCAAAGGAAGACGGCGACAAGGATATCAGCGACCTCTTATTCCAAGCTGCCAAAGACGACATACCTCCTTCAGTCACCCGTGTCAAAACAGCATATGGGTTTGACAAACCAGGGATTGATGGCCTTGCATTTCTTCGCATGTACCGATCGCTCTTTGAGCAGCATGGTATTCACCCAACGTTGCTGGACCGGTGGCGCACCAGTGCATCCATGCAGCGAAATATCCTCAAAACGACACCCATCAATCCCAAGCTACTCTCGGTTCTGCAAGACCTCGACGCAGACATGAAAGGTAGGGACTCTCGGTTTTGTTTCACCATGACGAAACACTGACATCAGGTGCAGGGAGTTCGAACCGCTGGCTCAAGTACGAGCAGCTGCTGAGATCCCGTATGCGCAAACCGTATCCGGCATGTATTAACTGTGGCGGAAAAGGTAACGGTAATAAGCTTCTACAATGCGGCGGGTGCCTAAACGTGTAATACTGTAACTGTGAATGCTAGAAGGCGGACTGGAGGACACACAAGACAGCATGCAGGAAGTAAGACAAGTGTCCGTTTGAGGCAAGAAAGGGGGAGGACGAAGGGAGGCTACAGACACATTGTCATTCTGAAAGTTGTCGCCTGAGATCTGCTTCTGACGGTCCTGAAACTCAAAAGAGCCGAGGTGATATGAGCATGCAAACTAATCCAAGTTCCCATAACCTACTACTATCTATGGAGCTACTTTTCCGCAAAGCAGGTCATAGATTAGCCTGTACGCGTGAGAGGATTACCGAAAACAGGCCAGCTTTTTAAGGGACCAAGGTTAACAGTGAGCGTCCATAGGCACTGGCTATGCCTGATTTCCATCCATGCTATGTCTCATTTCGCTCCGTGACCCCATTCAATAGTGCGTAGAACCGTAATGCCTACTTCCAACAACACAATGACAGGGAATGCATGTCCCTGCTTCCGGTTGATAGAAGTGGGATATGCCTACTTAGCATCTAGACACGTACTCTACATGGTCAGCATTAGTATCCGAGTTGTTACCTGATCATCAGGAAACTGTAAGGATATGGGGCCGGACGAACAAGCAAGCAAACACCAAACCTACGCACGTAATGCACGTCACATTGCAGGCAGTTGTTTCCTCATTCCCCTGCCATCTTCCTTCTGCTCGCGGATTCCACCAGACTTTTGTAGCAACAAGAGAGTGGACTCTCCAACTCACAGCCCACACATTATAATCTCAGCTTGTATAGGAACAAGACTCTACTTGACCGTCTGAAAAAAATCAAAGAAGAAGGAAATGGTCATTATATTCTTCTCTACATACATGCCTGTCTGTAGCAGACTGGATGGGCAGATAACAAGGTCTTTGCGAGGTTTTTTTCCCCAGGAAGTATGGTGATCCCTATCTGAAGCACTAACTAGCGCTTGAGAACAGATTGACACGAGATCTTCTCATTGAAATACAGCCCCCTCCCCTCCCGAGAAGGAGGAAAATTGGGTTGCGTATATACCTCATCCTGTTACACGGAAATGTCGGACGGGAATTAGAATCATATAGAGGACGACGTATATCTCTGCGAGACCCAAGGGTGGATGTCTCCGCGATGGTGGTGCCGAAAAATGAAGAGAAAAGAAATAAAATCTAACCCGGGGTATCCCTCAATCCGACTCTTGCGATGTATTCGTACAAGTCCCCCTGCCCACGTGTCCGGTCTCCACGCCCGTCCATTCTTAAGGATGGAGTGTGGAGTGGCACGGGTATTCAAATCGGAGATCTGACATGTTAGTTAAGCAGGAACAATAGCCTTGAAAAGCTTTTAGGTGAGATTCTGTTTCCCATGTAACAGCAGCGGCGGGACTATATTAGGCATATACATTAGCCTCAATGTTAAGAACACCTTGCCATCTCACTTTCCCTCCTACGTCAGATGTCAATAGAGAGCAGTGGGAAGACTTACTACTGAACCCATATCCCTCCGTTTCGCCACCCTTACTATGATTGTTAATCTCGACCTGAATACTGATATCTAACCCACCCAGCATCCCGCTCTTGGCACTCACACCATCGGCAGCGGGATGTTTTGTGCCGACTCCTTCTTCGCCCTTGTGAAGGGGAGAGTGGCCGTCCTTGCCACGTGGTCCGCCAGCTAGGGTCATGAGGCCGTCCTTCTCGTTGTTGAGGACAGGAAGACTGTTAGTGGCGTTGTTGGAGATGTCGCCGTTCATTGTTGGTTGCTGCTGCTGCTGCATGCCATTGTCTACTGAACCTGCAACGACTTCGGTGATGGTTGCGTAGTTTCGCGATGGCATGGTGCATTGATTCCAGGTTGCGCCCTTTATGTTGCCTCCGGGCTGCTTGTCAAAGAGCTTGAGCAGGGTCTCATCTGTGTCGTGGTCAAGATGGTGGATTTTGTTTCGACGGGCTAAAAGATTGGCTACGGCACTTGGCGGTGGTTTGTTGGTGATGGCGCTGCTGACCACGTTGGCCATGTATCGGTGGTCTTGCTCGGCTGTGATGTTATATTTGGTCTTTGAATAAAATCGGCCCATTGCAGCCAGATGGACGTCTCCTCCTAGAATCGTGATGCGAACAGAGAATTCTTGAGCCAGCCCTTGCAGTCGCTTGATGAGTTCGCGGCGCTCTTTCTTGTGATGGCGAGAGGTGTAGTGATCGTCTAGGTCGTCCAGTAGATCAACCGAGCCGTCGAAACTGTTGAAGAAGCCTCCTGCGACACCAAAGCGTTTGTGTAGGAGTTTGATTGGCGCAATGATAGGTGAAGCTAGAATGTTCTCTAGCCAGGCTAATCGAGGGTATGCAATGGGCACACCAAGGAGAAGGATGAGATGCTTTATCTGACCTCGCGCGGCTATGAATTCTGTTCGAAGGCGTTGAAATATGAGATCATATGTATCTGGGTAATTGACTTGTTTCCGTGTTCTTTCGGTTCTGGCATCGATTCCACAGAAGGCCATCCTGGCACCAAGACGCATGTACAAGCTTCGGGAACGTTCTTCAACATACGGGCCTGGTCTTTTCCCAACAATCCAACTTCGGTCATCAGCTGTTTCAGTATACACATACGTATCCTTCAGCTGCCGTGAGTCAGCACCTGTGGTGCCGTCTGCTCCTGCCTTCATGGTAGCCGGTGCATCGGTGGTGAATGTCGACTTCGGTGGCGCAGTGTGATGTTGAAATAGGCAATAGTACTTGAAAGAAACGCCGCCGATGCCTCGAAAGACAGGGCATTGCATGAAATGATCTGTATAGCTGCCGAACCCATCAATAATATCATGATCGTCCCAGATGTTGATCTGCGGAATCTGGGAGTTAGCAGTGGCGAAAGGCTCCGTTCTATACCAGCGAGTATAGTTCTCGAAATAGTAATCGTCACATGCCTTGCGCATCTCGTTATCGAAGGGATATTCTCTCCTTCTTCTGGGGCTAGTAATTTTAGTCCAAGGTTTAAGAGGTCCATCAACTCTGATGCTATCATTGTATATCTGATCGCCGCCACCAATCATGACATGGAATGGGCGCTTTGCGTGTGTCTCAAGGACATTGTTCCACAGCACAGGGCCAGACCAGAACTCGACATCAGTGCCGACAGAGAAACCATTACACGAATGAAACATCAATCGCATAGACTGGTTTGCTGCAGGCACGTAGAACTCCCTTGATGGGCTCTTGGAAGCCTCCGACAACATCTTCATGTTTGTTATCGTGTATTGCCACTTTGCTTCTGCGTCTGGGTTCAACGGCACCTTCAGCGAAAAGCGCCAAAAAGCCTTCTGCGGATCGGCATAGAGCTTCAATCCATCGACCACCACATTATCTCCTTCAGCACACAGATCGGGTTGCGCGCCAGCTCCAGCAGTGTTACCAAGAAATTTGAGCTCGAGTTTTGGTTGTCTCTGGCCAGGCTTCGTGACGAGAAGGACCGTACCATGCCAGACGGCGTATTCGGTTTCGTATGACATACAAAGATAATTCAGGAGAGGACCGCAAATGACCTCCAGCTCTTCTGAGGAGCTGATAATGCCAGGGCCGTTGCCATATCCATTGCGAGTATCCGTCACATGTTCGTATCCTAAAGGGACATTTTTTGGAGCTGCGAAGGAGTATTTGTTAGTCAAAGGAATGGCAGATTATTGAGCTCGAATTTGTACCAGCCATCGCAGCGCGAATCTCATCACCGAATCGACAGGGTATCAAGAAGCACGAAGGAGATGTCTTTCCAATGCGCCGCGTGAGTCAACAGATTTCCGAAACCTCAATATATTATACAGCGTCACCGTAATTAAGGATGATGGAAAAGAACGATGATCGGCGACACGGCCAATAGCCAAAATACAAAGATGTCTATCGAAGGTTCATGGATGGGATGATTCATGGCACTGGTACTCAATGCCAAGTCACAAGCCGGATACTCGGTGCCGCCGAAAAGTGGGTCCCTTCCGATCCAGGTTTGGACTCTTGGCGTTATCCTTCCTGAACCTTCATGCATCCACCCTCAACAGTACGGAGTATATCAACCATAAACATATCTTAACAAGATACATAGAGTATACTGTCAAAATTTGAGCCAAACTTATCATGTCAGTAGATTATGGGAGGATGGACTCTGTTCCATAGCCATTCTCAATTGGAGCCTGGCATTGATGAGGTGGATGAACTGAATTATCTATCCTGCAGATTCTATCTAGAGGGAGGACCAGGCTAATCAACTGAGGCGCACAGGCACGTGACTCCAAGGTCACGTGCTGCCAAGGATCTGGCTGTACGCGTACGGCCAAATCCAACAGCCATTGAAAGTGCTACACACTATGTTATATATGGAAAGATCTGTCACGCCAGGACGCACTTATCGGCGGCACCGAGTACTCAATACGTCTTCGATCGTGGCTGAACTTGGAATTAGCTTCTCAACTTGATCGACACATCAATAAAACTTAAAATGGCTGTCGATGGGATTTGCAAGGTCTCTAGCGCGACAACCAGGTAAACATCTACATGTACGTAGTACTACGTAAACAACGGCAAAACGTCTGGAACAGACGCTCCCTTGTTCTTATGAATCGCGACAGACTCCTTATCGGCTTGATCGTAGTTGAAGAACATGTTGATCAGTTCGGCCGATTAATCCTTTTCCAGATCCTTCGGACTTGGATCAGCGATGCCAGCCTCTGTGATTGCGAACAGACAGTCGCTTTCCGGCAGACACGGGCTGTCATAAATCTTGCATATTCTAGTCTCTCCTCTGCCCTTTTTCAAACTTAATCTCGTCGTGCTTGCGTGCGCAATAATGTTTCCTCCAATTGGCTTCTTTGGATCTGGGTTGAACATTGAACTTGGTCCACCATCAACTTGAGCGACGACCTGATTTGTAATGACGACAGCAATACCGAACTCGTCCGCTAGACGTTGCAAAGTGCGCATGAATCTGGCCAGATGTGTCTGTCTCGAAGACAGCTCCCCCCGTCCGGCGAAGTCCGTCCTGTACAGCGAGGTTGCTGAATCCACGATCAGTAAGGAGAAACGTGTTTCGCACATCATCTGCGATGCTTGGTTCAACAATTGAAGCTGATGCTCCGAATTATATGCACGTGCATAAGCAACATTGTCAAGCACTTCTTCTCCAGACAGACCATAACGGTTCGCAACGGCTAGCAGGCGCACAGGTCGAAAGGTACCTTCCGTATCGATATACAGGCATTTGCCTTCTCCACCACCCATGTCGAATGGTAATTGACAAGTAACAGCCAGAGTATGGCATATCTGACTCTTTCCAGTCCGGAATTCTCCAAAAATCTCGGTTATCGATCCCGTTTCGACGCCTCCTGCTAGCAGAGTATCTAATTGTTTCGAGCCTGTAGTGATGGATATCAATTCGCTTCGTCGAGCATGCATTTCTGTAGCCGTCGTGAAGCCCATTGGCACAATTTTCGCAGCTGTCATGTGTTAGCCAGAAGTCAAGCCGTAGAGCATCGTCAGACTACCTGCTGTCAAGATCTTCGTCGCCTTAGCCTCTGATATTCCCTTGATCTGCTCCAGCACTCTCTTCGGTCTTCATTGAGGTCAGCGTATTTCTTCGGGTGTAATGGTGTGGCACTTTACGTGTATGCCACTGCCTCAACAGTGTGATACCCGCCGTCTATGACCAACTGGATGTCTCGCGAAGTGAGTCCATCCTGGCCCTGAAGATGTGTTAGCGAAGATGTATATGCACAGTCAGCAGACCTACTGCGAGCTGCGCCAATGGCATTGGAGCACCAGGACCTCCGGCAAGACCCTCCTCAAAGCCGGAGTCCTCATTGCCCTGCTCCAAGTTGGCTTGTGTCATGATCACTGCTTTCTTCTAAAAGATGATGCTGGTGATACAAAACCTTTGGTTTGGCCTTCTCGGTGGCGTGGAGGCCGCGATTGAAGTTAAGAGAACGCGTGATTGTCTTGGCAAGCAACACGCAGTCATGTGATCTTAATTCTTAGAGGACTAAAAGTCTGACGGGACAGCTGATGGACCATTCTCAACAGTGCAAGTTTACTACAATATTTGAGCGACAAGTCGTGCAGGGTTTGTGCATTGATTATTATTATTCTCCTTCTTAAGGGTTGAGCAGTCCCGTAAATTCCAGCTGTTTGCAATACTATCCAGGAGATCGATTATCATACGCAGACCCAAGATTATCTGATTTGCCCCAGCTTACTTCCCACCATCCAGATGTGGTGCACACCATGAACTTGGAGGGTAGGATCTATGTTTCGAAAGAGCTCGCTGTTGGTACGCGGTCGGAGGGTATGATATGCACCTTGATGAACTTGGTGCGGGATATGCGCTGGGTGGATATGATTGTTTCCTAGCTGAGCTTTTCGGTTGATATGCGCGCCGCCCACGCATGGAGAGCTGTCCATCGGGGGAAGGCTCGCGTGTGTTTTCCTGTTCTGACGAGGACTTGGCCTCTGATTTTGTGTCTATTGAATTTTCCGGCAGTGTTGTGGGTTCTGGTTTTGGCTGGTCTGACTCACTGATCTCTAGATTAGACACTGTGGATAATGACAGGTTCCTTCTATGCTTCTGCAGACTGAGGAGTCCATTGCCGAGGTCTTTAGGCCGCATCAAGGGACTCCCAGGATTACTGTTCCCTGGCGTCTGCAATGGTGTGTTCGTTTTAGAGTTCCAGACACCATCGACCTCGCAACCTCTTTCAATTGCTCTAATACCAAAGGGAACCTCCTCTTCTTGTCTTGGCGTCTGCACCATCTCCCCTCGCTCAGCGGTGTCTGCAGTCGTGCGCTTGGAATGCTTTTTAATCCTCCTGTTGTTGCGCCAGCGGATCCCAAAGGAAAAGACACAAACAGCGGCCTGTCATTGGTGAGCAAAGTGTCGTAAGGACTAACGTGGACAAGCGGTTACAATAGAGCAGGCAAGTATCTTGGGCCAGTGTTAGCAGAGCGTCATTGGCTGATATGCTAAGGCAAATGCTTACGAAAGTCATCTTGGCCCATGTCTCCCACGCGTCCCAAAATGCCATGGCGAAGTATTGCTCGAGTTGCAGATATCACCTAAGGTGTCCGAGTTGAAGGTAGACGAGCTCATTGGCTCACACAAGCCAGGATCGTGAAGTGTGACAAATTTGAAGAGGTAGCGGGCCTGGAGGCTCAAGCTCAAGTGAAGACTGCGATGGAGGCTCGAGCTTGAATTGGAGAAGGGCACAGCCAAGGTGTGAGTATTGACTTGCTCCTACTAAATGGTGATAATGTGCAAGTTAAGAAGGTGCGTCCTTTGCGGGTGGAAATGGAGCTACTTCAAATCACAGAACGGAGATGAGGAGAGTGAAATTTTGGGAAGTATTGGAGAACCTATGCTCTCAACGCTGGTTTGTCTATTTCTCTTAGGCTGTCACTACTTCCATATGAAAGACTGCGCGTTATAGAGGGGAGATTCGTGTGGACCTCTGAAGCTCATCTAGCCTAACTACTGGCCCTTCAAATGACTTCTTCCGAGCATGACAACCCCGACTCGAAATCTGGACGTGGTGGGACTTTTGACCTTTAGTTTGTTCGGATGTCGAGGGACGAAGTCATTTCTTGCTTTTAATGGTCTCGAGGCAAGAAGTGGAACTGCAAACCTTGCCATCAGGTTAGCCACCTTGTACTGTATGCGGGTCTCTCAGCTGCAGACACCAACATAACGGCAGGGCAGCGGTCTGAGAGGTTAAGTCTGTGAGGCTATGTACTGGTATGCTGTACTGATGACAAAAGTTCTTCGTCTTACGACGGCGGAATATATGCACCCATTTTCAATTGCAATTGCTAATACTAAGGGCCATGTTCAGGTCTGGATTCCATTCATCAATCCACCGCTTGCGTGCAGATGACTGAAGCCATGATAAGCCGGCTACTCTTCCCATTGGCCTGATCTCCGGAGCATGAACAAGAACATCCACTCACATCAAACCTCAAAACACCTGGCAAGTTTCCTCCATGGAGGTATTGAACACTGAAGCCCGCATTCTAGGGTAGTGAAGGTGGTTAAATATCCCTCCACCCGCCAGTTAGTCCACTCTTAATTATTCTTCTCCCTTTCCTTCATCTATCCTGCTTTACTGTTCAGCATCATAGCAGCATTACTGAACATATATCACCTGAGTATTATCTCACCTCAATACAGTTCAAGCTCCTCTCATCTTAGAGCTTTCACTCGTTCCAATGGCTCCTTGCAACTGCTGTGGACATGATGGAAATTGCGGAGACTGCAAATGCTGCACGGTAGGGGGCCTATCAATGTTTCAATCACAGTTCTCTGGCTAAAGACTCGTTCAGCACTAATTCCCTGGTCTGAAACCACACCTGAGCGGATACCTTCATATACGGTACAGCTACCTTCACAGGTTCTCATAACAGTCATCATGCTGAGTGAAGGTTAATGCCTGCTTATTAGCTAGATCGAGTTCGGAAGTTGATGGCGCCAAAAGCATGGGACTGCTGAGGTTTAGGTTGAAGGGTTTTTATGACTGTCATGCTCCATAGGACACAATTCTTAGTTTCCTTCACAAGTACATGAAAATACGAATCGGAATCTGATAGCTACTATTTCTTCTTCGAAAGTAAACCTTGATCGCTACTGCATCAGTCGACATTGTACATATAGTAATACGAATCGCTGCATTCTGCACACTGCTGACGCCTGTGCGTGTCAATGCCTGATGCTGTACGGAGTACGGAGTACCATACATACTACGGTAGGAGGCATAAGTATTGTGAGTTTGCCCTAGTAATATTGTTATTTAACGCCCCTGCCCTTGTACGAATGACGTACCCTCTTCGACGCGTTCAACGCGTTCAGCTTCTTCTTCTTCTACTACTACTATTCTATCTCCTAGAACTGCTCGAATCAATGCCAGCGAGATATTAGGCAGTCATTGAAGCCAGTGAGATGCATACTCAACTTAGGCACATACTGGGCTAGTCCTAATCGAGCTATTTTGTGGCGCTCTATCTTGGCATTTACAAGTCGTTACTAGAGCGAACTAACGATACTTACTATGTATGTCTCCTACGTAGTACTGGAGTATTAGTGTCTGAGCGATGAGGGGCACAGACCCGAGCGATAAGATAAGCGCATCGAACAGCTAGCTGAGGTCTACATTGTAAGTATCCAAATAAAAGGACTGAGCAACTTGAAGCCCGTACGAGTCGTTTCCTAATAATAAGTTTGGCTAGGCGCTTCGATTAATACTTTACTACTACAGCAGAGACGCAAAGACGGGTCAAAATGATCTCGGGAGCATGCCTATGGTGGTATGCCTTATTCGAAGGGCCAGCTGCACTTTCCGCATCTTATTAATAGTTTGCCGACCGCGGGCACTTGGCTGCCGGCTGAACCGCTTTCGTGACCATCTCCAGTCGTGCAAGGTTCAAGCACAACAGTAACCAAAACACTTTGAATAACAGACCTTAATTCAGCACTGCACTTACATTACATTTGTCTGGCGCAACTTTTTGAGCATATATTTATCCGACATGGCCCCCTTTCGAATGCCATTCAGTAACCGCAGGGGTCCGGTCACTAATGGCCTCGAGCCCAACAATGATGAGAATGCTCGGCCTGCCACAAATGGTGCGACAGTTGGCAAAGACTCGGTCGCATTGGCATCAAAAAGTGCTCGAGATCAACCGAATGAGTATAAAATGAGCTGTCAGTCACTGCAGTGGACCCAAGATCAATTGGGTCCTCCACTGTACTTGATCATCACGCTGACCACCTTGACAGTGGTTAATGACAGCGGCATATACCTTCCAGTATGACCTCAGCGACCCCACCTTTGAAGGACTGGACTGATAGCTGGAAAAGCCATCTCCTACAGAAAAGAAGAGCTTCTGGCACAGGACACCCACGTCGACGACATCTTCGAACCATCGAAGTCTGATGTCGGACAACGAACCCTTCTCGATATCTCGTGAATCCTTCGAGTCATACCGCCGATCATTTGTGAGGCTACTAACAACTTCGAAATGGCGCATGCTAACAGCACGGGCATGCAGGACATCTCGGGCAGATCTCCGGTTTTACGAGGCGACAGCTTTCCATCTCGTACCTCACTCGACTCGCGGGCTATGAGGCTACCCCGATCGTCGGTAAACGGGAGCACGTTCGAGAAACCACAGTCGACAGAAGAAGAAGGCTTTGAGGATGTAGGCCTACAGGACGAATCCAAACCAAAAAAGAAGAGCTTCTTGTCTCGTTTCGGAGAATCAGCTTCTGATACTCATAGCTCCACTGGCGATACCGGCAAATCACATTTTGGATTGCATCTTCCTGGCAGAAAACGTGGACAGAGTGGACAGGGGGCCGAGCTTGGACATATTGAAAGACCAGGATCTAAGGGCAAAATCGATGGTGTTGTCCGATGAATGTAAATTACATGGTTTTTCTGGTCTACAAGGGAGTACTTTGGCTGAGTGAGAAGGCGTAGAAGATACTGATGAGCCTGGGAGAAGACATGGCTTCTGGCGTTAAGGATATTGAATGGTATTGATGGCTTTGGTAAGCGGCCGCATGGGCACAACATATAAGGATCCAGCAGTAATACTTAATAAGAAAGACACTCAATCCGTTGGTTTCGCAGAATCTGCCACCTTTGAGCTCGATCACATCAGAAACTCGCTACGATTCACATAGGAACCAGGTCTTTTCCTGGAGCTAGGGCGAGGAGAAGTCTTGGCGTTGCAGGTATTGCCGATGTGTACGCGAAAATTTTCCTTTTGTACTATATTGCTAATTCTGATATCTCCCTAAACACCATAGATTTAAGTGGCATTACAGAGAAGCAGTCCTAATCATGGCTGGAATCAAACGTTACCGAGATGAAAGTCGATCCACCAGTGTAAAGAAAGCGAAAGTAGATGTGTCGGTTCAGCAGCAGAAATTGATCAAGACGACAGTCAGGCAATCTGTCCTGCCTTCTCCAGAGGACTCCTCTGCGGCCAGCGAAGACCTTGTCAACACACATAGTCCAAAGATACCTCCGAGACAGGCGCTCAAAGATGGAGCTCCAGCACCAAAGCGAAAGATCTCGCAGACAAACCGTCCAGCAAATCTCTCAACTTCTACACAAGGGGGGCAGGTAGTTAATGGTGACTATATCCGGAAAGTAGCATTCAAATATTGCTGACATATGCTGATAGGATCTTCATCACGCGAGGCACATGCGAAACAAAAAGTGCTCGCGCAAGAGCGGAAAGCTGTCAAACCGAACGCCGACTCTATTGCACGATCGAAGAAAATCTGGGAGCGGTTACGCCGAAAGTCGCACGTCCCGAAGGATGAACGGGACAAGTTAGTAATTGAACTATTCAGCATAATAACAGGAAGAGTGAAAGATTTTGTGTTCAAGCACGACTCTGTACGAGTAATCCAAACGGCTGTGAAATATGGGAACCTGCAGCAAAGGCGACAAATTGCACAAGAATTAAAGGGCGAGTATCGTAGTCTTGCTGAGAGCCGCTACGCCAAGTTCCTCATTGCGAAGCTCGTGGTAGGAGATGATGAGGTACGAGACATAATTGTTCCAGAATTTTATGGGCACGTTAGAAGGTTAATACGACACCCTGAGGCAGCATGGATTATGGATGATATCTACAGGACCATCGCAACTCCTGAACAAAAAGCTCGGTTGCTTCGTGAATGGTATGGCCATGAGTTCGTGATCTTCCAAAGCTCAGCGGATTCTGCCTTGAGGGGCGACCTGCATCAAATTTTGATGGAGAATCCTGAAAAGAGGGGGCCTATCATGCAGCATCTGAAGGAAATGACGAACCATCTGTTGCAGAAGAAGACGACTGGTTTTACTATGCTACATGATGCTCTGCTGCAATACTTCATCAACTGCACTTCAGGTGGTTCCGAGGCCACTGAAGTGATTGAGTTGCTTAAGGATGACGAAGAGGGTGATTGTCTCAAGAATATGGCCTTCACGAAATCTGGATCAAGGCTTGTCTGCCTTGCGCTTGCTTATAGCAACTCCAAAGATCGACGAACAATACTCAAGGTGTTCAAAGGTGTGATGAAGATGTTGGCAGGAGACGCACACGGGCATGTTATTCTGCTTACTGCTTTCGATGTGATTGACGATACAGTGATGACTGCCAAAGCAGTCTTCCCTGAGCTTCTATGCAAGGACTCAGAGGAGCAACAAAGGCAAACAGAGCTTGTGCTTCAGGTTGAGCATTTGACTGCCCGGATACCTTTTCTATATCTACTAAGCCCCGACTTGCCCAAGTGGCTACTGCCTAATCAAGACACTAGCATTTTGAAAGAGATCCATGAAATCAGGAAAACGACTTCGAAGAAAGACCCTCAAATTCGAAGACAGGAGCTAGTCAAGGCTCTATCTCAACCATTGATTGACTTGATCGGTCAGCAGACAGAACTCCTAGTATCATCGAGTTTTGGTTGCCAGTTCATCAACGAAGTGATGTTTGGGGGCGTGGGAGACAAGCATGCAGCGCTGGAATCTCTAGCTGTGATTGCAAGGGACAAGCCTGAGCTCATGAACACGCCATATGCAGGACGAATGCTGAAGTCTCTTGTCCAAGGTGGACCATTTGACAAGGAGAGCAAAGAAGTTCGAGTGACCGACCCACCATTGAGATTTGAGAGTATGCTCTATTCCAAGTGTCGTGACGGGATTGTCAATTGGGCATCAGGTGCAAATTCCTTTATTGTGGTTGCCATGCTGGAGTCCCCGGATATGCGAGACCGGGAGAGCCTGGTGGATGCGTTGCGTGACCAGGTTCAGGTGCTGCGGGAAGCCGCAAAAGGATCAGGATCAGACAAGAAGGGCAACGCTGGGACAAAGATCCTTCTCCAGCAGATGGAGAAGTCGCGCTAGCTTCTGAACGAACGACCGCTATGCATTAGTCTGGCTCTTCCAACGTGGAGGGAGTATGCTCGTTATGGCAGAGTAGTACGTAGTACGGAGTAGCCAGCCCCTCATTTTCAAGCTTCCGATCTCCTGGTGTTTCAGGTAGGTTCGGATGTGCAGTAGATTGAATGTAAAGTAAGTCAGGCAGAAAGGACCGTCTTCTAGAAGGCTGAAAAGACGTTGGAGATTCATCAGCCCTCCTGTCGCAAGCACGAGCCTTGCGAATGGTCTCTCGCTAGCTCAGGCCTTAGCGACAAGTAACATTCGGCCCTCTGTCTGTCATGACTGATGAAAGATGAGTGGTTCAGGCAATCACATTCCAGTGGTCTTCCGAACGATTCCACTCAGCCAGTCGCTGCTTGCACCCTGTCTATCCAGAAACGAACATATCTGATTAGGACCAATCTCCTCAAAGCCTCCGAGATTTGACGATGTTCTGCATCGATCTAATTGTTTAGTTGACGGGTGGTGATAATTAGGGCTTGATTGCCTTTCGGATGGCGCATCTCTCCTGCAGCTGCCCTCGAGCTCTAACTAACTAACTAATCACTGGAGTGCCACGTACTTCGTGTGGTCCAGGGGCCGCTGCTAGATCACCTCTACCACGTACGTGTAGGCGCATGAATCGTTCCCGCTTGTTCGCTCCAGACATGTCATCGTTGTCCATCTTCCGAAACCTTCTTCCTCGTACAATATGTTTGCTTTCAGCAATGCCCTTGTATGCACCTGACTTCTTTTGAGAGGTGTTTAGTCAGCGTTGCTCGAATTACTTGTTCTCTCGACTTTCCTACATGGTTACAATCTCCTGTTATGCCCTTGCGAAAGTATGCATTTATGTGCTCTTGCTTGTTGAGTGGAGATCGTCCTGATCTGGAGATTGACTACCCTGTTCCGAGCGTACCTGGTAGTCCTTGCAATGACCACTGTGCATAGCCATCCTGCTCTGCAGGCGGTTGCCGTGGAACATGGCCACGAAAATCCGTCTTTGTCAACCCTGACCAATCCAGGTATGCTGCTGCGATATCGTGACACTCCTTCCAGTCCCTATCGATTCGGCGAGTCGTCGTTTCAGAGCTCCGATACCGAGCCATCTCCATCATCGTCGACTGGTTTCGCCTCCCCTGCTTCTACTGAAGCATTTGAGATTGGCACCGCCAGAACCTTTCTGATGCCAATACGCCCCAAGCCTGCTCCACCCTCGAGCAATCCTCTACTTTTCAAGGGCTATTCGCATAGCGCGCCGCTCAGCGATATTGGCGAAGAAGAATCTACTCCAAAGTCGAAGCGACTAAGAAGCAGATCGCCGAGTCCTACAGCAAGCTCTCCAGCAATAGCCCCGCAGTTGCCCGGTTCGTGGGGCCAGAAACGCGAAAAGCGGCTGAGCCTAATGTCGAGCTCGTCCAGTATGAGCATCGGTTCAGACTTGCAATGGGAGGCGTTTGACACAAGAGCTGGTATGAGTGACAGATTGAGAGCAGATCTTGCCGCTGCTGGAGACGACAGCTTCAACCTGGATGGTTTTGACAACAAAAGGGACAGCATGGCTACAAACGGGGATGATGAATATTCATCGCAAGCGTTGAGCAAGAAGGCGGAACAAATATTGGCCAGTGCAAAGAAACGGTTAACGGTAGGCTGCGTTCCATGTCACTCAAGATTTCGTCTAATTCATTCCAGAATATGGAAGGCAACCTAAGCAAAGCTCGAACATCATTGCTGGAAACCCCCAAGGGCTCGCCATCAGCAAGCGATTACAAGCAAGCAGGTGGTCTATATCGTTCTATTTCTCAGGGAGGAGATAGGAGGCTGTCGCAGAGCTCGAATGTTCGTAAGGCAAGACAATCACACACTATCACAAATGGAGCAGGCTCATTGCATGTAAGAAATCTTTCCGATACTTCGGTGCTTTCCGGGGCTGCCAAATACCCCAGGCCTCCCGAAGTCAGGTCTGCCAGTGCCATGGACTACGGGTATGGCAGCCATAGCATCGATTCTATGCTCTATGACAGGTCGAAAAGTGCAACGCCTGGGTTGTCTCCTACTCTAAGTCGAATTCAGCTCAGTCCTTTGACCACCCTACAGGAGGAGGAGGGCAACCCGCCAACGGGTATTACATCCTCTAATCCGTCACAAAGTCGAGGACTTGGGATTCGGAATCATAAATTCCATTCATGCAATACAAGCCATGAATCCAGCTTTGGCTTCACAAGATCTCAATCGCAGAGGTCGACTCGAGAACTTTGGGATCAGGTGAATGGACTTAGAAGCAAGATAGCAGATCTTTGCACCGGACAACAGGCGGAACGATACAGGAGAAACAGCCTCCAGAACCTGCGAACTCCGAGTTCGGTTGCAGCAGCTGAAGAATGGTATCTAGGGGCTGCCGAGTATAAGGCCGGCGAGAGTCCACTCAGCACGAGTGCGGGTATGGGTTGGAGATCTGGGAAGGATCGGGAGGAGGGCTCTACGAAATCGCCTACCTTTTCTCAGTCACCCCAGTCGCCACAAACTCCCAGATCACCGAGACGTTCTCAGTCACCTTGTTCTGCAAAGGATTCAGGGTTCGAGGAGGTTCAAAGAGGTCCTAGTCCTGTAGCGCATTCTGGACGAGACTTCCACTCACATTCGAACAGTCTAAACTCCCCCTCAGCCTTGAGAGGAATCAATGGCGACGGAGACGATCAGGATTCCTACATACAGGAATCACAGTATGAAGACGCCTTTGGGGGTGGATCCGAGGAAATTGGAGACGTCGTCGCCGCATCAGAAGAAGAGCAAATATATCTGAATGAAGTGCTGGAAGAGTCCTTACAGGACGTCGAGCCAGCGGTTCCGCCTATTCCTGATGTGATACATGTTGCCGAGCCTGAGCGTCACGAAGATCGTGCAGATGCTTTTGATTACGAGAACTTCTTTCTGCATTCCGCGTTGGGAAATTACTCTCAAACCGGGTATCACCGTCGAAATCTTAGTCAAGCTACTGCCGAATCGCGAGCAAGTTATCAAAGTACCGAGAGCGTCGAGACGACAAGAGGGCCTCAAGCAAGAGAGAACGAGCCGATCTCAGAGGAAGACGCGGAAAGACTAAAGGGAGATGGAAGGGAGGTTAGAGACGCTGAGACATCATGGCAAGACGAACCACCAAACCAAACAGCTCCAAATCCACCTTTTGCGCAGCAGCATCTCCGAACCCACAGCATCGAATCAGTGTCGACTACTGCGACTTTTGCTACTGCCACAGAGGGAGGAGGCGATGACAGCGAATCCGAAACTGACACCGTACCCTCCGAAATCCTGCATTGGGGTGAACGACCCCTTCCGAGTACCAACAATATGGTTGGTGCGTGGCCGAGTCCGCCAGCCAGCTCGCCCCGTGGCCTCGCAAATCTGCCAAATGGTCATGCCTCACCACTCGGCATTCATGTCATTCAAGCTGAGAGCGACGATCTGACGGCACCGAGTTCCGACGCCTTGCCCACGCCGCCAACAAGTTCTCCTCTTCATCAGGAGACAGCACAAGAGGAGCAGGAAGATGAAGAATCCGACCATGAGGCCGGAGAAGACGATGACCATTCCTCGCAACAACAGCCGCCCAACACCGAAATCCTGGTCTCAGCGCTCATCACGCTCGCGAATCCGGACTTCAAACCCACAAGATCTTTCTCCGAACTGGATAAAGAACTCGTCATCAGCGTTCTAAGGAGCGTGGGTGGCGTTTGTGAGGGAATTGATGCCAGTGACTCGAGGGGTGAGGTGCAAGAAACTAGGGTTTGGAGGAGGCGGCTAGATACTGCAAGGAGGCTTTTGGAGGGGGAGATCGAGATTGAGGATGATTGAGAAAGAGGAGTACGTGGGTCGGGCCCTTGCGGGACAGGGCGCTGACCCATAAGCATCAAGCAGGAGTGGAGGGACACTGGTCATGAATGACTTTCAGGCTACGAGCATACCCCTGCTATTTGCCTGCTAATTTCCTGCTAATATCCTGCTAATATCCTGCTAATATCCTGCTATTTGCCCTGCCGAAAAGAGCCTCTGTTACGCAGACTCTTGCCCTGTGGGCACTGCCTGGCCGGGTCGGGGCCTACATAGTTCTCTTGGTGATTATATACTCCGTATTTGGTAGGCAGATATGCAGTCGGGATGGATTAAATAATTGATCGCTATCTACCATCTACCATCTCCCCTGCCCATACTAGTACTTGATACATTCTGTTCATCATCTTCCAACTTGAAGGCCAAAGCAAAGCATCAAGCATCTCCGATCTCGGCAAATCACCAGCCGAAAGTGGAGATGGCTACCCCACTGGTGGCAAGCAGCGAAGCCACCAGTTCTCCCATCAACAATCAATCGCCACTAACTTATGGACGAATGCTACCAAAAAGGGTCGGTATCGAGCGTGCCATGTGATTGTCCCTAGGAGTATCCCAATGCTTGCGTTACTACTCCCTTAGTGTATCTTTTGCAGAAGCGTAGGTGGAAAGTTTTCTCCTTGAGTCATGATCAGTGCTCCCTTTTCCCATGTCATTCTCTTATATTATCACGCTTTTCTCTTTGCCTGCCTGCTGCGACGCATCTGGCATCGTCTTGCCGATTTTTCCTAAATCTTGTTCAGCCTCATTGAGGTGGAATCACACATAGAAAGACGTTGAGTCAGATTTTGCATGGTGTTCAAACAAGTCGATATTTGAATGTCGATGTCTTCCTCCAGAACCCGACCAGAACACTGGCAACATACCCGCTCTTCCAGTCCTCCGCTGGCACAGAATGGCCTACCTGGTCCCTCTCGAGAACTAAGATCGAAAGGACAATCCCTAGACATTCCGGGAAGCAACATTCACCCCCGCCCTTCACTCGAAAGCACCTATTCCGAAGTCTCCGAACTCGCCGTTCACTTGGGTGAGCATCGCCATGCTCGTCAGCCCCTCTTGTCATCACCACACAACAATATCCAGCGCCTTTCCCCAGTCGCGCTAGCTACATCCCACCACCGTCATGGCATTCGGGGCTTCCTCGACGCCTTCTGGTTGCGTAACAAAGGCGTCGTCCTCGTGCTGCTAGCCATGGTATTTGGTTCGGGGATGAACGTTGCGGCTAGGCTGCTGGAGACGGATGGGACTCATGGGAAGGCTATGCATCCTTTTCAGGTAGGTACACAGAAGGGGAAACCTTTCTCCCCCGATACACAATGCCTCCCGCGCCCCCTTCTCACTTTCACGGAGACAATACAGTTCACACGCCTCCTTTTGTCACCTAAGTTTGACTTCTTACACGCTCTAGATTCTCTTCGCACGCATGTCCATAACCGTGCTCCTGACCCTCTTCTACGGCTTCTATACCCGCATCCCATATTTCCCCTTTGGCTCAAAAGTAGTACGTCTCCTCCTCATCGCCCGGGGCGTCGGCGGCTTCTTTGGCGTTTTTGGGTTGTACTGGTCGCTTCTGTACTTGCCGCTCGCTGAGGCGACGGTGCTGACCTTTCTCGCTCCGATCTTGACGTGTTATGCGTGTAGCTTGTTGATCAAGGGAGAAACATTTAGCAGACAGCAGCAGATTGCTGGGTTTTTGAGTTTGGTGGGAGTGGTGTTCATCGCTAGGCCGGGGAGTCTGTTTATGTCTTCTGGTGCTCATCACGATGCTGGCCACGATCCGTCAACGGTGCATTCCAACACTACATCTGCCGTTTCTGCCACCTCTCCGCCATCATCAACTGCCTCACAACCGACCCAACACCAACATCTCCTCGCCGTTCTCTTCGCCATGGTTGGTGTCCTCGGCGCTACCACAGCATTGACCACTATCCGCAAGATTGGTACGCGCGCTCACCCTCTCATCTCCGTCAACTACTTCTCCAGCTGGTGTACCATCGTGTCGTCCGTGGCTGTCCTTGCAGCCCCCAGTGTAGGGTTTAGGCTACCAGCGAATGTGCAGGAGTGGGGATTGTTGATTATGTTGGGCATTTTTGGGTTTGTGATGCAATTCTTGTTGACGGCGGGATTGGCATATGGGGGACCTGCTTCCAGTGACAACAAACGTGCTGACGGTGAAATACATACAACACCCAAAGAAGTCGGTGCTGTTGGTGGTGACGTTGCGTATGGAGAAGATGAAGAAGCCGGACGCGAAAGCGGACAAGGCCGAATCTACGCAGCTCAAGAAACGTCAGCAGACGTGACGGCAAAACCGATAACTGCAGCAACAGCAAAAGCAGCAGCGAGTAAGGGATCCGGCACACGCGCAACAAGCATGTTATACACACAGATGTTGTTCGCGCTGGCTTTCGATAAATGCATCTGGGGCATCAGTCCCGGATGGTCGAGTTGGGTCGGCAGCGTGATCATCCTGGCTTGTGCAGTTTGGGTTGCTGCGGCTAGGGATTTGCAGACCAAGAACACAGGACAGGGTCACTTGGATGGTGAGCATCATGAAGACGGCGAAAATTTTGAACTTGGAGAACGGGAGAAGTTCAGGAAAGGAAATCGAGAACATGTCCAAGAGAGAGGCGATGAGCAGAGACTGATACACTGTCCCCTTCAAGATGCAGAAGAAGGAGGAGAGGAAGACGGTAGGTCATGACGATGGTTGAACGGAACGACGAGGAGAAAATGGGACATAGAGAGAAGGCATGCAAAAGAGAAGAACATGATTTCTTTCTCTCCGATTTAACTTCATCTAATAATCAAATCAAACCAAGTTGAACAATAGTCTACATGACATAAGCAAAGCAGGTCAAGGTCTCGAGTTGGGTGATCTGATTGGATGCATATACTGTCCCAGCTTTTCGGACTCTTTCTATCCAACCCATCATCCAACATCTGCTATTGCTCGCCGACCAGCAAGCAACCGGTCATCAGGACTGACACTGGCCCAGGGCTCAGTCGTGAAGTACCATGGATCAGAGTCCGTCCGATCTGCCGATCCCCGTACCCACGCTGTTTAATCATGGTTTCTACGAGACACTCACAGAGGGTTGTTGGGCCAGGACCGAAGGACTGCACCGGCGACGCAGCCGCAGACCACGGTGGGGACCTGGAGCAGAACGGGCATTGAAGCGTTGAGAAAGCTAGAACACAATTCATCTTTGTTCGGATCCTGGGCGCCAATCTAGGCTTCCTGGTCAGCCTACTTTTGGCCGCCCGCTCGCTCATCGCCCATCTTGCAGGCCTTCCTTGGAGAGATGTGGAACAGAACTCGGGCAGCCAGCTTAGGAATCACGAGGAAATCGACCGGGGGTTTTGGGGTGGATGAAGATGGGTGATTGGTTTGCTCTTTTTTCCCCCCCCCCTTTCTCTATATTCTCGTTCTCTTTCTCTACTTACCTCTCGAGATGAGCTGACTAGGAAAAGATGCTAAGGAATCGGTGGGCGGCTTTGGGTAGATGGACGATCCAGACAAATGGTAATCAAGAATAAAAGGGGTCGACAAGAAGAAGAAAAGGGCCGAATGCCCAATCAACGCCTCCCATTCCCTAGTTGGTGAGTCTAAATCGAAAGGGATCTATGTCAATGTAGTAGCTACTGTACCACCACCACCTCCTCCTCCTCCTCCTCCTCCTCCTCCTCTTCACCGCCGT